CCCTTTGCCCATGGACTTCCACTGCCACCACCAAACGTTTATCCAGGTTTATTTTATTAGGAAAGAGCCCGTTTGGAAACGTCTTTCCCCCCCAACAGCCTCCCAACCCTTGCACCCCACTTCCTGGGGAAGGTTTGGTAAAAATCCTCACCAATTTGCATAGGTGACCACAGACCCAAACTCTTGGATCTTAAGAACAAAGAAAAAAAGCATTCAGTTCTTGAAAAGAAGAATTTTAATAGAAGTAACAATAAAAAGAATCACCTCTGTAAAATCAGGATGGTAAATACCTTACAGGGTAATTAGATTCAAAACATAGAGAATCCCTCTAGGCAAAACCTTAAGTTACAAAAAGACACACAGACAGGAATATCCATTCAATTCAGCACAGTTTATTTTCTCAGCCATTTAAAGAAATCATAATCTAACGCAGATCTAGCTAGATTACCTACTAAATTCTAAGACTCCATTCCTGTTCTGTCCCCGGCAAAAGCATCACACAGACAGACGGAGAGAGCTTTGTTTTCTCTTTCCCCCCAGCTTTTGAAAGTATCTTGTCTCCTCATTGGTCATTTTGGTCAGGTGCCAGCGAGGTTATCCTAGTTTTTTAACCCTTTACAGGTGAAAGGATTTTTACTCTGTCCAGGAGGGATTTTAAAGGTGTTTACCCTTCCCTTTATATTTATGACACAAACAAAACCAACCCTGGTTTGGGTCAATCAAAACATTTTGTTTTAATCATTTTGAAACATTTAATTTCAGTTTCAATCCTTTTTTGTGTAAAAAAAATATATTTTTACATAAATTAATTTTAATTTCATAATGAAAAGCCTTTTCTTACAGTCAAAAAAGGGACATTTCATTGTGGAAATGCCAATCAGGGTGTGCTTGATGATTTTGAAACTTTTTCTGAAAAAAAATTTGAAACAGGAAATTCTTTGACACCAACCCTTTCCCATGAAAAATTTTCACTTTCAATGAATGGCCAAAAATATACTATCAAAAAATTCCTGACCAACTCTACTCCTTACCCTTTATACGTGGAGCAGACACCACTCAAGGGGGACATAGCACCACCTTGAGAAGGTGCATTACAAACTAAATATAAAGGTCAGATGACTCTGCCTGCCTTGTTTGTCAAAATATACTTGAACTTGCTCCAGCCACAGTCTCTCTCTATGCTCCTTCAGTCCCTTCACACAGTCTTGCCACTGTTGGTGCAAGAACCTTCTCCCTTGCAGCCCCTGCCATCTGGAACAGTTTCTTTGTCTGCTTCCTCGAGACTCCTCCTGTTGAATCTCATATTTATAGCCCCTCGTCGCCCTCTCTCTCCCTGTGTTCAACTCTAAAGCTAGCAAGGAGTGTGCAGTCCAGAGAGGACTCTCTCTACACAGCGAAGTTGTGTTTTCGAGCCCTTGCTCGGCATCAGTTGTTCTTACTGTGGAGTAGAAGTGAGAGACGCTTGCACTGCTGTTGCTCTGGCTGGACTTGTTCTGTGGATACGCAGAGAACATGAATCTTCAGAGTTCACAATCCAGCTTTTCCAAGGAGGTTTTGGATCTTGATTTACTTGGACTGTAAGCTCTCTGGAGCAGACTCCATCTTTTTGTTATGTGTTCGTATAGTGCCTACCACGATGAAGCCCTGATTCCCTGACTGAGGCTCCTAAGTGCTACAGCAGTACAAATAAATAATAATAATTGGCTGATGTTCTTTACAAGTGTAATCACAGAGTCTGCTATTGACTGGGGAAGGGATCAATTCTGTTCCATCTGTAGTTCCTGTGATTCTTCTTAGAAGCTGCTTGTCATGTATTTCTTGTACACAGTAGGTTGCAGGGCTGCTACTAGCAGCTCAGGCTTCTGTACCCAATATGGACGGCCACAGAGCTTTCCTAGGGTTGCCAGGCATCCGGTTTTTGACCGGAAAGCCCAGTCGAAAAGGGACCCTGGCGGCTACAGTTGGCACTGCCGACTAGGCCATTAAAAGTCTGGTGGGCACCACAACAGGGGCCCGGAGCTAAGACAGGCTTCCTGCCTGCCCTAGCACCGCGTGGCTCCTGGAAGCGGCCGCCAAGTCCCTGCAACCCCTAGATGAATGAGTGGTCAGGGAGGCTCCACGTGCTGTCCCCGCCCTGCGGCCGGCTCCGCAGCTCCCATTAGCCAAGAACCATGACCAATGGGAGCTGTAGGGGCGGTGCCTGCAGGTACTAGGGCAGCGCGTGGAGCTTCCCTGGCCACTCATGAATCTAGGGGCTGCAGGGACCTGCGGCCGCTTCCTGGGAGCCTCGGTAAGCACTGCTGGGACCCCACACCCCGAACCCTCTCCAGCACCCAAACCCCCTGCCCAGCCCAGAGTCCCCTCCCACACCCAAACTCCCTCCTGGAGCCCATACCCCCCAATACCCAAACACCCTGCCCCATCCTCTCCTGCATCCCAAGCCCCTCATCCCCAACCCACCGCAGATCCCACACCCCCAGCCGGAGCCCTCATCCCTGCCTGGAGTCCCCTCCTGCACCCCAAACTCCTCATCCCCTCCCCAGAGCCTGTACCCCCAGACAGAATACTCACCCCTCCACACACCCCAACCCCCTGCCCCAGCCCAGAACCCTCTCCCAAATCCTGAACCCCTTATTTCTGGCCCTGCCTGGAGCCTGCTACCCCAGCCCAGACCTCATACCCCTCCTGCCCCAGCCTGGAGCCCTCTCCCGCGCCCCAAGCCCCTCATCCCCAGCCCCACCCCGGAGCTCTCACCCTCCTCCAGCACCCCAAATCCCTGTCCCAGCCCAGTGAGGGTGGGGGAGAGTGAGCGACAGAGGGAGGTGGGATGGAGTAAGTGAGAGAGGGGCCTCAGAGAAGGGACAGGGTAGGGGAGAGGCCTCGGGGAAGGGGTGTTCAGTTTTGTGTGATTAGAAAGTTGGCAACCCTAAGCTTTCCTCTCCTAGAGAGAGAGAGACACCAGATGTGTTCACTATAAATGCCTTTAATGTTCTGCCATGTAAATCAGAGGTTAGTTTAAATAAGGTATGTTACACACAGCACCATCTAGTGGCTTAACAGTATAATACAGTTTAGCATTCCCTTACTTCTCCCCCTTTAAGTTCTAGATTCCTACCATTTACCAAATTTACACTGTCTTTGAAGTTCAGATCCGATCAGTCTGTTAAGTGTCTGTGAATCTCACTGGTTTTCTAATTACGTGATTCTGGTTGTGCATTAGTTGCAATGACTGGCTGTAGTTGGTCTGGAATCCTTGAGTCACCATCTTGTTCTGCATCTGCCATCTATAGAGTTTGCTCTGTTGATTGTTTTTTGTTGATTGTTTTGAATTCTTCTCTTTTTGACAGCTGGAGTTGTCCATCCTTTTTCTAACTGAGTGTCTGTCATCTGATGAAAAATTGTCACTTTTAAAGTCAACAGTCTTTACTGGACTATTCAGTTTCACTCTCCAGGAAGGCTCTATGTTATCACAAGGGATAGATCCCAGAAATAATGGCTTTTGATTGTAATACGAGTGAATTCCCTAACTCCTTTGATGCAGCAAACAACTGCAGAATGTCCATAATTTTGTGCATTTATCACACCTTATGCCTTTGGCTGGACATGCATCATCTGTAGAGATGTGAATTTTTCCACATCTTGTGCATTAAGGCTGTCAGACTTTGGTGTTTGGCAGTAATTTGTGCCTCTTAGCTGGGAATTCTCTCTTTGTCTCAGCAGTCTTATGGTAAAGACTTGTAGCACTCAGGCTGCATCTGTTAACTGCTTCAAAGCTAGTTTCTTGTTTTTCAAGTCTGGCAAGTTGCTCTTGGTTTTGCTGTCTCACTGCTCAGACTGCTTTGCTATCTGGATAGTTGTGCTTAGGGTTAATTCTCTTAACTTTTGGCTGCTATGAACGGTTTTTATCTGTTAATAACCATCCTGTCTGTGAGGGCAGGTCTACACTACGGGGCTAAGTCGACCTAAATTATGCAACTCCAGCTATGTGAATAACATAGCTGGATTTGACATACCTTAGGTCGACTTATTGCAGGGTCTATACAACACTGGGTCGATGGGAGAAACTCTCCCATCAGCTTACCTTATGCTTCTCGTTTCGCTGGAGTACCAGAGTTGACGAGAGAGCAATCAGGGGTCGATTTAGTGGGTCTTCAGTAGACGTCCTAAATTGACCCCCCAGTGGATCGATTGCTATGCATCGATCCCCCCAGTAAGTGGAGACAAGCCCTGATATTTTCATGTTTTGCAGTTCCAAAATTGCAGTTTTCAGCCAATGCATGCAGAGTTCTTATAAAACATTCAATGCTTTCCCTGGTGAAATTCTCTGGTGAAAACATGTTCTTTTATAAACCACATATCTCTGGGGTATAAAGTATGCATCAAATATAGCCAGAATCCTTTCATAGTCTTCTTTGTGACTGTCTTTAGTAAAATCAAAGGACTTAAAGATATGCTCTGCCTGCTTTCCCATAGGATAAATTAAAGAGCATATTCGTAGTCTTCGGTTTCCTTGTGGGGTTTGGTAGCAATTCCAAACCTTGCAAAATACTGCTTCCAGTCTGTCAGTTGTGAAGGTTTCTCAAAGCTGAAGTTCTCTTGGGCATCGAAGAGCAGGATGTAGATGAGATCCTGCAATCTTTGGTGCTTTGTTCCTTCTGTTTGCAACTTTTGTTGCTGCTTTCCTTCTGTTTCTATTCTCCTCTGGCACTAGTTTACTCCTGACACCATGCCATGCACACCTGGTACACAGTAGGTTTACAGGGCTGCTAATATCTGCACCAGATACAGTCTAGCCACAGAGCCTTTCCTTTCCCAGAAAGATACATGCCAGATGTGTTCACTGTAAGCTCTAATGTACTGACATTAGCTTAAATAAGGTATGTTACACACATCACCACCTCCTGGCTGAACAGTGTAATACGGTTTAGCATTCCATTACACTGCTTTCACCCATTTGGAGCAATTTGGTATCAGGCTTTTATCTTTTCTTTTCATTGCAGCATCTCAGGCTATGGAGCAGCCGGTGGGAAAGGAGGGAAGAATACTATGGTGAGGTCCCATGGTGTGTCCGTATTGGGGATTTTTGACCTCCAGAAGGATGATGCCTTATACATTTTGGTGGGCCAGCAAGGAGAAGATGCCTGCCCTAGTGTAAGTGATTGCCATTTCTGCCTGTGTTGAATTTTTTCCAGCACTGGGATCTTTAATATTACCACTGTCTGAAGTTAGGGATTTTGGTTTGAGTAGTTCAAACTACAGATACAAGATTTCTGGTAGTGACTTTAATATTAATGGTATATCTATACTGCAGTTAAACACCTGTAGCTGGCCCATGTCAGGCTCATGAGGCTCGGGCTATGGGGCCTGAGCCCTGGGTCTCTGTGGGGGGAGAGGGTCTCAGAGCCCAGGGTCCATCCCAAGCCCGAACATCTACATTACAACTGTACAGCCCTGTAGCCTGAGTCCAAGTCAGCTGACCTGGGCCAGCTGTGGGTGTTTCATTGTTGTGTAGACATACCCGTAAGGGCCTGATGTTGCAGTCCTACCATGAAACAGTGGGGCCCCCAGTGGATCTGCGTGCATCTCAGGTAATCTTTGGTTTTAAGTACCAAATCCCTTTCTCATTCTATAGAAGGGATGGGACAACCTCACCCGTGCTTTCCCCAACAGACTAATCTGGGAGAAACTCTGCAAGTTTGGCCTCATGGGGTTTTCCCTTCCTTCCAAACTCATCTCCATCTTTGATATGGGCCCCTCAAATCCTACACGGATCACCACACAAACCCCATTTGCTCAGGCTTTGTTTGTGCATGGGGGGGGCTGAATGCATTACTACTGAATCAATCCAACTTCCACTGTTACTACGAATCACTACAAATTGCTTACAAGATGATCACTTTCCATTACTACTGCTAAGAGCTGCAGTAGCGAAGATACTTTTGAGAATTCTTTTCTTTAGATGGAAGCCCTGATGGAGGAAAATTAAGCATTATCCTGTGAAATTTCACCACAGCTTTTGATCTGGGCATTTAGTAGTCTGCAGGATTCTTGGCGATGGCACTTGTTATGCGGCTGGGGTTCACGAAACCAAAGCATTGCTGCCCATTACAAACTTTGAGCAGGGAAGGGAAGGAAGATACAGGCAGGAAAGTGAAAGGGTCTGGGGGCCCCAAAGCCAAATATTGCAGAAAATGCTAAAACTGGAATAATGTTCCCACACACACATGCACTTACATACACACACGGTTAATGTAAGAGCCCTTTAGAATCAAATGTGTCCTAACTCAGACTTTCATTTAGCATGTATAATCAGATCATTCCAGTGCAATATAATATATGGAGTCATTAAATTACAGGCCACTGTAATCTTAGCGAGGATTTATTGAGTGCTAATGTAATTCTTTCATCGAAGCAAAGATATTGCATTGACTTGTGGAAGGGACTTTTACTTGATTGGATTGTAATCAGTTATGTCTTTGCAATGAAGGTGTGTTTTTTTTTAATCCAATTGTAATTTACTGGTCTCTCTGGATCATTGCACTTTGTCATTTTATTAATCATCCCCTTCCAAACTCTGAATCAAATTCTTGCCTGCAGTGGATTTTTAATTGTGCCTATGGTACTCGGCAGCCAAGTTTTGCGTCCACTTTATGGTAAACAAAACACTTCAGTTCTAAATTGGAAAGATGCATGCATCAAGTTCTTCTCCCGCAATAAAATACTTGTGTGCGAGAGTTGGAAGATACAGAGGGAGGATTATATTTAGACAAATATTATCTGTAAATATTTCCATTAAGGATCATTACCCCAGTGTTGAGCCCAGTATAAATAACAAGATTGAAATTGAGAGACAGATACTTACATGACAACCAGAAAGTAAAATAACTAATGGCTGAGCTCCAGCCAGTGTAAATCCCCAGAGCTAAGTCATGCTCACTGGACACACACAACAGTGTTCTGATTGACTTTAGCGGGACAACAGGTGTGAACCACAGATGCATAATTAGTCACCAAATTACTGTTCTTTCTCCTACGTTAAGGATGGTCATTATGGCTCTCAGTTGGTCTGTATGAAATGAGTTGGTGTGGACTCAGCTGATTGCCTAATGAACAAGTGTCCACCACAAAACTTGTCATGGCATTTGGCACTGATTGGTAGCTGGTCCCTCAAAGGACTGAAACATGTTGGCAGTCGGGCTCAGTGGCTAGGGCACTGGACTTTAGAGTCAGGAGACCTGGGTTCTATTCCTGGTTGCCACTGACTTGCTGCGTCACTTGGAGCAAGTCATGTCATTGCTAAGTGCCTCAGTTTCCCCATTTGTAAAATGCAGATAGTAATAATATTTACCTGCCTTTGTAAAGCCTATGGAAATCTGTGGGTTAAAAGTGCTCGGTGAAAACCAAGTTATTGTTGTTACGCGTAGGAGGAAGTGGGAGGGGTTCGCACTGGCTACATCTTCACTATGTTACACACTAGGGGTGTGATTCCCCTCCTTGTGTACACGTACTTGAGCTAGCATGAGTAGCATTGTGTGGCTATGGTAGCAGCAGCAGTGGAAGGGTGGCTGAGCTGTGCCGAATACATACCCACAGGTCTCCGGCAGGTTTCTTCTCTGCACAGCTCAGCCGCTTCCCATGCTAGCACAGCTATGCTGCCATTTAGACTTAGGCTAGCTCGATGGGAGCTGGCATGCAACTGTGCATCGGTGCTGGAAGCAGGGGTGCTAAGGGTGCTACCGCACCCCCTGGCTTGAAGTGGCTTCCATCCTATACAGGGTTTGCAGTGTGGTTCAAGGGCTCTTAGCACCCCCCACTGTACAAATTGTTCCAGCATCCCTGAGTACGTGCACACGAGTAGAGAAATCATACCCCCTAGCACTAGAGTAGAGTCGCCCTTAGGTTATGCCATACCTCTCCTGTGGATAAATATAGGACACCAGTTTCTAGGGATGTCTATTTGCCTCTTTTGATCAGCACTCATAGGCGCCGACTCCATGGGAGCTCCGGGGCTGGAGCACCCACAGGGGAAAAATGGTGGGTGCTGAGCACCACTGGCAGCCCCCCCGATCAGCACCGCCCCTTCCCCCCAGCACCTCCCGCCCGCTGGTGGGCCCTGCAGATCAGCGCCTCCTCCTCCCTCCCCGCACCTCCCGCCCACTGCGAACAGCTCTTTCGTGGCGTGCAGGAGGCTAGGAGAGGGGAGTGAAGATGCCACATATTCAGGGGAGGGGGTGGAACTGGGTGGGAAGAGGCGGGGCAAAGCAGGGGCAGGAAGTGGAGCGGGGGCCTTGGGAGAAAGGATGGAGTGGGGGCAGGACCTGGGATAGCGCCGGGGGTTGAGCACCCCCCAGCATTTTGGAAGATTGGTGCCTGTGACAGCACTGGATTCATTTTAAAAGGACTCAATTTTAAAAAGCCACAGATTCCTCTGGCCAGTAGCAGAGCAAAAGGCAACACTCTTGTAGGAGACTGTGAGCCTGCTTCTGCTCCCTTTGGAGTCAGTAGCAAAATTCCCTTTGGTTTTGGTGGAAGCACATTTAGGCCATTGGTTTGCAAATGCAGGGGAGGGAAGAATATGAGGCCTTTGTAGCTGGTGAGCTTACTTTGTGTGTGTAGCGGGGCTACTTGTCTGAACTCAGACTTGCTGTTCTATCTGCAGACTAACCATGTTATACAGAAAGTATGCATTGGAGAGAATAATGTGATTGAAGAGGAGATTCGAGTGAACAGGAGTGTCCATGAATGGGCAGGAGGAGGTGGTGGAGGGGGAGGAGCAACGTATATATTTAAGGTACGGGAACTTAGCCATTATATCCTATTACATAAAAATGCTGCACGCTGCCTAGACTTTTACGTGAATGCCATCCTTTGTTTAGTAAGTGCCTCCTACAACGTACCTGGAGCACCAAGAACTCTCTGGGCCTGATTCTTACTTACACTAAGGACCCTTTAAATCGCTCTGACAGTGTAAACAAGCCTTAAAGTGAGCTTAAATATAACTTATATTTACAAGGTATGGCTGTATATGCACAGAGGTCCTGAGCCCTGATTGAACTGAATGACCCTGTTCATACCTCTTCGAGCTTTTGCTAAGGCTGTCTGCTGACTCAGGCAGGGTCTCTGCATCAGTTTACATTCTGTTCCCATTTTAAGGTTTACCTTGCACCCACGAGGATTAAAAATATAATTTTCTTAACGTGACCTGAGACTCTGGAGCACAGTTCCGACCAAGGGGTAAATTCCACGGCAGTTTCTTGAGCTGTGGAATTACAAAATACACAAGGCCCTGTAGCCTTTGACTTCTGCTGTGCTATGGCATATGAACAACTGGGATCAGCCTTTATGCTCTGCTGTAGATGTAGCTTTTCAGTCAAAGGCCATTGATCTCCACTACAGATCATTTACATTTTATCAAAAGTTGGCTACAATCAGCATTCATTCCAAATCCCAATTTTGTGTGTTCTCAATATGCTTCAAATCAATAGACTTGCACTATATCATAGTAACTCTGCATACTCAAGTAACTCCCAAAGTGGTAATCCCCTGCAAAGTGGAGCCGCTGTACTGCGCTACAAGAGCAGCGTACCTTAGAGCTCTCGTAATTGATATACTACATCATACAGGGTAACATTACGTGCTTTACAAGAGCCGTGAGTACTGGCGTGCACAATACATATAGCCATCGGAGCAGCTGTTCTCCACTGAACATGGTACGATTAGTAGTATCCGTTTATCTTTGGATGCAGGTACGTGAATAATGCAATTGTAATTTGGACTGCTCAGCAGTCCTAGGGGCTTGCTTAGTGCAACATAAAGTAACTAGCGTGTGAGATGAACTTGTATTTGCATGTCTGACACAACATGAACCCCAGCTTCATTTCTCAATTCACCCTGTTAAGATGGAGAATGGAGAGCCAGTCCCCTTGATAATTGCAGCAGGAGGTGGTGGCAGGGCCTACAGGGCCAAAACAGATACTTTTCATCCAGAAAGGCTGGAGAATGATTCATCTGTTCCAGGGCTGAATGGAAATTCAGGAGCTGCAGGTAAGGAACATTTACTCCGTTCAGAAAATCTTTCCCAGATCTGAAGAAGAGCTCTGTGTAAACTCCAAAGCTTGTTTCTCTCACCAACAGAAGTTGCTCCAGGAAAAGATATTACCTCACCCACCTTGTCTCAGGAAATCATTGAGGGACAGAACATAAGTTGCAAAAATGTGAGACTTGTCACCACAGGGAAGACATCCCTGTAGACATGGAAATCATGTAGAATTTCTACAGCATAGCTGCTAATACAGATTCCCAGGCTAGTGCAGACAAGGCTATATTGCAGCCTGGATAGCAGTCCCTGCAAAAAGAGCTGAATGAGCCACAGAGGTGGGGACCACCATCTCACGTCAGGGCAAGTGCATTCTCTGTCTATGAGTAGTTTGTGCTTCTATGGTCTCTGCTTACAGAATCATAAAAAACAGAGATAGTCAGGACCTATTGTCATCCAGTACATCTCCCTGCCAAGGCCGGATTGTTCCCTACAGAGCATTGTCTAGTTTTGTTCTTGGATTGTACTATTCTGTGGTTAGTGGACTTCAGTCTTACAGACTATCAGTCTGGCACCTTTCCCAAGCATGAAATTCACTTTAATTTACATATGTTTGTTTGTTTTGTTTCCTGAGACTGAAAAGCCTCTTCCATAGCTCTGTAATGTCCAGCACTTTGAATCTTGAACCTTCAATCATCATGAACCCTGCAAAAATAAACAAAATCACAGTTAACAATATTGAGTGCTTACGGATGTGGTAGTTTGTACAATTTCAAACTAACTCACCCCAATCCTTGTCTGAAAGAGAGAAGTATTAGTATCCCCAATTTACAGATGGGGAATTGAGGCACTGAAATGCGTTTTTTAATGTTCCAAACTGAATGCTATATAGTGGGGACTGCTTAGAGAGCAGAGGGCTGGAAGTCAGGACTCTTAATTCTCTTCTTGACATCCACTTACTTTGTGGCCTGTGGCAAGTCACTTAACCTCTCTAGGCCTCAGTTTGGCCACCTATAAAATGGGGATAATGCTTCTCTACCTCCAGGGCTGTTGTGAGCTTTAACTATTTACTATTTGTTAAGTACATTGAGCTCCTCAAATGAAAGGCACCAGTAGCGCTAGTAAGAATCGCTGTAGTATTTTAGACTATTAAAGAGTATAAGCACAAACTCTTTGATATCAGAAAATTAGATATCTCAAGGTAGTAGAAATGTGAGTCAGAATTTGATTTCAAGAAAAATGGTTTGTGTTGGGTGGTCCATTCATTTAAAAGATAATTAAATGTTTGTTTTAAAAACATATTTCAGATCCCAGGTTGGTGACGGAGTAATAGAAAGTTAGTTCCTTCTTCATCCACTCTACTTCCCATAGCCTGAGCTCAGGTTTCTGCGTATAACTTCTCAGTGTTGAGGAAGCTATTCACCCCCACCACTACACAAACTCAAGTTATTCCGGCTTTGTATAGCGAACTAAAGAGTTGTAGTGGTGTCAGTCCAACTTCCCCATTTTCACTGTGCTGCACACTCTGGCCACCAGGAACTTTACAACAACAGCAAGGATATGCTTAAATGATTTCCTCCAGCTTCAAAAAGTGCTAGCAACTAGAGTCAAGCAAAAGGAGATTCTGTGTTAGCTGTCACCAATATGAGACCAAAGACACACACTTGAGAATATCTGATTTCATCCTGTAGAGGGCAATAGAGCACTTACACAGTAGTGAGCTGTAGCTCACGAAAGCTTATGCTCTAATAAATGGGTTAGTCTCTAAGGTGCCACAAGTACTCCTTTTCTTTTTACGGATACAGACTAACACAGCTGCTACTCTGAAAATGGCCCATTACAGTTAGAGCTAGTCAAAAAAAGTGGTGAAGAAAAATTGCATTTTTAATTAATTTATTTGCAGAAAAATGTTTCTTTTAACATTTTCGGGGGGGGGGGTGAAAAAATTATTTCAGTATTTTTTGAAAACCAATAGCCTTTTGAAAACCAAAAAATTTTTGGGTTCATTTTTCATGAAAAAACTGGAAAATTTCCTCCAAAAAAAATTTTAAAAATCCTATGTCCCCCTACACCCCCCATCTCAAATTTTTCATCTCTTTAAATTTTTCATGGAAAAATACCATTTCCTGACCAGATCTCATTACAGTATTGCACTTCTTTTATAGATGAATGAAAAGAGGCACAGAGAGTTTGTGGCCACAAGTCATACACAGCCAGTTAGTGGCAGACTGGGATTAGTACCCAGCAGTCCTGACTCCCGTCCCATTCTCTAACCACTATATGGTGATCTCCCTTGCAGCTGACGTGTTTGGAATGAGCATTCATTCTGCTGATATATATATTTTGGATGTAACAGAAACTTACGTGGGATGCTTTCTCTTTTCTTAACTGCAGGTGGTGGAGGTGGCTGGAATGATAACACTTCCTTCCTGTGGTCAGGAAAGTCCTTGCTGGAAGGTGCTACTGGAGGAAAATCCTGCCCCCAGGCCATGAAGAAGTGGGGGTGGGAGACAAGAGGGGGTTTCGGAGGGGGTGGAGGGGGGTGCTCCTCAGGTGGAGGAGGCGGAGGATATATAGGTAAAGTGGCTTCATGTTCAAGGTGTCCCTTCCCCTCCTTTAGTGCTAACAGTCAGCAAAACACTGATCAGAAATTCTCCTATAGCTAGCATATATGATTGTTATGTAATAGGATGTCTGTGTGTTGCCTTTTTAGCTCTGGATGAACTTATGTTGTTTAGCCTTTAAGCAAATAGCCGGATGTCAGTTCTTCAGCTGGAATCCTGGCTTTGCATTGTGGAAAACTATGCCATCAAGATCCTGCTGTGATTCTTGACTCATAACTGAATATTGAGCTTTTCATTTCTTGGCCATGATGCTGAAGAAGCAGGAGCCATAAGCTTTGCATTCCTGTGGTCAAAACCAGCATCTGAGGGCTTTTGCCATGGAGTCTGATGGCCAGTGTTTACACTTAGGGTATGTCTACATTGCCAAGTTAACCCGGGTATTAGTCTTCACCCCACTTACTATCCATGTAGGGGGGAAAAACACCCTTTATCCAGGTCTGGAGGTGCTTTAAGCCCAGGCTAGCTGACCCAGCTTGAGGGGTGGTGAGAGCCATGACTCCACTTTAACTCAGGCTGAAACCCACATACTGTTCAGTGAGGACACAGGCTAAATCATTTGAGTCCTCTAATGCCCTTCTCACCATTCCCTGTGAGGGAGAGACAGATTCTCCCACAATTGGCTGGGAAAGAAATCCTAGAGTGTCTCAGCATGAAAAACCATGGGGTATTCCCCCAGACACACACAGACAAGTGTGGAAATAGCCAGATATGGCTTTTCTGTGGAGGTGCTCTCACCCAAGCAGGGCTAACCCAGACGCTCAGACCCTGGTGCCAATTACCGGGTTAACAGTGCAGTGTAGACATAGCCTTAACGGAGATTCAGCATGAGCAGTGGCAATCCAAACTTCCTCCACACTGCCCTAAGACCAGCATGCCTCAACCCTAGAGGAATCACCTCGAAGGGCAAGGCAGGTGTTTCGGTCTCCATAGTCCAATCCTTGGCTCTTGTGCTAAGCCTGCCACAAGGGAGGCCGATTAATGACAGCTATGATGGTGGCTTTCGTCAACAAGGAACTGAACGGAGGCCCCTAATTCCTTTCCAGTAGGCTCCAGATCAGCCACCAGATGGTAACGACACAGAATTACTACCGATATGGGCCAGACTGAAAGCCATCATCAGAGGGTGAACAGCTCCACAACCCATAATCGGTCCCTGTGGCCACCCATCTCTTCAGTGGTGGTGGACTTCTTACTCCTGGTTATCCACCACTGTGGTGTGAAATCAGGGCCGCGGTAGAGTCAAAATACTGCAAGGAAGTAATTAGCCTGAATTTCTGGCTTGACCACCTGGATTGTGATGATATTATGTGTAACGATTTTTTCAACAGAATGCCTCGAGTAAGATACTTTTGTTTGCAGTGTGCTATTTTCTCCCCTGCCAAAGGTGATGAAAGTGGAAAAACAACCATCTCTTTTTGGGGTGGAGGAAGGGCATCTGTGCATGTTAACAGATCAAAATATTGGTCTACCGCTCCACTTCTGAGACCCTCTGCTTGTCCAAGGCACACTTGAACATTTCCCATGCAAGCTCCTTCTGTCCCCCATCGCTGGTGGACCACCCTGGCCCGAGGGTGTAGAGGAGAGAGAGCAGATCAGATGATTGTTACTCCCAGTGCTGGTGGAGTACACAGCCTGATCAGCAACTGCGATGAATTAACCCTTATGCACTGGCATAGTCCAGGCTGCTAGCCCAATGAATGCATAGGACGATCTGTTTGTATGTTTTTCACAGCATCCGAATGATTAAAGGTGATGTTTGGGCTTAGTGGGCAATGGTCTCCTTGGGACTGAGGTGAAAGATTAATTTGCTTAATTAAGATCCACAAACGTTATTAAGCTGAAATCCTAGAAGTGAAAGGCCAGTAGTCCATACCACTATCCGCTAAACCTTTCCACCATCCATTAAACATCCCAGCTGGATATTTTGACTGATTAATTGCCCTTTTTCATTTGGATGCTTCGTACTGTGAATTTTGTTGCATGTTGCAATTCTTAACTGTATTTTAGATCTAATGAACCACTGTATGTTAAGGTACCTTCTGATTTGACATAGGTGGCAATGCTGCAGCGGACAATGACCCAGAGATGGATGGGGAGGATGGTGTGTCCTTTATTAGTTCACTGGGTACTTTATACACCCCCGCACTAAAAGGTATTGATATCAATCAGGAGTCAGTTCTCGTGAGTTTCCTTCCTGTTTGGAGTAGGCTGTGTCTGGAAAAGCTTTGAGATCCTTAGATAGAAAATGTAGATTAGTGTGGTTGTGAACACCAAGGAAGGAGAGAAGTTGTTTAGTGTAGTCCAATGAGGAATAAGGAGATGAAAGGGAGTGAAGAAAAAAATGGAGGCTGTTGGGGAAACATTTCCTCATAGTGAGAAGTGGTGGAAGCTTCGTTTCTTAAGTCGTTTAAAACTGGACTGGACAATGAACCCAAGAAATACTGTAGGGAACAAATTGTTATAAGGTGTGTAATAAGGCAGCCAGTAGGGGGAGTAGGCAGAAAGTTAAACAAGGACACTTGTTGGCGTTCCAGTGTTGCGTTGTATGCTGTTGGCAAGTGTGGGTCTGTGGAGCTACTGCCAGGATAGGTGTGCTGCCTGAAATAAAAGAGTGTTATTCAAAGAAGTTGGAGTACGTCTGGTGTACAACAATCTACAACCACATTCCAGTCCTGGATGGAGCACGGACGAGATGATCCAGCAGGCCCCTCTCCCCCAGCCGTCAGCCTGTGATTTATATGTTGTGCTTCTGCTAGTGCTGGAAGCTGAGAGCGAGCTTATGAGAAATGTTTCGGTGCTCAGCTCTTCCCTCACTAAAGCTTCTCCTAGGTCAGACTGAGAGAGTTGCTGGAGAGGGCAGTGAGGCACTTCCCCCAGTTCCTGCAGATGGAGTGTGCTACCGTGGCAGCTTTCCCAGACTGTGCTGGCCCCAAGAGTTGAGATGTGAACTTGATTTCCCCAGTGGGTCAATAGGGGATGCTGTGGATGGTTAAGCCCCAGCACAGACTAGAAAACTCTGAGGACTGACCTAACTTGTATCTCCTCCCCCCACTCCCATAACCCCAGTGGGGCTTGCTGTAGCATGGAGAGCACAGGACTGCTCCAGCAACACTTCCTCCTGGCCTCAGCATGCCCTGGGCCTGCCCCCACAATGCCCCTTGTGCTCTGTAGAGGCAATACAAAGCTGGCGGGACGCCTTGCTGCATTGCAGGATTCACTGAAGGGGGTGGGGCTGTGTGGCCACATTGCACCAGCATAGCTGCTTCAACATGGCTACAGTGCAGGTGTCCAAGACAGCTTAGCGGAGGGATTTTTTCTGTAAATGAAAACTATTAGCTGAGATTCCTTCAGTCTCCTCTCCCCTAATGCAGGTACCAGTGAGAAGTGGGAATACAGTCAGCGGAGAGGGGTGAATGGCAGTCAGGAAAGGTTTTTCACACAGGGCCCATTCCACCCGATATGGGGCACGTGGGCACCATACACTTGTGCATTTCCCATCCCATAATGCGGCAGTTCTCCTGTCGCTGTCTGCGGAAAGCTCTTGGGTCATCTCTACAATAACAACTCAGCCTCTTTCATCCGTTCCCTAGTGACAGAGGGGCATGGAGAGGTGGCTATTAAGCTGCACCTCAACTGCAGCCACTGTGAGCTTGATGAGTGCCGTGTTGATCTGGAGACTCAAAAGGTCATTTGCTTCTGTGAGCCTGGGACAGACCTGGCTGACGATGGCGTCTCTTGTGTAGGTAAGAAGGTGCAGGGAGGAAGGGGCTCCTTTGGGATGGGTAGGTCTATGAGTGAATACATAGTGAAAGTCTCTTTAATGACCTGGACTGCAAGGCAACCTGGTTAATTATCCCCTTTGTTGCTGGCATTTGCAGTGAAAATGCAGTGCACTTCAGTGGCGAGGAAGCTGGCACATGGGGCAGCACTGCTGATGTGTTTTGCCTTATATACCTGGGTCACTGGGCAGCGCTCAAAGCAGTTAAGTGATATTTTGCACTGAAGGGGCAAGATATGTGATCTGGGGGTGTGAGTGCCCCTTAAAGAGCCTTTGGTTACATTGACACTGTGTCTGGCACAGATCAGAGAAAGAAGCCCTGATCTGAAATTAACTCTCACTCACTGACCCCAAACAAAGAAGGAATTTTCCCAAGGTTGCAATTTAGGGGTGTATGGGGGTGGGGGGAGAGTTGCTCTTTTTCCCCACCTATGCTTCATGCCACGTGTTAATTTCAAGGTGCTGCCCATGGCCCAGGAGGAAGGCAAGTACCTGCAGGGGGCTGGAGCCCCCTAGGGCCCGTCCTGTGGACTGCACCTGGGGCTGCCCTGGAGAGTAGCTCGGGCTCCAGGCCCAGAGACCTGCTCTGTTCCCTGAAACCTTCAGCAGCCAGAGACCCACAGGCAGCTTAGAGCTTGCTCCCTGACCTACCCAACCCAGCTCCAGGGACCCACCTGTCCCCTGGGCTGAAGCAACTGCAGCTCTGCTCCAACCTCATGTGGTGCTACACGCCCTCACTGCTGATTGGCCCCAGTGCTTGGGCTAGATGCTGTGATTGGTGAAGGTGGCCAGAAAACATCGGCTCCTAGAGGGGTGTTGAAGTGCCCCTGGCCCAACGGTGCATTGGGGGCTGCTGTCTTGTGCTTCAGAGTCTCAGCTTTTCCTAGGAAAAGAATAGTGAGGTCTCTCCCCTTGCAACTGTGAAGGGAACTTACTGATTTTGGATTTTTATCCTTCAAAAATCCCAAGAACTTCCAGGGGTCTAAGTGGCCCCATGGCCTCTGCTGAAAGTTGCCCCGTCGCCATTGAAATCTGCAATGGCACTCCTGAATTTTCCAGTCAAACTCAACCCTAAGCTTTGGTTTCCCAAGAGCCAAAGATGACATGTCACAGGCATGAGGCAGAGGGAGGAGCAAACATCATGGGAGAGGGGAAAGCAATGAGGAGAGTCCCAGTCAGTACTTCATTTGAGAGCTGAATGCAAAGCATAGGTAAGCAGAGTGGAGTATATTTGCCCTGCTTACACTCAGAGCTCCAGTTCTGGGCTTTCCCCACATATGTACGTTCAGAAGAGGTACTGAGTCCAGCAGGTAGAGCGAGGAACTCTAAGCCAGGGTTCTTGGTCCTATTCCTAGTTCTGCCACTGAGTTGGGGAAATTGTTCATCCTCTTTATGTTGCAGCCTCCTTTATGTTGCAGTTGTAAAATGGGGATAGTCAGATGTATTTATATGGGTGTGGTGATGGTCATCGTTTGCCTTGTGATCCCTGATTGGAAAGTGCTCCATAAGTATTATTAAATGGTAGATATTGCGGGGGGATGTTACAAACCATCTAACACTGCATCCATGTAGTAGGATTTTCCCCACCAATAGTCAGCTGTTCTTTCTGCCTAAGAGTGGGTGCATTTAGCAGATGATATACTGCACTCGTCCTCATCCTGCTTTCCCTATGACTTCGCATTGATGGTGGCACTCAGGCCGCTCGACAATTTAACTTTACCCCCGCACCCCTACCCCGGCCCTATTTTTATGGCCTTGCTTTCATATCCAGTGAGTGTGTGTGTTAATTTCCTGATAGGAAACCATCTGTTTTTATGGTTCAAACTTAATTGAGGAAAGTGAAACAATGAGCCATTGGAAGTCAGAGATCTGGAATTTGATTGCAGCAGAGGTTCTCCTCTGTTTCCCACAGTGCAAGAGCGACAGATGGAGTGAATGGGAGGAGGGACAGAAAAAAATATTACATTAAAAAATGACAATAGGAGGCCCACTGACGGGGCGGGGGGGCAAAGGGGGCAATTGCCCAGGGGCCTGGGCGATTTAAAAGGGCCCAGAGGCCCCCAGCCGCGGCCAGCAGTTCAGCACAGCGGAGCTAAGGCAGGCTTTCTGCCCGCCCTCACTCTGCACCACTCCCGGAAGCAGATGGAACGGCCCTACGGCCCCTGGGGGGACAGGGGGTCTCCGCGCGCTGCCCCCGCCCTGAGCGCTGATTCCGCAGCTCGCATTGGCCGGGAACTGCAGGCAGCAGCACACAGAGACCCCCCTGACCCCCCAGTCTAGGAGCCACTGCCAAAGGGGTGTGCAGGTCACTTTTGGGAGCCACCCGAGGTAAGCACCAACCCCCTGACCCCCTCCTGCACCCCAACCCCCTGTCCCAGCCCAGAGCCAGCACCCTGTACCCAAACTCCCTCCCAGAGCCCGCACCCCACATCCCCTCCCACACGCAAACTCCCTCCCAGAACCTGTACCCCCTCTCACACTCAAACTCCCTCTCGGAGCCTGACCCCTCACCTCCTCCTGCACTCAAACTCCCTCTCGGAGCCCTTACCCCAGCCCCCTGCCTGGTGAAAGTGAGTGAGGATGTGGGAGAGCGAGCGACAGAGAGAGGGGGGATGCAGTGAGCGGGTGGTGGGCCTTCAGAAGGGGCAGGACAGGAGCGTGGCCTCAGGGAAGGGGCGGGCTAGGGGGTGGGGCAAGGTTCTTTGGGTTTGCGCAATTAGACAGTTGGCAGCCCTACCAGGCAGGCATGTGCAATCCCTGGCCGTGCCGGAAGAGCGCGCATAGCAGTGTTTGTGGCAGCTTGCTGGGCACCAGCCAGCGCAGGAGCAGCACCGCCCAAATGTCAGGCGGACCGCATCTGGGGCTTGTGCGTCCATGGGGGCCCATTGACTGTCCTGCCCTGAGGCCCGGAACTGCTGTCGGCTGGCCTGACCATAGGGAGATCAGTTAAAACAAGTAACTCCCCCTTCCTTATGCATCTCTTTCAGCTGACCCCGTGGCTCATCTCCCCCTCTCCTTGGTTTTGTCTGTCGTGACTTCAGCACTGGTTGCTGCCCTCATTCTGGCTTTTTCCGGGATCATGATAGGTGAGTTTCTCATAAAGCGAAATGTGCATAGAGAAGCAAAAGTTGCAGCATATTGTGCTTCTCACCTGAGCCATTTCTAGCAGAGCCAAGAACATTGGCATGAGGACTCAGGCTTTAAGCTGTGTTGGGTTTTTTTTTTAATGAAAACTCATCTGTTTTCTTTTTTGATAAATGTTTTTAAGCAAAACAACCAATTTAGGGACATTTTTCCTTGTGAAGGGAAAGTTGAAAAAGTGTGGGGGGGGATTTAGTTTGAGCAATAGTTTTACACTTTATATTTCACCAGGCAGCAAATGGATATCCAGGTATAATTAAAATACCATCTTTGTCTTCCTTTTCTTTACTAGCTAGTGGCAAGGTCCTTCCATGACTGACTGCAGCATTGTAATACTTCTCATGATTGCATCCTTAAAGAGAGACTGTTGTGTGGTTTGGGGTGTAAAAATGTCAGACCACAATATCCAATTTTCACTAATTTTAAAGGGAGCTGTGAGTGCTCAGCACTTTCAAAAAAAATCAGTCCTCTTTTAGTTTAGGGAATTGACAATATGTATTTAGGTACTTACATTTAGTTACCCAAGTTTGAAAACCTTGGCCTAGATTCCAATTTTACAAATTATGGTTTAGTAAGACATGGATGTTCATGGCCTTTGTCAGAATTTTGATTACATCTTTTTTTAAATTTTTATTTAAACAATCCCATGCCTATATTCCTACTCTAAACATACCAGGATTATTGTGCTAATGCATGAGAACCAGTTATTCAAACTAGCCAGTCTTTCCATTGTCCACACTGAGGGAAATGCTTTTTAAAAATACACACACACAGAAGGTCAGATGGTCACTAGTAAATTAGATTTGTGTAGTTATTTCAGTTTAAGAATTTCAGATGTTGCTATTAATACATACACATGGTTTCAGATGTACAATTTCTGTTCTGACAGTATCCCCTTAAGGATCTAATTACTTTTCAATGAATAGAAGAATAACCAAATTCTTTCTGGCCATTCCTATCATTCTCATGAGCAGAATGAGAGCACAAGCAATCAAAGCAAAAGCAATGATAAGGTGAAAGGAGAACTAGGAGGGCTTGATAATAAGTCATTAAACCCATCCCCCTTTGTTAGTGGATGTTTTCCCCTTAAACTCTTCCTCTCAGTGACTTATCTATCAGAGCCGACATAGGACCAGTACAGCCACAGTCTTTGGGCCCAGTCTCGCTCCCATTGAAGTCAGTGGCAAAATTACTATTGGGCCTGTCCATGCTTGGGCCCTACTTTGTAAACTTACATGTGCAACTCCAATTACTTTCACAGCAAGACTAGCTTTGGTCTGTGATTTCCTAAGAAATGCTGTCTTTCACAGGCATGGAAAGCTAACGTAACAGCTAAGTGAGTTGATTCTGAGACTATAAGAACTGATTTCAGCTTTCCCCCAAATTTGAACCATGCCTGAGGTTTAGAAACATTTGGTCAAGTGGATGGATGTCTTTAAAAACTTTACACTTACACGCTAGATTCTCTTCATGCTTATGGGAATCAAGAGGGAGTTTCATAAACTGAAGTCATTTTATTTACATAACTTCATTGTGAGGGGAGAAATTTTACTTCTAAAGAGATTTCAGTGTGAACATTGTGATACGACGCAACTAAGCATGGACTTTTATTCAACTTCCTCATAAGCTAGGCTCTTAACCAAAACCCTGCATCCAAATGCCCTTGAACTTTGGGAAAGTTGGATCTGGATACTTTGAAGCCCAGACAATCTCTAACAAAACAGATTTGTTACTTCAGAGTTCACTGTTTGTGGATTTCACCCTATTCTTCAAATCAAGAAATACTGGAAGACTCATAAGTGAGCTTGTTCTTAGCCTAATTTCTAAACTGAACAAGTTGGATAAATTCAGCCTGAGCTTTGGAGAAGCACCTAGACTTCTGCATGCACGCGAAGTACAGATGGTTGACAATGCCCCCATTTATTTTGATTTATTGGAGTCTGAACACTAGACCAGTTCCTCAGCACATATGTTCTGTATTGGTTGCCTTCATGTTCACAGGGCAGTCTGCCTCTCTGATTCACTGTGCTCTATTTCTAGTGTATCGCCGGAAACATCAAGAGCTGCAAGCTATGCAGTTGGAATTACAGAGCCCTGAGTACAAACTGAGCAGGCTGCGCACCTCCACTATTATGACGGACTACAATCCTAACTACTGCTTTGCAGGAAAGACCACCTCCATCAGTGATCTCAAAGAGGTGTCTCGGAAAAATATCTCCCTCATAAGGTAAGCTCATCTGTTTGCCTTCCCCATACTTCACCCCATACACTCGTATACACTCTGTCTCTTACATACACACACACACACAATCTCTCTCTCACATTCTCATTCTTTCTATACATTCACACACCTGTCCCTACTCTTGGACACACAAAAGAGCTATGGCGGGTAGGGTATTCCATGACCATTGTGGGGACTGGTCTCCTTAGCCTTTCATAGGCTCATTGTTCATCTTCTGTCTTTTAGAAGGAACTGAAGAGCTATAACCATGAAGCCCAGTAATTCAGACCCCAGACATCTTTCTTCCAGGCTCTCAAACACTTTGTGGCATACCCCTGGTGTTTAGACCAAATATTAACTGATGTAATATGGGGAGCATGAGGTTTGGAGGAGGTTCGTTAGAAGTCTGTGACTGTATTCCTGGCAGTGAGTGATGAGAATCTAGATGCTACCTGACAGTGGCATTTGGACTATAAAAGCCAGAGATGGGGAAGTCTATCCATGGGCGTGAGCCACATTAAGATCTGGAACAGAACTTTTAAAAAGATTAGGGGGACTTGGGTTGGGGATCATCTCTAGGAAAGACCTGCAGAATCATCGAGTCCAACCCCGCTGCTATTGCAGGATAGTCCTCCCCCATAGAGGATATGATGTGACTCTGATATTACATGATCCTAGACACAAAGCCAAAAGACAGGATTAAGAAGCAGGAGGGTGTGGGAGATTCAGGAGCTTGTATTTCCAAAATCCTCCCTGAGATACAACAGATGAAGCCCACAACATCCACTACCACCCTCACTGTGTTGTCAGGTACTGCAGGGCTCTTCTGTCATATCTAATACCTCACTGTTCACAAGTTAGGACTTCCCAGTGCACTGTGTGCTGCCAAATGCTTTTGTCACACAGGCTGTGATGGGATCACTGAGTTTGTATCAAGCCACAGAGGGTAAAGGAAGCAGCTGGGAATTGATGGGAGAGGAGGGATAGGTTTATGAGCCATAGAGCTCGGTTTTATATCCCCATTTTACAAAGGGTGAGTAAGTGTTGCAGAGAACAATGTTTCAGGCTGACACTTATTGGGAATAATTGATATTTTCAGTCAAGCCACAGGCAATTTGACTCTGCAGTGTGGGTGAGCTGCCAGGGCTGACACCTGACAGTCAGAGAATGTAATGTTCTTTATCCTGGCAAAGAGTAAAGCCACTCTAAGTTGAACTGTATCTACAGAACAGGTACAGCATGGACAACAATAGCATAAGCTTCCCACCCTCGCCCACAAGGCATGTACCTTCACCTTATCTAGGAGGGACCATGATCTGGGGAGTTCACTCTCTATGATCTGCTGAGACCATCCACAGAGGTGTCATTTAGAACTGGAATGAGGCCACCTGCTTAATGGAAAGCAGACCACCCAGCAGCCATTCGAACTGGCCATCAGTCTGGGCCTGGTTCAAGCCAGTGCCATATAAGTGAATGACTCGGCATCCCACTGCAAGACAGCACCCCTAGAAAGCCCCCTCCATGTCAGCTTTGAGGAACAGGAGTATCGGGGGAGGGCTTGCACTGCCTCTGCCAAAGCTGAACCCCTCCGTGGTTGAAGAGGGGATTCCAGCGCTGTCAGTCCAGCAGCTTCCATCTCCGCTACATTCACCGTGGTGGTGTTATGCTGTGTAGCTGAGCCCATAATGCCCATGTGATGTGGCGGCTGTTGCACTTAATGCTTTAAGACAGGTTTCAGAGGAACAGCCGTGTTAGTCTGTATTCGCAAAAAGAAAAGGAGTACTTGTGGCACCTTAGAGACTAACCAATCTCTAAGGTGCCACAAGTACTCCTTTTCTTAATGCTTTAACTTTCATTAACTGAAAACCAGAATAAGTGGTGACACAAAACTTCTATAATGAGCACAATGGAGAAAATGTGCATGCGTGGAGTGTAATATTTATTTATTTGCTTTTTTCTCTATCTTGTTTCATAATTAAACTTCAAACCTTCTTCATAATTTGTTAACATCTATAGTAATCGTTTTTAGCACTTACATAGCGCGCTGTACTACACAGCTTCTCCTTTGATGCTTTCTTTAAGTGAGATATATAATTGTATGAGGAGTTGTTAGCAAATTTAGAGTATGACTATCAAATGAACAGTGTATCCATGATAGGCCCATCTTTTCTAGCTCACTTTTGAGATACACAGCAAGTAAACTGAAATTAAAAACCGTTCTTGTACTAGCGTAAGAGGACAATGCTATGTACTACTGTGCCAGCCCTTTAACTCCAGTAGATTGGCTTCATTGGGCATCGTTCGTAGTTTCCAAGGCCAGAAGGGGACTATTGTGCTCATCTAGTCTGACCGCCTGTATAGCATAAGCCATAGAACTGCCCCCAAAGTAATTCCTAGAGCAGAGCTTTCAGAAAAACATCCAATCTTGATTTTAACATGGTCAGTGATGGAGATGACCCTTGGTAACTTGTTCCAGTGGTTAATTACCCTCACTGTCAAAAATGTATGCCTTATTTCCAGATTGAATTTGTCTAGCTTCAACTTCCACCCACTGTATCATGTCATACCTTTCTCTGCTAGATTGAGGAGCCCAGTATTAAATATTTGTTCCCCAGGTAGGTACTTATAGACTGTAATCAAGTCAACCTTTAACTTTCTCTTTGTTTGAGAGAGCTCTCTGAGTCTATCACTAGAAAACCTGTCTTATAACCCTTTAGTCTCGTGGCTCTTCTCTGAATCCTCTCAAATTTATCAACATCCTTCTTGAACTGTGGCCACCAGAACCAGACACACTATTCCAGCAGTGGTTGCACCAGTGCCAAATACAGAGGTAAAACACACCTCTTGAGATTTCCCTATTTATGCATCCCAGAATTGTATTAGCTCTTTTGGCCACAGTGTGACACTGGCAGTTTGTGTTCAGCTGATTACCCACCATGACCCCCTAAATCTTTTTCAGAGTCACTGCTTCCCAGGATAGAGTTCCCCAGCTTACATTCTTTGTTCATAGATGTGCACATTTACATACTGTATAGCCATGTTAAAATGTATATTGTTTGCTTGCGCCCAGTTTCCCAACTGAGCTGGATTGCTCTGAATCAGTGACCTGTCCTCTTCATCATCTACCACTCCCCCAATTTTTGTGTCATCTGCAAACTTTATCGGTGATGATTTTATTTTTTTTTTCCCCAGGTTCTTGATAAAAATGTTAAATAGTATAGGGCCAAAAAACAAGCCCTGTGGTACCCCACTGGAAACAAACCCTTTCAATTATGATGTCCCTTTTACAGTTATATTTTGAGACCTCTCAGTTAGCCAGTGTTTAATCCCTTTAATGTATGCCATATTAATTTTACATCATTCTAATTTTTAATCAAAATGTTGTGCGGTACCAGGTCAAAAACTTCACAAAAGTCTAAGTATATTACATCAGAATTATTACCTTTATCAACCAACTTGTAATCTGATAAAAAAAAAAGAAAGAGGAGTACTTGTGGCACCTTTGAGACTAACAAATTTATTTGAGCATAACAAATTTAAAAAAAAAAGATATCAAGTGAGTTGGACAGGATCTATTTTCCATAAACCAATGTTGATTTGCATTAATTACATTACCTCCCTTTAATTTTTTAATTCTTTATTAATCAAGTCCCGCATCAGCCACTCCATTATCTTGCCCAGGATCGATGTCAGGCTGACAGACCTATCCTTTTTAACCTTTTTAAAAATTGGTGCAACATTAGCTTTCTTCCAGTCTTCTGGAACTTCCCCAGTGTTCCAAGACTTCTTGAAAATCAATGTTAATGGTCCAGGAAGCTCTTCAGCCAGCTCTTTTAAAACTCTTGGATGCAAGTTATCCAGAGCTGCTGACTTTAAAATGTCCAACTTTAGTAGCTTCTGTTCAATGATCTTCTCAGACACTAGTAGAATAGAAAGAATGTTATCATCACTATATGATGAGACTATATCATCTGTTTTTTCTCCAAATACAGAACAGAAATATTTATTAAACACTTCTGCCTTTTCTGAATTATTATTGGTAATTGTACCACTTCCATCTAGTAATGGACCAATATCATTGTCAGGATTCTTTTTATTCCTAATATTTTTTTAAATCCTTATTGTCCTTAACTCTGCAGGCCACAGATTTCACCTTGTGTCCCTTGGCTTCCCTTGTCAATTTTCTACAATTTCTAACTTCAGATGTATATTCATTACTACCAACTGCCTCCTTCTTCCATTTGTAATTATATATATTATATTTATTTTTTTATAGCTGCCTTCACTTCCTTTCTAAACCAGGTCAAAATTTTTACCAGTACAGCTTTCTTCCTCAATTGTGTGATTTTGGCTGTTTTGGCATCTAGTGTAAGGTGTTCTTTATTATAATTCATGTTTTTCAAATTAAATTCTTCCTCCCAGCTAATTTGATTTAGTATTCTTTTCACCTTTATGAAACTGATCCTATTAAAGAGCACATGCGCCCGTGCACACACACACACATAGATAGTGTTTGTAGGTGTGTGTGTAGATATATATATTATATTACTAGTCTGGACTTTATGCTGCTTGTACATGATAAATGTGATCAAGTCATGATCACTTGTACCTAAGCTATCATTAATTTTAATTTTGTGATCAGTTCTTCTTTATCTGTTAAGACAAAGTCTAATAAAGAATTCCTCCAGCATATGTCACTCACATTGAAATCTCTCGTGATCATGTAGAATTTTTTCCTACACAATGTAGATAGGTATATAAGAAGCCCTGGTGTGATTTGGTGCTCAGTAGCAGACACTTACTAATACCCCATCTTGTGCTTTATCTTTTAGGACATTGATCCATAATCATTCAACATTATTTTCCTCTGAGTTATAAGTGACTTGGAAATGGGTTATTATACATTAAGGATCCACAAGCTGTTACTTCTGAGGGCCACCTCCCCTAGCAGTTTTTACAGTGTAGGTCAAAGATAGACAAAATCGAGAGTGGAAATCAAGCCATGTTCCCACAAATGGCTGTGCAGAGTGCTACCAGTAGCATGGCCAAGAATGAAGTTTCAGTTCTTCATATTTTACTGTCATAGAAGCTATACCCATGTTCTGTTTCCTGTGATCAGAACATTACAGTGTGCATGCTCTGCATTAAAACCTCCTTATCTTTTCTGGTTTATCCAGGGGTTTGGGCCATGGAGCCTTTGGCGAAGTATATGAAGGTCAGGTGGTGGGGATCCCGAGTGACCCCAGTCCCTTACAGGTGGCTGTGAAGGTAAGCGACAATATGTGAGTAATCACAATAATAACACTTTGTGCACCTTTCATCCAGGGGCCCCAAAGCATTATAAAAACATTGATAAATTAAGCCTTACAACACCTCTAGAAGATAGGTGTGTATTGTCCCTGTTTTGCAGATGGGGACACTAAGGCACAGAACAGGTGAGATGATTTCTGTTGGGTCACTTGGGCAGAGTAATAATACCTAGCTTTTACATAGCGTTTTTCATCCATACATCTCAAAGCCCTTTACAAAGGACAGTAGGTATCACTGTGCCTGTTGTACATGATCTACTGACTCCCTTGTCCAGTGCCCTATCTTTGCCTTGGGCCATGTTGCATCGTTCACAATCCCCTGCCCCGACCACTAGCCATGCTCATCATGTCCATCAACAAGATTGTTTATTTTAGAATCTCAGAGAAATTAATCCAGCTGATTCAACCTTATCCAAATGAGAAATTGCATTACAGAGAACTTTATTTCCAAGCTGTCAGCTTGCATCTATTACCATCTGACCATGTTCTGTGTGATGTCTGACATTGCTGTAAATGAAGCTAACACATAGCTGGTAATGATGAGCTCCAGCAGCGGGGTTACTAGAGCCCAGTGCACTTTGCTGGGGTGGCGTGTAACTTTGGCCTCACTGTCAGAGAACGAAAAGCGAAGTTATATACTAGCCAGCTCCTCAACAACCTTACCACGCCCCATCAGTGATCTTGGAAGGTGCCACACTCCAAGCCATCAAGCAGTTTACTTATCTCGCTAGCATGACTACAGATAAAAATCAAAGTCTATAATGCTGTTGTCCTCAAAACTTTGCACTACGATTGAAAAACATGGACCTGTTATCAATGGCACATAAAAATCTTGACAGTTTCCATTTATGACACCAGTGAGGATTGCTAGGCATCAAATGGCAGGACTGGGTTTCCAATATAGAATTCCTGGCAAAAGCTGGTTCGGTTGGTATTGAGCTCATTTGATCTGCACACACTTGAGATGGACTGTCCATGTAATTCATATGCCTGAGACCCATTTATTATAACAAGTTGCATATCCCCAATTAAGCTCCAGGAATTGTAAGCATGGAGGGCAGATGAAACGCTTCAAAGTCACCCTCAAACCAAATCTGCCCCAAAACAAACATTTCTGACTCAACCTTTGAGCAACTGGCAATTGATCATATTGCATGGTGCCACAGCCATAAGGGTGGGTGTTCACAATTTTGAGAAGAATCACTTTGCGTAGCTGGAAGCATAGTGCCAAGCACGGAAACAGCAAGCAGCACAACTAGGCAAATGGCTCTGTGGCCAGTGTGGTAAATGTTGTTCTTCCCAAATTGGTCTGTGGAGTCACCCGAAGACCCGTTAGTACAAACTATGATTGTTGACGTCATCCTTGAAATCAAGGTGACTAGCATCAGATGCAGATTTCCAGTACAGCAGTAGCTGATTGTAGTGGTCGGGAAAGAATCTGTTTAGGCATTATATCACACTCAACACAATAGAGTCCCCAATATATACAACATTGTGCAATTAACTGTTTGCATTATGCGGTGTTTCTTCTTCATCTGAAGTATCTGGCTATAGGCCACTGCCAGGAGGAGGATACTGGGCTTGATGGACCAGTGTTCTGATCTGATGGCCAATCCCCCATGCCTGCCAACAGGGCTTCACAACCCAGTCTGAAAATAGCATGTTAGTTAGCTTGGTGTGAGAGTTTGTTGTGGGGAGAAGGGGATCGCTGCAGACTGTGTATGTTCTGGGATTCTACAATCATGAGACTAAAACCTCTCTCTCCCTTCTTGTCCGGTCTTTTCCAGACATTGCCAGAGATGTGTTCAGAGCAAGATGAGCTGGATTTCCTCATGGAAGCTCTTATTATCAGGTGTGTTAATAAAAGGTAACCAAGGGCTTATGTGGGCTATGCATGGCAAAGCACAGGTCCTATAAGATGAAAAGTGTTCTGTGATGTATAATGATGTTAAAACATTCATACTGCACTTTTCACCCAAAGCTATCAAAGTGCTTGACAATGGCAGGTGGGCACTATTCTCTCTTTTTTAAAAATCAGATTGTGAAACTGAGGCTCAGAAAGGTTGACGCTAATGTTCTTAAAACGGTCCATTGAATTTAGATGCTTTAAGGTCTGGGTGCCCAACCTGGAACACCGAGGCCCTAGTTTTCAAGCATAATTACCTCCCCCATTCACCTGGAGCTCAGCACACGAGAAGATCCAGCCCTGTTTGTCTTAGGTTGGGCCACACAGAGACCACACAGAGTCAGTGGCAGAGTCACAGATCCCAGACAGCCAATTTTCCATTCCACTAAGAGCTGGGGACACAAAGCGGCATTGAAAACGGTGGTATTAGGACCCTGGGTAATACCCCCTACATAACTGACTCCCATGTCTGTGTATTGCTGCTGGAACAACCCTACTCCCAGTCCAGGCATAGGGAAGTCAGCGGGGAGGTAGAAGACGTGGGTGAGGAGGGCGCATGCCCACAGCACAGTGAATTGTGGCTGTTCTCTGCTTCCCAGGGCCCATAGGCTGTGCCAAACCCAGAATATAGGGAGTGCAAAGGGGACTGAAAGGGGGCATCCTTCCCATCCTCCGTTCCCACTCCAAGAACAGAGGCAGGCTAACAGAGAACTGGGGCCAGTGTCTTCAAACCAGTAGCGTTGCTAATTAGGTCTACCAACGGTGATAGCTTAGACTTGGCAGCATCACAGACCATACCTGCATTTGACTGGCTCAGCACCCCTTCAGCTACATTGTTTCCTCTGGATAACCAGCTTCTCTGTGGGAGGGCAAGTTGACTCTCCCCATCAAGGTGCCTTTTGGTTCAAAGCTGCCCTTCCGTTGAGTCTCGCTTTCTCCGCAGCAAGTTCAACCACCAGAACATTGTGCGCTGTGTTGGGGTCAGCTTACAGGCACTGCCACGCTTCATCCTCCTGGAGCTTATGGCTGGAGGGGACCTGAAATCCTTCCTGAGGGAAACGCGGCCTCGACCGGTAAGGCGGGATGGGGGAAATTATCTTTCTCCACTAGTTTTGCAACCTGTGCCTTGCTCTCCCTGCCATTTCTTCCTTGTTTAACTGCACTGGTGTTCTTCCTGGCTCCTCTCCTAAGAGCTCTCCAAGCATTACAAGTAGCTAAACTAAAGCACGCTCACACCACTGATCTATTAATAATTGGGAATGGCCACCAGTAATTTTTCCCTAATAACATGATGTGTCCACATAATTAGAACCTGTTTATTTTCTGAGAGACTGGATGCTTTAGAGCAGCAGTTCCCAAACTGTATTCCAGGGACATGTGTGATCCACAGAGCACTTGCTGGTGGCCTGCAGAGAGCTGGCTGGTCACATCGTGCTGAATCCTTCTCCTAGTTTCCAGTCACTTCTACAGGTCTCCAGGCTCTCTGAGTATTAGGAGGCAGAGCCAGTCTAGCTAGCCTTTGATAAAGCCCATTGCTCTATGAAAGGAGGAGAAAGAGAAGCCACCCTGAGTCAGGAACCTGAGCCACCAGTGGGTCTGAAGCTGCCAGACAACTCCAGGAGAGGAACATGTAAGGAAGAGGGGTACACAAGGCAGCCAGATAATATACCCATGGGACCGGGGAGATGGGCCAATTGGTGAAGGAGCAGCATGTCCGTGGAGGAGGGGGAGGAAGAGGAACAGATCAGATGGGACGGGGGAAGAAAAGCAGAGAGTAGGGTTTACTGTTTTTTTAAAACATGTAACATTTATCACACCAGAGTCCCTTAAATCACATAAATCCTTCCCCAATGGCACTTTGCCACGTCCGCAATTGCCACAAGGCTACAATGTGACAGCAAATGGGAGGCGAGGTGTCCACCAGATAATCTCGCTAAAAAGTCTCCAACCCTCTTGTGTAGAGGGTTGGTTAAGGGAGCAGAGCCTTTCATCGCTGGATCACTAGTTCAAATACCGCTTAGTAGGGACTAAAAGCTGTTGTTGTTGTTTTATTTATTTGAACTGCAGTAGCCCCTCGGAGCGCCAGTCATGGACCAGGACCCCACTGTTCTACGTGCTGTATAAACACAGAACAAAAAGATGGTCGTGCCCCAATAAGCTGACAAATTTAAGCAGAGTTCAGTGGCTGAGGTGGAAAGAGTCAGTAGTTTCACTTGTGAGCTTTCCTCAGTGTTTACCCCCTTTAAAAATGTGGTGGCTTTTTCATTGCCTATGGCAACTGTTTCTAAAATCCCAGCACCCATAAAATCTGGAGGTCTTTATCAGACCACTGGTAACATTAGTAAAAAAAAAAAAAAAAAAAGAACTAAAGACAGTTTGGATGAAAGAGTATGAATAGGTCCCAAAGCCCTCAGCCCCTTTCTGGAAAAGGAGGGGATTAAGCGGTGTGCTGAAAAGGGGGAGGAGAAATTTAGGCCTGCGCTCACTCCAAAAAGAAGACATTGGTGAGCTGGAGCTGATTTGTTTGCACTGGTGTAAATCAGGAGTAGCTCCATTTAAGTCAGTGGAATTACACAAGCATAAAACTGATGTAAGCTAGAGGAGACTCATTCCTTGAATTGGTGGGTTCAAGAAGCTGCTATGTTATTTAAAATGTCCTGTGTTCTTAGAGCCTTTCCCGGTGAAACCAGAACCACCAGGAAATGTTGTATAACGATAACTAGAAAGTGTCTGCCAAAGTTTACTGATGCTAAGCAAAATAGATTCGAGTCCAGCCAAACCACTGGATCAGCAAAGGTCTAGATGTTGGGGAAGCTTAGCACCAAACTTGTCAGATTGTCTGTCTCTTTCTTTGAGCCCAGAGCAAAACTCTGGATCTTGTAGGACCCTTGCAGTAGAGAAGAGAGAGGAGTTGGCTGTAATGCATACAAAGGGGATTCCTTATGGAGACTGCTGGACTCAAACAGACTCTGTGGTGACTAAAAACAGCCTGTGCTGTTTAATCTCACTAGAAGGGGTCTCTCTAAACCATGGCCTGGATTAAGCGCTCATGAAAGTCTCTGCTGACCACACTATGGGGCCAAACACCCAGAACTGTGCGGGTTTGAAATACACATCTCGACAGACAATTTCTAGGATAGAATCGAGTTTGGTTCTTTGCAACACCTTGTGTTGTGGTCCTGTCAGACATCACAATGAAGCGGCGTCTGGCTGGAGGTGAGCCCACACTGGAGCACTCGACTCAAAGAAGAGGCGGGCGCAGGGGTAATTCAGAACCAAGGCCAGGTATCTTAGACTTTACAACCTGGGCTCTGCTCTTGATATGGTGCCACAGGAAGCAGCATAGTGGAGCAGCAGGTTGTGGTTTCCCGCTGAGTCGGTACAGATCCACAGCCCTAACGCCAGAGCAAGCCGGGCTGCTGGAGGTGCTGACTGTCAGAGGAAACTGAGGAATGGTGTGTGGCCGGGCCCACCATCGCTCCACAATGTAGTGCTTGTTTCAGCTCATTAAATGAGAGAGAGAAGCCAAGACTGCAATGCCCTGGGCCCTAGTGGAGAAGCACCCAGGATATTCATTGTGAACTGCAGGCATTTTGACCTATTTCTTACAGGAAAATAAACCAGACACTTTTGAGGATAAAAGGCCCTTTATGTTCATAGAATGAAATCACTGACATTGCTTGAGCTGAGGGTTTTCTCTTTTTTTTTTTTTTTTTTTTTGCCCATCTACTGTTTGTAAGTACCACCCCATGCATCAGTGCTTTCATCTCCCCATGTCAGCAGCTGTTCTGCTCAGTCTCTCTGACAGCTAGTGGCAAACACAGAGTTAAGAGTGATGTACACACAAATGAGGAAATGTGGAAAGCTTCTGTATGCCTGTGCTCTATGTAACAAGTATTCTTTCCTAGTTACTTCTCCCTTTACCCCTCTCCTTCCTTCCCAATCTCTTCCTTGACCTTCCTTCTGCCCTTCCTGGGCTCCATTAGGTGGTTCAGGAATAACATCATCAGATATTATGTAGGGGACTATTGTTTTGAGAGGGTAGCCCAGCTGGCAACTTCAGGAGCTCCCATGTCCCCCTGAACTAGAGACCCTCCACTAATACTGCATCTCACCCCCCACCAAACTCTGAGAAAGAGGAGGCTCAAACACTGGCTTGAACTTGGTGGCTTGGGCCGAACCAGAACTCCAGTTCTCAACATCCCTAAACTTTGGGCAAGTTCCAAACGTTGGATCCAAACATTCCAGCTCCACTTTGAACCCATCCTCACCCTTGGGGCCATGTATCACTGTCACCATCCTGTTTGAGGACTGCCAGGCAAGAGTCCCAGTGCAGCTCATTCTTTAGCTGTCAGAGTGGTTTTCGGGTGACTGGAGGCACCCGCTGGGTCTGAGAATGCTGCCTCCGTTGTTCACCCTGCACTTGCTGGCTCGGGAAGTACAAAGCCAGGGATTGCACTCATTGGTGTGATATCAGAGATGAGCAGTGTGCTGTGCTCAAATGGCTAACAGTTATCATGCTAAAGTTGGGAATATTGGGCTGGAAATATGGATGCTCACTTATTTGGCTGGTAGGTTCCCTCCCATATGCTGGAGTTTGACCAATCCTGTGCACAACTGCTCTGGCCTGCAGCTATGCAGCTTGTATCTACTCAATCCTGCTCCTCGTGACCCCAAACTGAAGTTCAAAGTAGACAATCTGAGGGTATGTCCTCACTTAAAGGCTGCAGCGGCATGGCTGCAGCACTTCAATGTAGACACTCACTACAGCGACTGCAGAGGTTCTCCCGTTGCTGTAGTTAATCCACCTCCCCAAAAGGCAAGAGCTAGGTCAACAGAGGAATTCTTCCGTAAACCTAGCACTATCTACACCAGGAGTTAGGTCGTCTTAACTATCTCTCTCAGGGTGTGATTTTTCAGTGTAGACCAGCTCAGAGGGCAGGCTGTAGCAAAGTGACTTTCCCTTTGATCACGCAGATTTCTAGTCTCACCAACCATGTCGTACCCAGCCAGACAATGATGTTTTTTTAAAAAAACACTGACGGAGAAAAGGGAGTTTAGCTTCCTAGGTAAAATTAAGTACAAAGAGAAATCAGCTTTGGCAGGTACAGTGGTAATGCTTTACTGCCTACTGCATAACTACCCCTTTTGTCTCTCCCTTCTTGCTTTTCCTCCTCACTCTTTCTCTCCATTCTTCACCTTTCTTCCTACTTTCCCTGTCCGTCCCTTATTGTTATCATTTACAATTTGCCTGTCACTATCGCATCAAGGTACCACATACAATAAAAGAAACATTCAACTGGGCTGAACAAAAGAAGCATTCCATTGGACTCTAAACAAGAAATGTAACATTTATACACATAGGCCAAATCCTCAGCTGGTGAAAAATAGCCTATAATAAATAAGAATAAATCCATTGACTTCTGTGGAGCGTTACCAATTTATCCTAGCTGAGGGTTATCAAGATCAGAGGTGAGCCCAAGCCAGAAAGTTCAGATCCAAATTCTCCCAAATTTCAGGGATTCATGGACCCAAGGATGTCCGTGATGTCCCAGGGATGTTCTGTCCCACCTCTAATGAAGATCAGTGTCTATTTAGGGGCTGTACTTCCCTGCTTCTCAGCAGTAAGATAAGCTCAATAGATTTGGGTGGTACTTAGCTGCTCAAATGCCAGGAAAATACTGAGAACATTGCCAGGTTTCAGAGTAGCAGCCATGTTAGTCTGTATCTGCAAAAAGAAAAGGAGTACTTGTGACACCTTAGAGACTAACAAATTTATTTGAGCATAAGCTTTCGTGAGCTACAGCTCACTTCATCGGATGCATGCAGTGGAAAATACAGTGGGGTCTACCAATGTGATATATGCCATCATGTGCCAGCAATGCCCCTCTGCCATGTACATTGGCCAAACTGGACAGTCTTTACGTAAAAGAATAAATGGACACAAATCAGACGTCAAGAATTATTACATTCAAAAACTAGTCAGAGAACACTTCAGTGTCTCTGGTCACTTTGATTACAGACCTAAAAGTGCAAAAAGAAAAGGAGGACTTGTGGCACCTTAGCGACTAACCAATTTATTTGAGCATAAGCTTTCGTGAGCTACAGCTTAAATTGGTTAGTCTCTAAGGTGCCACAAGTACTCCTTTTCTTTTTGCGAATACAGACTAACACGGCTGTTACTCTGAGACCTAAAAGCGGCAATTCTTCAACAAAAAAACTTCAAAAACAGACTCCAACGAGAGACTGCTGAATTGGAATTAATTTGCAAACTGGATACAATTAACTTAGGCTGGAATAAAGACTGGGAGTTGATGGGTCATTACACAGAGTAAAACTATTTCCCCATGTTTATTTCCCCCACACACACACATACACACACACAAACACACACACTGTTCCTCAGACGTTCCTGTCAACAGCTGGAAATGGCCCACCTTGATTATCACTACAAAAGGTTCCCCGCCACCCACCCCACTCTCCTGCGGGTAATAGCTCACCTTACTTGATCACTCTCCTTACAGTGTGTATGGTAACACCCATTGTTTCATGTTCTCTGTGTATATAAAATCTCCCCACTGTATTTTCCACTGAATGCATCCGATGAAGTGAGCTGTAGCTCATGAAAGCTTATGCTCAAATAAATTTGTTAGTCTCTAAGGTGCCACAAGTATTTCTTTTCTTTTTTTGAGAACATTGCAAAATTCTCCTTTCTGTGGAGTTCAAAGCCCTATCTGTTTGGTCCTTTTCTCACGTGGCAAAGCAATCAGAGGATGGCTTTAGAAGATAAGCAGTAATTTCCTTTCCTTTGTATCCTGAAGCTTGTTGTTCAGAGTAGTGATTATACTGAACAATAGTCAGAGTTTGTTTTGCGGTCACCTTCACCTTTAGAGAGGTTGGACTTAAAGGGGAGGGGCGGGGGGACAGAAGATGTCGCTTTAGCGCTTCCAATGCACCCCTCGCTCTAAAGGCTGATCGTGAGCTACAGTTTCCAGCTGGTTTCTTTCTCTCCTCTGGGGAGCAAAAGTGGTAAACAGCTGTAAAGCGGATTCTCTAGTGTGTCAAGATTGCTCACTGCACAAAACGGTCTGAAAACTCTGTCTTTCAGACAAATTGCTCAGATAAATTGTCATTGGCTGATAAGTCACATCTGCTTTACAATTTCAATTTAGCCAAAAGTTGACCAAGGAAGGAAAAGCGTCACAATTAGAATCAGCTTGTGGCTTCATCCCTCGTCCTTCATCCCTTTGCCTTGTGTCTTAGCTCAATTCAGCCCAGGGGTCAGTTTCTGCACCCTGAAGAACTGGACTTTTTATTCACTGTGTAGCCATTGAGTTGGCTACTGGCTCCTGAACCGTGATCACAGGAGAAAGGCCATTAAATGGGTTGAAAGGTTTGAAGCAGCCCCTGCTCAAACCCCTAAGAAAAGACACCAGCACCCTTTTGTTGATCATTTTAGCCATATATTCAATGCTGATGAATCACTCAGTAATAGGCAGTGTAAGACTAAAAGAGATCCTCCATCAAAAAGTAAGGCTTCAGGGAACAACACTATGCACAAATAAATAAATAAAAGCCCAGCCCTTTTCTCCTATGTATTAGGGCACTTCAGTAATCCCTGTGCATGTTAAACAAACCATGTGTATAGTAAAACACAGGCAGGATAGATGAGTCTACACTGTCCCTTTTGCTTAACTGTGTGCGTGATGCTGTGCAGGTAAGCCTCTGCTCAGACAATGTATAATGCCGGGTGCTTTACAGTTCTTTGGTGCTGCCTTCATTAGACTCAGGTACCTTGGGGCTGGGTTTACCCCAACCCTTTCAGCCAAGACTAAGACCTCTGTTATAACAGCCAGTGCTCGCTGTTTCTTGTTCAATTGTGCATTCTGCAAACTGCAGGGAGGCTAGGAGCTGGTTAGGCTAAAGAGCTGGAGGGTGGCAGGAAGCAGCATACCAGGACCCTAGTGACCTTTCCTCATTAAGGGAGTGGGGCGTTTAGAGTCCTAGGTGCTGATGAACCAGTACTGCTGTGTGTATCAGTGAGTGGGGTATACAGCATTAAAAGATGCTGCTCTTTAATAGGTGCCATGAAGATGAACTGCTTGATTGGTGTGGAGAGTGCTGGCATGCCCGCCTATCAGTCATGTCACTTAAAGGCAATTCTTCCTCTCCAAAGTACATCATGTTGTTCTGCATGAATGTATGCTCCCTTTCCTATCACAGGACATCAGCTCCCTGCACTGATGAGCTCCTGGAGATTAAGTTAAATAACTAAAGGGGCAATTGATAAAAATCTACACATATGTGAAGGATGCAAATACCAAGATGGGACTCAGAAACTCAGATAATATGTGGGGGCAGTAGAAGAGGATGGGCTGATTGTTTAGGGTGATTTAAGGGAGTATGAATAATGGGATGAAACTGAGCAAAGATAAATTCAGGTTAAATATCACCCAAATACTTATAAGACTGAGACCATGGAATAGTCTCCCACGAGAGGAAGTATAAGCGCATTTAAAGCTAAACTGCATAAAGCATAAAGTTTCTTACACTGTAAGAAAAAAATCCTACCGCAGCTGTGAGGGGAATTAGGTGACCTACTACAGTAAGGCATCAGATTTAGTGATTCTGATTCTATTAGTGCAATTTGTGCGTATGATTAAGTGCCAGCACCATATATGAAACATTTATGCTAGTTGGAAAGCCATGTATGAAGTAATTTACATCCCCTTGTGTATTTGTGTTAGCATTTGATTCACGTCCCTCATTTGAGATCTCCCTAACTCAGTGGTGACTCATAGCTCTGAAGATGAACCATGCAGCATTTCTGCTTTAACTCCACTTTGTACCTTGTCTTTTGGTAGAGCCAACCCTCTTCCCTTTGCATGCTGGACTTGCTCCATGTGGCTCACGACATTGCATGTGGCTGTCAGTATTTGGAAGAAAACCACTTCATTCACAGGTGAGTAAGACCATTTGCTATTAAGGACTATTTACCATTGCCCTTTGTATGTGTGGGTGTGTATTGTATTGTAATATATTGGCTAGCATGTACGGGTAATTCTTGTAGTGAATATGTTTGTGTACCACTGCCCTCTAGTGGTTGGATGTTTTTAGAATATAAGAGCCAAAAGCCCAACAAATAGTAATTATTCACAGGGACTCTACTTTATCTCAAGTGAGGAAGGCCTGTATTCCTGGTGCCAAAGAACCTGAGCTCTATCCCCAGGGCCACAACATGCATGCAGTTTATTTGTCATCTGCACAAAAGCAACCTGGAATTTGTTACAGTAGGTTGCAGGCCTTCCCTCCAGCAAGCTTTGATTATTGCCCTTCTGTTCATTCTTGCATTCTGTGCTTCCTCGCTGTTCTCATCCTGGCCCTGGACACACACACGTTAAAGTTCAGACCTGGAATGAAAAATGGCACCATATGACTGACTGCTCCCAGTGTGTAAGATGTTTGAGATGGGCCTGATTCTAGCCACAAAGTCAAGCAAGGCTAGAGAGCCACTCACCTGTCCCCTTTTCAGTAGGGGTTGTTCCCATCCAGGCCTCAGATATGTGGTTAAGACAGCAATACTCTCTCCACATTTTCCAAACATCAATAATTTAATGATGACCTGAAGGCCCAGAGCTTCTCTTTCCAGGAGTATTTCTTAAATCCCCTCTGTTATGGTTCCAGGGTCAGCTGTACCTTTGACCCTTTGCTCAGTTTCCCCCGGGTACCTTTCCAAGAGACAGACCCAGCAGCTGCACTTCTCTCAGGATGAAATTCCACCATTCACCCCACTATTACACTGGGTCCCCTATTCACCAACTGGGAATCGTCAGCAGCTCCAGCTGTGTTTTGCCCGCTGCTGTAGATTTCTCTTTGGCACTTGTGACCAGTATGAAAGTGTAGTGACAGAGAACAGCTTGTTCCAAACAAAGTATTATTTATTTAACCGAAGGAACACAACAAACAGTGAGGGAAAGGATGTTGTGATGGCCAAGACTAGAACAAGACTAGGGTTCAAAAAAGAACTAGATAAGTTCATGGAGGATAGATCATCAATATCTATTGGACAGGCAGGGATGGTGTCCCTAGCCTCTGTTTGCCAGAAGCTGAGAATGGACGACAGGAGATGGATCACTTGGTGAATACCTGTTCTGTTTATTTCCTCTGGGGCACCTGGCATTGGCCGCTGTCGGAAGACAGGATACTGGGCTAGATGGACCTTTGGTCTGACCCAGTATGGTCGCTCTTATGTTCTAAAAGGGTTACAACAATAAAAGGCCTGTACGCATGTTATCATACCTATGCCTTAATCTTTCCTTGTCAGTTTAGATAGGTCCCACTTTTCCCAGGCTCCGCTGGCATTGGGCCTGGATGAGATAGACTGCAGCATCTGCCTCTGTGTCAGTCTGACCTTCAGTCTCCTCCTAGAGCTCACAGGCACTCTTTTATTCATTTAAAAGTCCCTTTGTTTGTCCTGGGACACCTGAACCTGGTCGGTCTGGTTTATGCATCTCGCCAGAGGGGTTGGAAGTAGAATTCCAGCACTGTACTGTCCATTAGGCACCAGTAGCTGAGTTAGAGTCATTGCCTGGTTCCTGTGTATGTGTTGAGAGGTACATTAAGAATTAACCCATAGTGTTCTATACAGCAAGCCCCACCACAATACTCAAACATATAGAGGTACACAAAATATTCATAAAAATAATGCAAATCTAGTCCACATTCTTCAGACCTTTTCAATATCTTCAGTAGTTCTAGTTTTAAGGAAATAATTTGAGAGTTTTGTAGCATCCAGCATGATTAAGAATAGCCAAATCTGTGGTCCTTCTGGCTGAAAAGTCCGAGGTGCTAACCATCAGTGCTTTCCCATTATCTCAGGTTTCAGAGTAACAGCCATGTTAGTCCCTTATCTCTCCCCACTGTCATGAACGGTCATTGGAAAAGTTCAGCAGCCACATGGAGCAGAGTTGCATGGCTTTGCAGGGGAGCCACAAACTTATTGCTGCAATTTTTTAGTTCACTTCTCTGAGGTGATTTTTCCAGGCTTGTGCTCTCGGTTTTCATTCTAGTAATTCAAGTGTCTGTCTAGTTTCTGAAATCCAAGTATGAGCATTTTCCTTGTAGCACTGACTGTTCTGCCTGCCTCTGGCATAGAAGTGACTACGCATGACAAAGATGTACTAGATATAGGGGCAGTACTCATGATTGGGACGGTGTGTTGTTGGAAGAGGTGGATTGTCCAACTCAGATCTTTTACTGCCACCTTTCTAGAGTCTCAACAACACTTGCGAGGATGGGGTGTTAGCAGGCGGCTCCTGCCATACTGAGTAATGTGTGTGTGGTGATAAAAGGCATTAAAGAATTATTACAAGTAGCAAATGGAATGTTTAAATGCAAAAGATTTTTTCTAAAACAGTGGGACATAGCTTGTTATCTGCAGATATTGACTTTACTGGGATTTGAAGGGTCTCAGCCCTTCAGAAAAGCAGGCCATGTTTTCTTGTCATTTCCTTGGGCTTTTGCAAAACTGTTGAAAGGTTAAATGATTTTTTTCTTTTCTCTCTCCCTCTCTTTCTGCTGCTTTCCTTCTCTCTTTCTCAGGGACATTGCTGCCAGGAACTGTCTCCTTACTTGTCAAGGGTCTGGGAGAGTAGCTAAAATTGGAGACTTTGGAATGGCCCGGGACATATACAGGTAATAGAACGCAGTCTATGGCGTCACTAAGCAGAAATTTACCAGAACGGGAGATTATGTGCCTAGTTAAGTGTCATCATGTGCTGCTCTGTTTAACCCCAGTAAAGGGATATTTCTGAAATCCTTCCCATATGACTCCCTGTCTGATGCAATTTTTGCTTTCAAGCTGTGGATTGACAGGCTGCTCACTGCTTTCTCAGAGCCTTCTCCTGGGAGGAGTTTTCCATATGGCCAGAGAACATTTTCCCCTTCTCTTGGATTCCATCCCTAGTTGTTTTCCTTTCACTTTCTCAGCACTAACTGGCATAAGTCATTGGTGTGCCCTTTTGTTCTGTGGCTCCAAATCACTTTGAGTTTAATCTCCCTCCTCCTTGGTATTGACCCTGTTCCCTTCCGTTTTTTTGTCATTAGTAAATCTACTCAACTGACTGCATATAAAGCAGGAAAGATCAGGAGACTGTAATTACCCAAACTGGAATTTAGCCAGGCCACTAGGGTTAATGATGCTGCGCTTGCAAGAAGTGCCAGGAAATCTTTAATGATCACAAGTGGTCAGGACATCAGTTTACAGCTCATCTGCAACTCAGAACCTTAGCGCCCCCTAACACAGTGCTGGGGAATTGATTCACTCCTGACTCAGTGGAAAGAAAGCCACTTACTGAATCATCAACACAATTTCTTATAGTACCTTGGGGTTTTTCTGTTAAGAGGTCACCCATGCAAGTACTGGGCAGGGCTGACCCTATTTATCTTGAGTTCTGGGAATCTCACAGCCTGAGGTGATGGGACTGTAGCACTCCCTTAGAGATGTGAGTGCATTTGAGCTCTTAGGTTTTTGTTACCAAACAAGACCCTACTACCATGAAGCCCTGCAATACAAGAGGACTCTGATATGGCAAAACAGCCTCTGTCACACATGCACACTTGGCACAACTAACTGCTAGTACTCTTTACTCCTCTTCAAAGGAGCCTATGAAATTTACACACTTTTCCATGCACAGACATTCACTTTGTGTGCACACTGTAGTTTGCATGCACCAGCTCCCATTTGTGACTGCCAGTACAAGGGTTTGATCTTGATGGATTTAATTTTAAATGATATTGACACAAAGGGCCTGATATCTAGCTAAGATTGTTAGGATTTTATGCTGGCAGCCATCACCGCAGTGTCTGGGTACCATCTACATAAAATTGATGGTAATAGCAAAATTCCTAGTGGATTTCATGTGCACTCTGGCTTTTCTCCCTTACCATGCTAAGAATGCTGCCTGGGGTATTCTCATAGACTCATAAACTTTAAGGCCAGAAGGGACCACCATGGTCTGACCTCCTGCACATTTCAGGCCACAGAACCTCACCCACCCACTCCTGTAATAGACCCTTAATCTCTGGCTGAGTTACTGAAGTCCTCAAATCATGGTTTAAAGACTTCCAGTGACAGAGACTCCACCATTTACACTAGTTTAAACCTGCAAGTGACCCAGGCCCCATGCTGCAGAGGAAGGTGAAAAACTCCAGGGTCTCTGCCAATCTGACCTAGCAGAGTTGTTTTCTGGTGGTTGATTTGTTTGTTATAGGTTTTTATTATTTTTGAGGGGGGTGCTTAATTGGATGTGGGTATCAATGCTGTGAAATGTCATTCCTGCTACAGTGAAAAAGCTTTTCCAAAGAGGAAGGTTTTGTTCTGAGACACTTACGCGTGTGAGTAATTCCAGTGGAACTATCCACAGGATTACTCACAAGTTGCGGGATCAGGCACAAAGTGAGGGACAGCACAGAACTGTCCCTACATTAAATGCCTGTTCCCACTGTTACTATGAATAGAAAAAGATCTTGTCAGTATAATCTCTGCCATGCTCCTTTGTCTATAAGAAAAGCCCCGATTTAAGCTCTTTACTAAACGAGCCAGTCCCCAGGCTGGTAACTGTAATCCTTTAATTAGAAAAGTACTATAGTAATGCCACTTTCTTTCTGAATCCTGGGCCGACTGTTCACTTTGTTTTTCCTCTGCAGGGCCAGCTATTATCGAAAGGGAGGGTGTGCAATGCTGCCAGTCAAATGGATGCCACCCGAGGCCTTTATGGAAGGAATATTTACATCAAAAACTGATACATGGTGGGCTTCTTTTTCTCGTAATTTGTTTTTACAAATGACTCACTCTCTACTTCCCACTGTAAAAGGAACACTTTCCCGTCCTTCCCCCCCCCCCCAAAAAAAAAAAAGAAGAAGAGATGGAGATTTGAAACCCAGGGATCTAGTGGAGGGGAGGAGGGAGCGAATAGCCGGATCCTTGCAACATGAAGACTTTCTCCTGAGAGCAATGGAACTGGCTTAGATGCTGTATTGGTTATGAACAGGTGATCTAGGAAGGAAGGTGTCAGCTGTATGCTATTGAAAGGAGTCTAGCCTCTTTGTAGGAGCAAACCATCTTTCAGTGGCAGGGACAGACACAGCCAGTGTCAGAGGAGCAAGTGGAAATGCCCTGAATTGCCACCTCCCCGTGGCCCAATGCAGCACATTAAGCCATGTGTTTCCAGGTCCCAGGGGAAGGTGGGAGGGAGATTGGGCTGGCCAAGTCAATGAAGGGCTGTGGATACCCCCAAAAGTGCAGGGTCTTGAGCAGTCACTTGAACTGTTTGTGTCTGAGCCTAGCCCTGCTCACTCTGCTGTGGCTGGCAGTCTCTCGTGTCAGGAAGCAGAGGGCCAGTGTTGACAGAGCAGGGGTACTGCTGATTGGGAAAGAAACGCTCAGGCGAAGCTGGGTCAGGAAGCCCGGAGTGCAGGAGAATGTTTGGGGAGAGGAGGCGACTGTGAAGCCACCAGTACTAATGTTCACCAGCTGCCTTCCCAGGATGTGGAGTGAGAGTATAAAGCCTGTTTCTCAGCTGATGGAACAAGTTAAATCCTCCCAAGGACACAGTAGCCTTGTATGCTGTCCATCAGCACCAATGTGGTGATCCTTGGGCTGTTTTATTCTGTTCCCAACCACACTGCAGTGTTTAACCCATAAAATGTTGGCATTTTCCAAGCTGCCAGTCAAATGAACGCTGAGGAGGTTGTATTTTCAATCTTCAGAGTGTTCCATGCCCAGCCACAAAGACCAAAGCTTGTGATGTAACCCAGGGAATATTCTAATTTTAATTCCCTGAAACATATGGGGCTAGGACTCTGCAGCTAGGGGTCACTTGTATCATCTGTACAAGAGCAAAGTACATTGTTGTTTATTCAGGAACACAGGATTTCCCATAAAGGATCAAACCACAGTCCTGCCTCCGGCAGCGGCTAATACCCAATGCCTCAAAAGAATGTAAGTCCTCTCACAATAATCCACCTGTTGTATCAAATTATGACATGCTAGACACAAAGTATGTATGATTATTTCCTGACCCTGCTGGGCAAACAGTGTAGTTGTACTCTGAAGCATGACATTTAATTACCCACATCACAGTCTTGGCTTGCTTAATAACTGTTGTTACTGATGCCCATAAAATCATCCAGCCCTTCTTTTACATCAGCCACTTTGTCTTCATGTTCTCCTGCAGCTGAGAATTCTGCAGGTTGACTGACTGTAGGGTGCACAAAGCAAATACTGTTTTTAATGGCTCTAAGTGCATAGCCGTTGAATTGCAATACTATTTTGTGCTTGTGTCCTTGACCTTCTTTCCTTCTGTTCTGTGTCCAGGTCCTTTGGTGTGTTGCTGTGGGAGATATTCTCTCTTGGATACATGCCTTATCCTAGCAAAAGTAACCAGGAAGTTCTGGAGTTCGTAACTAATGGAGGAAGGATGGATCCACCCAAAAACTGCCCTGGCCCTGTGTATGAGACTAACTCATTTTGTGCATGAACACTCTGCTCTGGCCAGAAGATTATTAGCTTTATTACCATATATTTAATGACCTTCCTTAATGAACTCAAGTTCCAAAGACTTTTTCCCTACTGGTAATGTTATCTGTCAGCCCTTTTAGGTTAGTAGTCGATGCCTTCTTGGGAAGTATTGACCATTGGCTAGTGTATTAACAAATATTGGTCAATAGCTCTGTCCTTCAGATTAGATGTAAAACTGCAAGTTCTGACCACCTGTGGCCATGAAAGATCCCTGGTGTTGCTCACAAGTAGCAAAACCTTGGCTCAGTTAATTATGTTCTAACCTGCCTACAGTGAATTCCTTGTATGGTTTCAGTTGGGGCAGGTCATTTTTCTGAAGTGTCACTAGATTCCACCCCACAGGTGGTGGGTGAAGCAGTACATCTACCTGGATGGCCTGATTTTCAAATATGCTGTAGGGGCTCGGTGCCTTTGAAAATCAGTTCAATGGTGTTGGGACCCTTTGGAATAAAAGGTAGCACACAATTATCACTAGATCTCCTGCAGTACAGCATGGCTTCCAATTTAGTTTCTCAAGGCGATACTTCCCTGACTAGCCACCAAGGGCAGTGTATGACATCGAGTAACATCCTGTCTTCATCTGAATGGCCCACCTAAGGCTGTGTGGAAAAGGAACATCATGGTTTGGCAGGAATATTTTCAAAGGATGTATGGTAGAAGAGACTCCTGACAAGGCACCTCTGTGGGAATTCCCAAACCACTTCTTTGAATCCATACCCCCATTCGTATCAGTTTGATTTCTAAATGGCAGTTGGAGCAGCTTCCCTCTCCATAGAGGTGTTTTTCCCCCCAGTACCAGACATAATGTTTCGAGTTTGTGGGAAGTGAGGAGGGGATTGGATGGAAATAGCCACTTTGTTAGGTCTTCCCCATATGTAGCAAAGGCCTGATTTTTTCACCAGTGGTGTCAATTTCACGACACGTTCCTACCAGCAGCATTTAAGGGTCTATTTGGCCCTTGAGGTGCACTATCTGCGTGCAGATGGAGAGTGGTATAGGCCCCTACACTTGAAGCCACAGCAGGATGGACTTTTTCAATTTTCGTGGAAGGTGACAATGAACACTTGGTGGGCGGGTGGGTACTGATGGACCATGGTGAACTGAAGTTCATTAACTACCAAACAAATCTTCCTTTTGCCTTCCTGCTTGTCATGATTTTCTCTCCTTCTGCTGTTGTAGGTATCGTATAATGACCCAGTGCTGGCAGCACCAGCCTGAAGACAGGCCAAACTTTGCCATAATACTGGAGAGGATTGAATACTGCACGCAGGTATTTGCTTTATCATCTTGCAGCATAAGACAACCAGTGGGCAGTACTGCACTACCTCAGTGAGCTCTAAACATGTATGTTGTGTTAGCCCGAAATCAGTGTCATGTAGTAAACGGAGGTGATGGATTCTCTCTGCCCTTCAGAAACACATGCTTCCATCTCACTGCCCAAAGAGCGGGGTGCCCCTCACTGCCCATGCACACACCCCACAGGAGGAGAGGCTGTACACAGGCATAGCAACTCTGTGACTGCTGTTTCTACATCAAGGTACAGTTCCTCAGCAAGCCAAAGGCCTGAGCCAGTCCACCAGGTTGCACTCGAGCACTTTCACTCCTTTCTTCCCTAGCTGTGCTGCAAGGGGATTGCCAGGTAACAGCCACTTTGCACATTTTAATTCTTAAGACGTTGACCAGTACTGAGCTGGGATGGATCTGACCCAGGGCACCAGTTCCAGTAGACCCCTTGAACTGCGGAGAGATTTGGATCCAGACCGAAATTTCTTGGTTAGAGCCAAGATGGATCTGAACTGGAACACTGGAGGCAGTGATGAACTCTGGGGCAGCCTGGATCTAGATTCAGATTACATTTCTTGGGGACTGCAGTGCTATAGGAGCTCTAAGGTCAAGCAGAGGGATTGGGTCTCCTGACTTGAACCTGATTTCCCTTTTTAGTACACAGCTCATTAACCCAGCTCTCCCAGTCTAGTGGTCTCGCAAATGAAGCCGTCAAGAAACTGTTGGCTTGCAAGCTTTGGCACAGACCTGCACAAGGCCAGGCAGCATGTCATTTCACCACTCTGAGCTTCAGTTTCCCCATGTGTAAAATAGGGCTGGTACTGATCCACCCGCTGGGGTGTTGTGAGCTATGTTCCCTCGAAGGTGCACTCCTTCGCGGCTGTGCAAGAGGCCATCAAAGGCCGCACACTTAATTAGCAGAGCCACACAGGTGTGCACACTGCACACAGGTGGGCCTGGAAGATGGCAGTGGGGTGAGGTGCGGGCAGTGAGGTGAGGTGTGGGATGGAAGATGGCAGTGGGGTGAGATGGGGAATAGGGGGTAGGTGGGGGCAGTGGAGTGAGGTGTGGGATGGTGATAGGGAAGCTTGGGGCATGTGGGGCTGTGGCATGGCCAATAGCGACATCTCTGCCCCCCAGCCCGGGGGCTGTGGTGGGGAGAGACGCCTCTCCCCCGGCCCGAGACGCTTCTCCCTCCCAGCTCCAGGGCTGTGACGGGCTGAGACACATCTTCCCCAGCCCGAGACGCCTCTCCCTCCCTACCCAGGGGCTGTGGCGGGCGAGGTGCCTCTCTCTCCCAACCCTGGGGCTGCGGCGGGGCGAGGTGCCTCCCCCTCCCAACTCCGGGGCTGTGGTGGGGTGAGACGCCTCTCCTCCAGCTCCGGCCCTGGCCCCGGCTATGGAGCTGCTGCAGCAAGAGAGGGCTGGGAGAAGTCCTCCCTCCTCATCGCAGCTCTAGGGCAACCTGCACCCCAAACCTCTCATTTCCAGCCCCACCCCAGAGCCCGCACCCCCAGCCAGAACCCTCACCCCCTCCCACCCCCCTGCCCCAGCCTGGAGCTCCCTCCCACACCCTGAATCCTTCATCCCCCCGGCCCCACCCCAGAGCCCTCACCCCCCGTACTCCAACCCTCTGCCCTAGCCCTGAGCCTCCTCCCACACTGCAAACCCCTTGGCCCCACCCCCGCCACACATCACCTTCATATTGGTGCACATAACAAAATTCATTCTGCACATGGATGGGAAAAATTAGAGGGATCATTGTGAGGTTTAATCCATTAATTTTTGAAAGGTGCTTTTAGATCATTAGGTGGAGATGTTAACTCGTTTTTGTTTTTTGGTTGTCTGTTAATAGTAAGCAGTTGACCCAGCTTCTCACACTTTTACAGCTTTCTGGGGAACATTTTCAAAAGTGCCTAAGTCCCATTGAAATGCCTGAATTACTTAGGGGCCCGACTCCATGGAGGCTTAGGCTCCTAAGTGGCTTAGGTCCTTTTGAAAATGTTACCCTGCATGCCTAGAGTCCCCACCTTCCTCCACATTGCTGCTACATTTTCACAGCTGTAACTGCTTCTGCATTACAAGCGAATGGTATGAATTCTGTGTTCCAATCTGTGTCATCCCAACATTCTCCTTGCAGTTTCAGTTGCACCTGGGAATCCTCCTTCACTAAAGTCCATGTGCCATGTTTCTCTGTGCTGGTAAAAAAGCTATCACGTTCCACCCCAGTGGTAGTTGCATTTCCCTGAGATTCCTTTTATAAAGTTTGCGCTCCTCTGTGGCAAAAGATGCTCTATGGATACAGGACAATTCTTATAAACAGGAGGCAATTGGCGACAATGCCTGAATATCAGCAGTGGCAAAAGAGTTTGAAAGAATCTCATTGTTCTCCCCTGTAGGATCCCGATGTTATCACCACCGCTTTACCTGTGGAATATGGACCATCCATTGAGGAGGAGGAGAAGGTTCCAATGCGCCCAGAAGACCCCAAAGCAATCCCTCCTCTGGTGGTCTCCCCACACCAAAAGAGAGAGGGTGACAAGCAGGCCCTGCCTTCTCCACCCCCTCTGCCCTCAGCCGTCACAGCTGGAAAACCTTTGGCAAAAGTGGCAGCCCCCGAGCCTCCGGTCCCTGTTAATGTGCGCCCAGCCCTGGAAGGGGGACACATCAACATGGCGTATGCGCAATCCACCCTAGCTTCTGAGCTTCAGAAAGGCAGGGGGTCCAGAAATAAGCCCACCAATCTCTGGAATCCAACATACGGCTCCTGGTTTGCAGAGAAGCCTGTCGTCAAAAACAATTCTCTGCTGGAGAAAGAGGTGTCCGAGAGGGAGAATTTGGGGCACGAAGGAAACTGTACTGTGGGGCCCAGTGTTGTGACTAGCAGGCTCCCAGGCTCCTCTCTGCTCTTAGAACCGTCTTCACTAACAGCCAGCGTGAAGGAAGTGCCTCTCTTCAGGCTCCGCCACTTCCCCTGTGGGAACGTCAACTATGGATACCAACAGCAGGGCTTACCCCTGGAAGCCTCTGCCCCACCTTGCGCTAGCAATTATGAGGACTCTGTCCTTAGAAACAAGAGCCACGTAGCCCATCAGGGGCCTTGAGAGCCCTCTGCACTCTGACTCTCATTCTGTGTGGCTCTTGAGCTTGGAGAGTATTGTCCTTGTCATCCAAGAGAGAGCAGACAGCGCTAACTTTCATTATGTGCCAACTAGCTCTGAAGTGCCACCCTTTGAAGCTGTGTTTTCAGATAACCCAGAAGCTTCAACTCATCGGAGCCTCTACTACTACTAAGAAAAAGGGGGGATATTAACGTTAACTATAAGGCCCAGCTTTTGGTTGCATAAACTTATATGCATGGTCATTGTCGTGTCGTGCCCTTCCGTGTGCGCTTCTTCTCAATTGTGTACACTCCGCTTAAATGTAAGGTCAGGATTCACTGCCTGAGTGTTTCATGTTTGGGGTTTTCCTTGCCAAGCTGCCGGTTGCTGTGGAATGGGACACTTGAAATCCCCTACGGATGGCAATGGTAGGGAAAGAACCATTTATTCAAAACAAAAAGGATAAAACGTCTTTGAATGAAGACACTGGGGAACATTCCCAAGTTGCATTACAGCTGTAACATAGTCTGCAGCAGCCCTTGAATATGCGGTAATTACAGTATCATTGGCAGAGCAATGGAAAGATGCCAGTCACACTGTCTGGTTTGTGAGTAAGATGGGAAGTTAACTAACTGTAGAGGAAGAGAATGAACTGCAAAAGGAGGATGGTTTATATTTTTTTCAGACCCAAAGCCAAGGACGGTACTGGCCCTTTAAAATTCTTTCTGTGCTACAGAAAGGAAGCATTGTGTTCTACAGGAACTTCTTGTTGTTCAGTGGAATTCAGGTGGAATTTTACAGGGCCAGGCTTGTGTGAGAGAGAAGTTGAAAAGGCCTTTGCAGTGAGAAGTCACCAGTAGATGGAAATACAAAGGTCTGAAATGCCCTTTGACGTGCCCTTTACTAACGACTCCAACCAGAAGGCTTGACTTTGTACCCCCATCGGGATTCTAGGCAGTGTCTGCATTTCACGGGTTCGTTACCCTTGTTCCTTAAACAGAATTCTTGTCTGCTAGTCCGTTAAAAGCCCAAAGCTGCACTGACGCATTCTGTACACCTTGTGCATGAAACGTGTGTGGTTACAAGATACACATAAGAATTGAATTCATTTGTAAAGATGTACATTAACAATTTACAATATACTCCGATGGGGCTGCTGAAGCAGCCGTGCTGCCTAAAATACATGGTGCCTATTTCCATAGAAATAGGTCTATGGGAGCAGCAGCAAAGGAATATAGAAGAGATGGATCTCGATCCAAGACCTTTAACTTTGGGGGAGTGGTTCAGCATCCAATCTTGGATCCACACTTTGCAGTAAATTCTCTAACAAAAGAAACCAGAGCCCCAGATCAAAACACCCCAGTCTTTGGGGTGTCAGAAAAGGATCCAAATCTGAGGACTGTGACCTGAGACACACCCCCCCCTTTAAAGTATGGGTGCAGTGAAGTTCTTGTCCCTGCTCTGCCTTCCCCCACCCCTCTGGTAAATAATGCTGAAGTCTTAGTAGTGTAATGTTGAAATTGTGCATCAATTTTTTTTTAAATGAAGCTTATGTTAGCAGGTTTGAGTTGTGAACTGTAATGATTCTGTGGGTGCTTTGGACTTCACTCATCTGCTACTGGTCTGTCGCATGTCATGGCTGCATGGATTTCATGGCTGTAGTGGGGGCCAGAACTCAGGACCGTCGGTGGCAAATACAGAGGCCTCTTCCACTTGAACTAAAAGGATGTTTCTGAGCTATAAGAGTATTGGGGTTTCTAATCCTTTCTGTGGACCAGCCACTAGAGGAGTGACTTGCTTACAGACACTGGAACATCTAGCTTAGCACTGTTGCATTCACACTACTCTTGCTACTACAAGAAGTGAAGAATTCTTCTACTGTCTCAGGAAAGACCATGTGTTCCAATGACTGAGCTTTACTTTGTACCATCAAGGCTGTTTGCACTGCAATATTATCCACATGGAACTGAAATTTTCTTTAGACATGTCAGCTTTCTTTTCCTTTTTCAAAAAGGGTCCAGATGAATTTTTTTCAAGCAGACCCCAAGGGAAAGCTATATGATCTTACTGCTTTCTTTCACTCCTTTCAAGACAAGAAACCGCTCTGAGTTTTTACTGCTCTACCAGCGTGTATAAATGAGGGAAGAACCTAGTCTGCGTAGTTGTATGGCCTTAAAGGAGCGTTGCTGAAATTTTAATAAACTGTGACTGTCCGTTTCAAGCATATTGATCTACAGGCCTGGGACTGCCTGACCCTGCAACTCCAGTTATTGACAGTTTTCCAATTGCTTCTGTTAAAAGTAGCATTTTTTTTAAAGATGCTTTAGAACATCAGCAAAGGAAGATGAACAGATGCCTGACTAGCCTTTTTCCCTCCTCCCCATTCAGGGGAAGAGCAAGGAGACATACTGATTTCTTTTCTGCCTCTCGCTTGTGGTGTGCATCTATAATTTTATTGCGGGAGGGGCATCACCTTATATGTGTGCGTCTCACAATGAGAGCTAAAACCATTACTACCATTTACAGCTGGCCCACATGAACAGCATGTTTTGGTCAGTGGAAAATGGGGAATTGTAATTTAAAGTTCCTGACAATATTTTCTTCTACCATTCTTGGAGAGACTGTAGGGTAGGATGAGATCTTCAAAGACGCACAAACCTCAAACGAAATCTTCCTCTTGATAGTCTCTGTGCAAAGTGCTTTGGGCTAGAACAGTGATGTTCAGATTGGCACTGGGCTTAGGCGGAGGAGGTTGGGATCTGTTGAATCAAGGCTAGGGTTAGGGCTGAGGCTGAATGGGGTGGAGCAAGATTTTAGCATGAGATTTTGGCCCAAACGTCAGAAATCTGAGTCGGCATTTCTCATGCAGTTTCCATCATCTTGCATAAGCGGTTTCAGCCACATCCAAAACATGACCAGAAATGAGCTGCTTTTGGAGCCAATGAAGACATGGAACCACAGAGGTAGGTCTGAATTCAGCTCCTGACATACTTCTCCTGGAATTCAGAGTTCAGAACATGGAGTTGTGGCTTATTGCTAATACAAAATGTAACCCATCTGAGCCCCCCGCCCACTCCTATTATGATTGTTACACCAGCAGACCCCATTTCAGTGTGTCTGTGCTCACTTCCCACCCCCTTGCTGGGTTAGTGAAAACTCTGGGCATTGCTCTATTTCTCTGTTCCAGTGTGTATAAAGGCATTTACCAAATCATCATCTTTGGGAGCCCTCTGATGCACTGCAGTATTCTGCATGGAGCAGTGCCTGTTACCAGTTATAGTGACCTCCAGCTTAGTACTGTGTGGACCACATTCTGCCCTCTGCTACACATATACTACCCCCACCCCATCAAAGGCAGAGAGTCATACGCATGCTTTTTAGCCTGTTGCTTAATTGTAAGCGTCTGAGTAGTCCCGCTGACAATGTCCTTGCAGGATCAGGGCCTTAATAAGAGGCTTTTTTCCCTGCACACTAACCCCAGTAGTGGGGTAACGAAAGGAAACTTCTCCCTGCTGCTGCCTGTTTGTGCTGTGGCTAAAATAGCATTTCACACTCCCAGTATTGCACAGTGCCTGGTCACTTTAAATGTTTAATGATAATAGTCTTGTCTAAAGGGGTTGAGAGATGCTGTGGTAAGAGCGCTGCTTCACTTGGATTATCACTGCTATGCTTTGTGAAATGCTCTGCAGAAATCAGTTCAGACAAGGAATTAAAAATGCGATGGATCAAGAGATGCATAACAAGTTTTTCCTAAAAGCGGGTGGGAAGGGCAACTTAACAGCTGCTTGGTTTGTTGCCTTTGTCACCACATAGCACTACAAGGGAGCAGGGATGAAGTTAGCAGAACAAGTGAATGGGATGAAAAACAGGTGGAGAGCTCCGTATCTGCATGGTCATGCAGTGATTGATAGATGGATATTCAGGTTTTTTAAAAAGTCTTTTATTTTAGCTATTTGCACCCCCAGTCTCCCTTGGAGGATCTGAAGCTATTCAGTGTTCATAAGCCTAATGCAGTAGGATCAGTGTAATTCCACAGTATTTTCACTGAAGTTCCTCCAGCTGTATACCAATAACAAAAGCACTAGTGTGTGTAGAAGAGGGGCTTGTATGTAGAGGGGGAAATTGAGGGCTTGCTTCAAACAGGCTCAGTTTTAAATGCCTGATCATGTGAGCCTACATAACACTTTGACACATCATGTCTCCAGCGAGTCCTAACTAAAACACTCGATGCTATTTTAAGCTTGTAACAAACTTTTGTCCAGAACTGGTATTTTAAAAGTCAGTGTGTCTTGGAGTAAGTTTTATATAAAATGTTCATGTACATAGTATTCCCCCCATTGTGGGCCTTGTGATTCTACTATAAACTATCTCATTGTAGATGTCTTCATATGTAGCTACCTTTATGCTACAATGAAATGTGGGTAGCATGAGGGCCTGTAAGACACCCAGTCTAATGGAAAAATAACTATGGCATAGCTGTAAATCATTTAACACTGAAACTGGCTAATTCCCATGTGGACTAGACCTAGGAAGGAGTGGTTCCTTGTTGAATTTCAGTAGGTTCTAGGTGGGTGCTAAGCTGTGTGTGTAAGGGGGAATGAGAGGATACCTGCTCAGCCTTACCCCTGCCCACCCCCGCCCATGTACCTCATCAGTGTTGTAGGTTCAGGCAGCTATAAGGTGAATTACAACAGAGAAAGGAAGTGGCTATGGCTGTGTGAGAGGGGGACACGGGCCAGGAAGCATAAGGCAATGGCCTCCATCTGAGTTTAGGTTGTTCCACTTCCTGCTGGGACTGGCCCGGAGCTCATTGGTAGGTTTACTTGAAGGTAGCTGTCTTCAGTTTAAAAATGGTGATGTGTTCAGCCTGTAATGAACCAGTCAAGTGGCGCATCCAACTGTAGCACCACCTGCTTCCCTTGCTGCGTCTGGGCACAGGCGCTGCCTTGCCACAGGCGCTGCCTTGCCACAGAAGCCTCTGTGGCCTCTTTCTACAGTGCACGCCAGGATTAGTCGATTGTACGCTAAGAAGAGTTTAATTTTGCAAACTGGGCCCTCGAGCTGCCACCATCATCTTGGTAAAAGAACCTTGAAAAACTAATCGTATAAAAATCCTTTTATCTCTGTAAAGACATCACATGTTGCCTACCCCATATTCCCCAAAGGAAAGTATCTGCATCCAGCTTTTCTGGTCTGTAACAATGCTTCATTAGACTGTCTATCACAGGTACAGCAGCTTATGCAACATTATGTATAAAGGAAGGGCCTATGCACTTCAGGGATATTAAAAACATAATATATGGTCATTGAGTATTTTGTATTGAATAGTGTACTTGTATTGTAAACAAGTGTAGTGAATCAAAAGGCATGAAGATAAATAAAATGACTGACTAATTCCAGCTGTTGGGTTATATATTGAAATCTTTGCAATAATTATCTCACCATCAATTCCTTTGCAGGACATCACACCTGGCCTGTAGTCTGAGGCGAACTATTACATCACTCAGCTGTAGAAGTAATTTCATATAATATTTCAACTCCTACCTAAAAATAAGAGCAAGTCCTGTTAATCTCCTTTCAGATGAGCTGCAGTGGCTATTTAGCAAAGTAAGTGTGTTTTAAAGTTCATGGTGTTTCTTTTCTAATGGCAACAGGACTGACAAAATCACAGAGCCAGGTTCAATCTCAGTCATCAATGAGCTGTGGAAAAAGCTATACAAGCCAAACAGATAGTGAGGTTAAATGACTCACCCAAGGTCATATTGGAAGATCTTGAGAGCCTTGGCTGAAGATCACCTATTGCTTTAGAAAAGGTTAAACATCATCCCCTGATTGTAGAGCCTGGGAACTAGAGCAAGACAGGGAACGTGACATGCCTAAAAACACAGAGCCAGGTTCGATCTCAGTCTTCCTGTCATCACTGTTCTTTAATCTCACTGCAGTGTCAAGGTTAACTATCACCACTGCTGATCATTTTTGGCATAAAGAACAGGAAAGCGAGGCCCTCCAACAGTGGGAACCAGGAGTAGTTGTGCCTTTACCTCAGGTGCCATAGTTCAGCTGTGCAAAGAACATTATCCTCATTAGCCATGAAAAGAGTGGACAGATAACTCATTAAGTGTGCTCAGGCAGGTTAAGGCAGATCTTGAATTAAAAAGCAGGAATGTCTCTGGTCTCAGCAGTGGCCTAGGCCCTAAAGTTATTACAGACATTGCACTACCCAAAATTGGGGGAGGAGAAAAACAAGACCAGTTGTATACACTTTGTTTACCAGCTTGCAATTCTATACCATACAGCATTATGATAAACTACATGAAGATATAAAACCTGTTTATATATTAGAGCTGCCATTTCCCTGTTCTATTTACATAATTTGTAAGGGGAAAAAAAGGACAATTGTTTTGTGACACACTCCCCCCAAAAGCAAATTATCTTTAAAAGAATGGGTATTAATAGATCAAGGATCAGTGAATATTGTTAATTATAGAAAAAAGATATCTATAGATATAAAACATGGAAGATACAGATGTTCAGAACCTTGCTAACTTCAAATACAAAGCTATAATTTAGACAGTTTACAATAAAATGTGTACATTCAAAATTTACAATTTTTGTCTTCAGTTAAAAACTTCCATAGATGAGAATACACTATGCAGCCTTTTTTAATAGTCCAGAAAAAATAGCCATATTTAAAATACATTGTAAAAGCTGCACAAAGTCAGTCTAAAAACAGGATACTACAAATGTAATTTAAAGCACTGTACACTTCTCAACTAAGTGAAACAGCTAATTCAGAAGTGGCAAACCATTTTACTGTGAGATATTCTGAAACCTGTATACTTGCACTAAGAAAGGTATTGTTAATACATGCTAAACATGTTCTGCATTTTAGCTGTTCAAGATGTACATGGAAAATTCTGAAAGCACTGCGTTTATTTTAAAAGACTGAGATAAATCATGTTGCATCTAAATAAGTGTTACCATGCTACATCTAAGAAGATTCACAGGCAATTTACGAATTTTATAAATGGCAAATGTAGCAAAGAAGAAACTGTGCTCTGAAGGACAATGAAGAAATATATAAAATGCAAAGTAAAAACCTTTGCTTAAAAAATATATATATACTGCATTGTACCTCCTGCAGACCATACGTAATAAGGTCACCAATATCTATGTGTGGTGCCACCTAAGTTCTATATGCATTGGAACATGATGCTTGTAGCCTGCAACAACAGCAAACAAAAGAATGTCTTCAAACAGTGGGGGAAAGCTCTCCAGAGGAGAGAGATGAAAGTGCATTATATTTTGAAAAGTGCATGCGGCTGTCTTTTTACAAATCCACACAGAGAAAAGTGCAAACCAGAAACAGTGTATTTGTGCTTTTTACAGTCTTTTTTCTGTTTCATTTATGCTGTTCACAGGCATAGCACTGTAGCAGCAAATTCTTCCAATTTGGGGGATGGGTTTTTTTTCTGAATGATAAAATTCTTAATTGTTTCACAACTGATTTGAAAAAAAAAAAGTCATTTCTCCTGCTTATTACTACTAGCTCACAGGGAGATGGACAAAGTGTCTAGTAAACAGACTAATGTGAAAAACAAGGTGGAGGAGGAATACCTTTCATGCTATACAGCGTTCTTCTTCAGGTCTGAGAAGAAGAAGAAGAAAAAAAAAAAGAGCTCTGCATACTCAAAAGCTTGTTTCCCTCACCAACAGAAGTTGGTCCAATAAAAGATATATTCAGGCATTCACCCTTGTCTCTAATATCCTGGGACCAATACTGCATAGACTAATGTGTCTCATTTAACAATCTCCTTTGTTATGAAAAGGCAGCAGCATGATTTATCAGTTCATTAGTACAGGGAAGAAAATCTTCCAAATACTTTGAATCACAAAGCAACTTAAAAGAATGTCAGATATACTGGCCTTCTGGGAGTAGGACATTATTCAAATAATGCAGTATCAAACCCAGAATGCTTTTACAAGAAACTCACAGGCAGGGACTGTGTCAAAATAGGAGTATATGATTTCCACTCCTGAATATGACTTTGAGGTGGTTAGAGCCTAGAGAGAGAGATTACCAAAAAAAGCAGGTTTCATAGTTCAGATAAAATTTAAGTCAGCATTCCGTGCAGATGATGTTGGGGTTATTGGATGTGGTTTAATGCTTATAGATCATTGCACTCGCGCTTGATGCACAGGTTGTAAGCATTCTGGTTCAACAAATATCATCCACAAGTTTTGCTCCATTAATCCCACGATAGGTTACTCTACTAGGCCGAACTAAGACTCCATGGTTTGTCTTACAGGTGAAGTAGCGCTTGTCACCCACAGATCCATCATTCTTTCCCTTGGCACTTCTGAGTTCAAGTCCAAGCCATATTCCAGGTGCAAAGTCAGCAGGGCCAATGTACCTAATTGTGCCCATCTCATTAGAGCTGGTCAGAAGGACCTGAGACCCCTCATGTAGTTTCACAGATCCCTCCGTGTTAGTCGTAGTGGTGTTGCTCCAACTACGCCGCAGCAGCGAGCTTCTAGATCTAGTTAGAGAAAGAAATTGGGCTTCTTTCAGTGAGCACACAAGGGCATTTTTTTCCTACGATTATATTGTGCACTGTTTCTGAAAGGCATTTTAATTTACCTTTTTAATAGACTATGTCAGTAGTAGGATGTGTATGTGGTTATTTACAAATAGAACCAGCACATCATAACATCAGCTAAGTGAAAGGGGAACTGATTTTCAATATGTTAAGATCAACCTTTTCTTTATAGTAGACAATCGTATCACTAACAGAGAGCGGCATAAACAAATTGCTGTGCTTATGAACAGGTTAAGCCAAATCAAGTTGTGACACAGCAGGGCCAGCCAGTATTAACAGGTACATGCTGGCGATAGAAACACATTAATATTGAATTGTGTAAAACACCATAAATACTTGGAATAATGAATGAACTACTCGAACAGAACACAAATTCTCCACTGAATCCAGTGAGGTACCGTACCTGAAGAGAATTCTCCTTCTCAAACGGAAATGTTCCCATATTCTTTTTTCCTTATGTAAGTCTAAGTATAATATGGCAACAGAGATCAGAAAGCTCAGTGTGCAAAAACTGAACAAATAGTTAATACACTGAGAAATTTGGCTCTGTCCAATGAATTTAAGTGGTACAGGGCCATAGTGCTTTGCAATGCAGAACTAGGACTTAAGTGCTGAAACTCCCTGAAAACTGTTTCAACAAAAGCTACGTGATCAAATGTGCAAAATGACAGCCCACTCTGCATTTATACCTCTACATGAGAAATAGAACATTTTCATTTAGATGCTGGGAGACTGAAAGATAATAAAACCCACTGCAAAAATCCATAATCTAAGTGTTAATGAATCTAATTATATACAGCCAAGAAGAAAATAGATTTCATTTTTAAAATATCAGATTAGATTAACATGGTATATTTGAAGCAAAGTAACAAGACAAGCAAAAAATGTGAAAAGCCACCTCAGAAACAGGACAGAATGCAATTTTTTTCCATGATAGATATATTTCTTTTAAGCTATAGTTTGTCAACTGGAGTTGGAAGAGTTCACAGTTGAAAATTTCACTCCCTGTTCTATTTTGGTGGTACGAGATCCAAGGACAAGCAAAAGTGGCTCACTTCTCCTAGGACTGGTCCTGCAGTCGTTCCCTCTCAGCCAGAACTCAGTGGGAGTTTTGTCTGAAAGAAGACTGAAAGAACTGGTCCTGTGCATTAATGGAAATTACACATGTGAATCAAAAGGAACCCACACCATTCAGTGCAATTACATGCACATGTCAAGAGAAGAAAGTTCTGAGCTTTCTTCCTGTGATTCTAAACTACAGCTTGCCAGTTTTGCACAGTTACTACATATTTAAACAAACACTCACTTGACAAAGGAGTTTTTCCTGTTTATCTCCTTCTGTGAAGATGCAGAAGTTGTACTTAAACTTCGTCTAAAACCTACATGAGAAAGTGAATAAATAAGGTGACTAAGCTGCTTGATTTAAAAATAAAACTTGCACAACCATTTGCTTTGCTCCCATCTCATTTGCTAAGTACCCTCCCCACCACACCTAACTACAGGTGCTTGGGAAATGGTAAGTATTTTCTTGTGAAAAATTCCATAAGAACAAAAAAATCTTCGAGAATTTTGAGGAGGAAGAGGAACAAGGGGTAGGTAAAAATAAATAAATCAAAAATTTGAAACAAACATCCTTGAAAAAAATGCCAAAATAATTCACTAGCTCTTGTATCAAATCCAAATTATCTGTGAATCATCCCTATTCTGATCTCCTCAACAATCCCTTCTGTGTCTGAACCACTGCCCTCTGTTTTGTTTTCTTTTTGTATTAGATGGTAAAATTTTGGGCAAGAACTTTAATCATCATCAGTAAAAAGAGTACTATGGTAGCAATTGAGCACAGGGCCCTATCGTACCAAGCACTGTAAAAATACATATTAAGGCACAGTTCCTGCCCCAAAGAGCTTACAGCTTAAACAGATGCAGAAAGAGGGGAAGTTCACTTGCTCAAGGGCACACAGCAGGTCCGGGGCCATGACAGGAAAATAACTCCTGGCTCTTGAGTCCCAGCCTAGAACCCTATCCGATGGGCCAAAATGCCTTGTATTTTATATAATAAAACTGAGTGCATAAAGAGTACACAGAGCTTTACAAAACACCTTTTTAAGTCAACAGTAGACAAAGGGGGAAATATCCATTTATTGCAGTAAGTCCATTCTGAAGCCAGGGTTGGGGGGGGGCTGTTGTTTTGTTTAAGTACAAGCAAAAACCCCAGTATATATCAATAGGGATCAAAGGAACTGTTCAAGGAAGTGAATTCATTTTTATTCACTGGATTGATGGGTTGCATTCCGACACCTGAGGCAATTATTTCCTCCATTTCTGCAACTGAAGGAACTGATACCATATCAGTCTCCTAACTCCAATCCTGCTTGCAGACAGTGACTGCTGGCTGCTTTGTAAAGGAGGGAGAAGTCAAGTAGCAATGCATCTTGGGGCATCTGGGTTGCTCTAAAAGTCTGTTTTGCTTTGGCCATTCAAAGAACCTGGGTGGCATGTCCAGGAAGCTGCAATTTCTCGAAATGTTCTACAGGCTATCCAAACAAAACCAGACCCACATCGCAGATTCTTACCTGGGAAAGGATGATTCATTTTACCTGATGAAACTTCTGTGAGGGAGTCTAAGGAACCTGTTAATCTAAAGTGAGATAATAGGTTAAGTCTCACAAATTAAAATTGTTCAATTTCAACTTTAAGAAATATATTGCTGGGCTATTTTGGCTGAAGAGCCGTTGCAAGGTTTTTCAAAAGACTTAATATGTTGGATTAATTTAGGGTTGAATCCTCCCCACCATGCTGGTTAAATTTTCAATCCCAAATAGATTGAGCTTTTAGTTGCCCACAAGTCAGTAAATGCAGAGTTCAGAGTCCCACAGAGGCCTTACCTCTGCCTTGTATACATAACTACAGAAAGTCTTTTGTCAACAGACAGCTAGTATTATAAAATTTTACGTGTGTATCTAAGGATACAGAAATAGGTACAGTATGCTCAAGATCAAGAAAACTCAGAGGAGACATCTTAAGTCTTACTGAGGTGCAGGATGAAAGTTTGCCTGAGAGCATATGCAGCAACAGAAATGCTATATATATATACATACACACACACACACACACACACATATATCTAAAGGCTACAGATAGAGAGCTGATTCCTCTGCGTGCTATAACTCAACAGTAGAAAGGGGGAAACTGTATATCATCTTGTTATGCTGTGTGGCATCGCACTGTGATGGTCTGCCATACTAGAAGACTGGAAGAGAAGAAAAAGGGGAAGTGGAGAAGAGAATGGGTATGTCAGTCGTGGTAACTAGACACAGGCATTGTGCTCATCCACTGGTCACAAGCACACATGGCTAGAGAGCACAGGTTTATCTCTGGTATTCCTTCCCCCAAGCCCAATGGTAGTGGCTGCGATCCAACTGTGTGGGTGTTCTGGCTCCTGTTTGCCGTTTGAGAGATCTATACCCACCAGGAAGCTATGTAGCATCCACAGGCAGAATCCTTGTATTTGAATTCTGCTCACAGTATCAGGATTTGGCCCTAAAAATGAGAACTTTCAAAAGCACCTACTTAATTAGTTATGTCCTTAAATTTAATCACTTACATACAGAGGCAATGGGATGGAATGAAATGTTTTTAAATTTGTGAGGTTGCTGGAACAGCCACCTGGGTATGCTTCCTGTTTATGTAGCACTGGTGATGTGACATACTAGTGCTCTTTCAATAAGCTAGTCTCAGACCCAAGGGGATCTACTACCTCCCCAGCAGCAGGAATAATTGTTTTTCCTCTTTGGTTCGTTCAGAATTTTGTTTCCCGTTGGAGAGGAAGTGAGAAAACGTTTTGTGACAGACATAAAACGATATCATTACTCACCTCTGCACTCTGGTTGGTGGGGCAAATATGCCATATCTGGGGAGACAACTGAAGTACTGGACCCCTCCAACTGAACCATCATTCTTGCCCTGAGGTTTGTTCAGTTCAATGCCACACCAAAAGCCTACAGTTGGGATTTGGAATTTCAATATTACTTTTACCCGGGGTAACATTAAAATTTTGTACTTGGAATAGTTAACAGATGCTCAAGTTGTTGCGCATATGACTAATTTATTACATAACCATCTGTGTATTTAACCAAATCCAGGACAGGTTTTCCCTTACCCAGAAGTGATCTCATTAAGTCAAATCAAAATGTATGCCACCACCAAAATACAGAAGAAAAATAAGAACAGTTAACTAAATTATATTAAAATACACTGAGATACGAGTGCTATATTAAAAATAGCCCTAGAAATACTGTTGATTACTCAAAACTTTTAAACCTATTTTAAGAAAAATGGCCTATTTAGATACAAACAGAAAAGAAAAAAAGCTTTGCATCTTATTTAAGTGAATTTAAGGCTGCTGAAAGCAGCAGATTGACAAAGCTGTACTGGCCATTCCTCTGCACTTATGCCTTAATCCTGAGCTCAAATGACCACTACTAAGATTCGAATGTCACTCAATGCTCATTCAGTCCTTTTCCCTCTCTAAAATCAGAAGTAATTATTACCAATTGCAAGGCAGATTTTGTGATGCAAATACAAGTGTATAAGGAACTAGGACTGGCCAGCAATTCATTTCACACAGGCTACTGAACAGCCATCAGATGGTAATAAGTTTGATCACTACCGACCTGTGAAAAGTGTCAGCTAATTATGTAAAGGTGACTCCTCATTGGGCATAAAAATACAAAAAACGGTCCTGACAAGTAACTGAATTCAAACAAAAACTCTGAAAAAGCTCAATATACCACCATGACACATCTAAAAAGGGAAGAGCACTTTGAAAATGTTAGAAAAATGTTCTAGCAGAGCGTCAGTAACGCAAGACATCAATGTGGTCAAAAACAGCGGCATATAAAAGCCCAGGGGGAAAAAAGGTGTGCAGCCTTAAGAAAATGAATGTCAGAAAGTATAGTAAGAATACTAAAGACTGCAATGCCAAGTGACAGTCACAATTTAAAGTACCATCTTCTCCATTTCGCTAGGCAGCTCCATGTCAAAGTCAAATATTCCATTATAATGAAGTGAAATTGAGATAAAACACTTAAATTGCTGGATTTCTATTTTAAATATTAAGCTCCAAACATTTATATTGTTCCTAGGACATTTCGCTGATTCTACAATGTAGTTTAAGAACAGATAAAATACCTGGTGCAAACTTTGTTGTCCCATAGAATCTAACAGTGCCAGTTCTCTGCCCTACCACTAACACTTTGTCTCCAAGCTGAATTTCTCCTTCATCAAAAGGGTTTTTTCTTGTAGACGGAGAAGCATTATTCAGTCCTGTTTAATGAAGGGGAAAAACTGAAATAAGCAGAGCAGCAGTTCTGAAATGCAAAGAGGCGTACATCATGAGGTCTCAGCAGGGAGTCAGCCAACCGACCGGTCAAATATTCATATATGCTCTTAACAAAAGGTCCTGTTCCACACACGCTGCTTAGAGAAAACATTCCTTTGCTTCAGTGGGTATTCAGTCTAATTAAAAAATGCTGGATTTAAGGTTTACTTAGTTGTTAGAAGTTGCAGTAATAGTCTGAAGTGCAGTTCATCTGTAAGTGAAACTAAGAACAGCACCTTCTTCTGCAAATTTTCTAATAGTAAAATGTTACAAAAATACAAAACTTAAATTTAAGGACTAACTATCTGACAAGTGCCTCCTTTAAGTTATCACCCCAAATAGTGACAAAGTAAAAGCAAATACATTTATACGAATATTTGACCAAACAGTTAACTGACCTGCCATCCCTATTCCCAGCCTGTGAAGGTGTTCTTTAATAATACAACAGATACAGTACCCGCACTGCTTTTAGTTGAGGTAGGAGCTACTTTAGGCACTGCCTTTTTATTGCTGTTAGTTGAGTTCCATTTCTTGGGATGATTCTGTTTGCTCTCTAAAGAGGTAGTAGAAGAGGAAGAACTGCTGGATCCAAGGAAAGCTGACAGAGGTAATGCAAATAATTATCCAGAGATGGTATGCAGGAAAGGACAAGTCAACTAAAGCAAACAAGCATGCATGATACAGAAGAACCTCATTAATATACAAAGCAAGCAAGGGAGCAACCAATTAAAAGGCAAAGTTGATACTTCACAGCATGAACTTTAGCCATTTATTTTCACACCGGTAGATTATTTTTAGATCTTTATAATACTTCTTGATGTGCTGGTAAACGTTCTAGTGTACATTTGTTAAACGAATGAAGGATTAGTAACATAAGCCCTCATCACCTCACACTCAGTATCCAGTTTATTAAACAGTTGATGAGAAGTAGGGAAAGTGACATTTTTGTGGGTGAGTAATGGTGTTTGAACTAGCGCCTAATGTATGCATTATATACTGTATTAATATTCAAATCCTTAAAATAAAATAAGAATGGGAGATAAATCACTTTTATCCCCATTTGTGAACATATTTAATAAGATTTATCTGGTTTTAACTTTTTCTTTTAGCTCTCTCTCTCTTTTTCAGCTCTTCTTTTCTGCCCAAAAGAAACACCAGGTATGTCTACACCTCAAGCTGGAGATATAATTCCCAGCTCATGGAGGCATACCCATGCTAGCTCTGATCATACACGGGGCAGCTCCTGACACTGAGGGTACACACTATTTTTAATATGTTAGCTTGATCAGAGCTAGCATGGGTATGTCTCCTCAAGCTGGAAATGATCCCACCAGCTCGAAGTATAGATGTACCAACTGAATGTGAAGAAAAAATTTACCCTCTTTGTGCCTCAGTTTTCCTATCTATGAAGTTAGAGATAATACTGCTTATCTGACTCACAGGAATGTTGTGAGGCTCTATTCATTCAGTGTTTGAGATCTATGCATGGTTGGAGCTAGGACACATTCAGTATTCATATAATTAAATTCTCTATCTTGGGGAAGGGGGGGTGTCAAAAAATATGAAGTGCAACTGTTGAGAGCCAGAGCACAGATTAAAGAATGGGGTACCTAAGGAAAGCGTACAAGAAACCAAAGGCTCCGAAGTTAAGATACTGGCGGACTCAATATGAACTAAAAATAGTAAGTCCTAAAAAAGTATAAAAATAGTGGTTCTGAGTGTGCAAAGGTAACATTCCAAGCTCAAGATTTTAAAAGGTGGATGCCTAAAGTCCGTATTTAGGCACCCAATTAGGTAGCCCAATTTTCGAAAGTGCTGAGCACCAAGCACCTCCCACTGAAGTCAGAAGTGGCTGGGTTTTCAGCACTTTTTGAAAATTAAGCCAATTATTTAGGTGCCTCATTAGGAATACGGATGCCTAAAGTTAGGCTCCTACATCTTGAAACCCTGTCTCAAACTAGTAACTGTTCATGAACTGAAACGTTTGGGAGGAAAAAAAAAAGGATGTTTTTTTCTCAAGAAAAAATATACTCAGTCAGATGAAGGGTAGGTTTCTGTTTTGTTTTAAATAATTGCATATACTCAAAATCTTCAAAGGCAAATAGTAATAGAATACGTGTTCAACTTGTGAAACCTTAGATGGGGGCTGGATTTTTATAAAGTGCTGAGCATCCACCCTCTGATAATCAGACCCCTTTGCGTTGTCAGGTTGAGCACCCAAAAACGGAAGCATCAGAAGTCACTAGCCAATTATAAACCTACAGATCATTAGAGACTGGATTCCAATTTTAAAAGAAAAAATAATATTTTTACAGACTTAACATGGTTTTGAAATGATTACATTACAGAAGACAAATCTAAAAATGCTGTTACACCATTATAATTTGTTACTCAACACTCAAACGTACAAGTAATAAAAGGGTCAAAATTCTGATACTTGTTGAACACAGTTCCCACTGGAATACATGCAACCAGCAGCAGGAACACAGGGGAAAAAGATCCACCAAAACCAACAGAAAGGTTGTTCTACAGACGATCTGCAACATGATGTGGTTTTCTTAGACAGAACCTCAGGCATAGGGGGCTGGGCTCCAGGGTTATACATGCATCTGCCATGCCATGCTGCCCTGGCAGTGGACCATATCACTCAGACTAAGACCTGAAGGGACCATCATGATTAAAGCTACGGTTTAGTCATGGCTATTTTTAGTAAAAGTCATGGACAGGTCACGGGCAGTAAACAAAAATTCATGGCCCGTGACCTGTCCATGACTTGTACTGTATACCCCTAACTAAAATTTGAGCCAGGGGGCCACGGGGCACTGCGCAGCCCAGGACTCCTGCTGGTGCTGGGGGTGAGGGTTGGCGGGGCTGGCGGGCTCCCTACTCAGCTCCGCATGGCTCCCCAGAAGCAGCCGGCATGTCCCTGCAGCTCCTTGAGGGAGGGAAAGCCAGGGAGGCTCTGTGCGCTGCTCCTGCCACGAGGTCCAACTCTGCAGCTCCCATTGGCCGAGAACAACAGCCAGTGGGAGCTGCGGGGGTGGTGCCTGCCACGCTGAGCCCCCTCCCACACCCAAACTACTGCTGCTGCTGGGGCATGGGGGGTAGTGGCCCGAGACTGCCCCAGCAGCGGCCAGTGCAGCTGGCCCACGGAATCCGTGACTTCCGTGACAGACACACAGCCTTAATCATGATCTAGCCTGACCTCATGTACATCACAGGCCACAGCCTCACCCACACACCCCAGTAATAGGCCCACAGCCTCTGACTGAGTTACTGAAGGCCTCAAATCTTGATCTGAAGAGTTCAAGTTATAGAAAATCCACCGTTCACTCTAGTTCAAACAAGCAAATGACCCAGACACCACACTGCAGAGGTAGACCAAAAAAAAAAAAATGAACCAACCAACCCAAGGTCTCTGACAATCTGACCGGGGGGCGGGGACGACTCAAATCCTTCCCAACCCTCAAAATGGCGATTAGATCCCAAGCATATGCGCAAGAGCCAACAGCCAGACACCTGGGAGAGAATTCTCTGCAGTAACTCAGAACACTCCCCATCTAGTGTCCAATCTCAAGCAACTGGAGATATTTGCTACTAGCAGTCACAATGGGCCATATGCCATTGTAAGCAAACTTATCAAGCTCAGCCTCCGAAAACATTAGTTTTTTTGCCCCCAGTACTCCCTTTGAAAGACTGTTCCAGAACTTCACTCCTCTGCTGGTTAGAAACCTTTGTTTAATTTTAAGCCTAAGCTTACTGATTGCCAGTTTATGTCCATTTGTTCTTGTGTCAGTATCAGCCCTCTACTTGAAACAACTCCTCCCCTTGCTAGTGTTATCCCCTTGGTGTACTTACAGAGAGGAATCATATCTCCCTTCAGCCTTTGTTTTGTTACGCCTAACAAGCCAACCTCCTTGTCTCTTCTCGTAAGGTAGGTTCTCCATTCCACTGATGACCCTACTAGTCCTTCTCTGCACCTGTTCCAGTTTGAATTCATCTTTCTTGAACATGGGAGATCAGAACTGCACTCACTATTCCAGATGAGGTCTCACCAGGGCCTTGTATAATGGTAATAACTCTTCCCTAACTCTACTGGGAATACCTCGCTTGACTCATCCTTGGACTGCATTAGCCTTTTTCACAACGGCATCACATTGGTCCCACTCAGATTAATCCTGCTCCTAGCGGACTGGTGTACAGGGCTGCTTGGAACTAGAATGCAGGTATACATTAGCACTGCTTTTGCAGCATATCTGAGTAACTATAAAGAGGGGTAGGGGAAGGGAAGAGACGTGATACTTCCTTTGCCCTTCCCAGAATTGGCTCAAAATGAATCAACAAGGGGAATTTAGTTACCTTCTTTACCAGGCATAGTTTTCATTCCTTCTTCAGTAGCCAAAAAGGTGGATTCAGCACTACTATCTTTTTTTAATGTAGCTAAGCCTAGGAGACAAAAAAAGACAAAAAAACAAATAGGGTCAACAAATACCCTGCCAATTACCTATAAATAATTTTACAAAAAAAACCACATATGCAAACAGATACAGTACTGGGTTTGTAGACCCCTGAACCAACCATGATACCTCCAAGTCCATCATTTCAATCTACATACATACTATAGACACTAGTAATCTTTACAGAAGGGTATGATATCTAGTATTCAGAACACGGTACAGTACTGGCAAAATGTCCTAATCCTGACTGATACTAGTTTCCTGTGTGACCACTGGCAAGCCGCAACTTCTCTGTGCTCTCTCCCGTCCCTCTCTTCACCAATCTGTGAAATGGGGCCAAGGTCTGCCCAGGATGCTTATTTAGTACTCGTAAAATGCGTTGGATTCTTCAAATACAAGTACTACAAAACCACAGTATTTTTATATAAAACTTCTAGTTGTAAAATAATTTACCAATCATGTTAAACCACTGACACTTAAAAAACGCTCCAAAGCAATCAAGCAATATTATAAACAAATTGCTTGCCAAATGTTTATATTGAAGCAATCTGAGTTAACACAAGTGAACAAAAAAATCCTTTAAAATCACAAACATCTGATTTCCTAAAACACACTCAAAACCAAACTTTTTTGCTTTTACTATTGGAATAAGAGTACCAACTGTTAAATCTATAATTTCAATGTATGTATGTATTTATACAAATCTGAGTTTCAACCTCATAACTTTTGTTTTCAAGCCTATGAAAACGGATTGAATATGCCAATATTAATCTAATTAAAGAGCCTATTACACTACATAGCAACAATGTAATAACATATGTATGAACTAATATTGCTGCTTAAATACATGCTTCATGGACAAGCTATTTTGTATTCATAAGTGGTTGTCTGCCACTAGGCTAGGCAAAGAGAACAGAACCTTCCGAACAATTTTGCTGGTACTAGTGATGAGGGCAAAGTGGACTTTTTATTTAATTATATTTATTGGCTTAGCCCAGATGATATATTATTTTCGTATTATTTATTACTGTATTCTATTTTAAGGTGTTTTATATTTCAGCGTTAAGAGTCAGACACGTGAGAACATTGTTCATGGCTGGAGATACGTTTTAGAACAGAAAATCCTTGATGATCACAATAAGTACCAGGACTAATGTGACCATTACTAATGAAATCTAATGGACTATTTAAAGAGGAAATATTTTTATCACAAATATAAATATCAAAAAGTACAAATAAAAAAAAAGCATTAAAATATCTATATACAATATTAAAGGTAAGGTTTGACAGAACTCTGCAGTCTATCTACAATATTTATAGAAGATGTACTAATTATTTTGCACGGCCTATAACGCAAATAATTTATTGGTGGTTAAGGCAATGAAGAAATTTACTCCAGTAATGTAAGGAAACGTTTCAGAAGAAAGCTCTGTATTTGCAACTTTATCCTCCCACCCTACCAAGTGACTCCACCAGGCACATTAAGATAAATGGCCCTTTGGCATAAGAATATCTTACAATGGCAGCTCACTACATACTGCTTACACATGTAAGCCCTAGCGGTGCACCAGGTGTAACTTACTCTGATTTTGTCTTAAAGCAAATGTCAAATTTTTGGATTTATATAGACGGCTAGGCACAGCTGTGTCAAAAAACAGATTAATCACAAACTGCTGTCACGAATGCATCGCCTCAGAGGAAAACAATCCTTTTCCATTTTAGTCAAGATCTTTTGAAAATAAATCAGAGCTCAATCTTAACAAACAACTGTCTTATGGCTCACAATACTATGAGTGGACCAAACAGCCAAAGTGAAGACTGTTTTATAGAAAGAGATAGCAAAACTGTAAAGTGGGTGGCCTAAGCTAACAAATGCAATTATTTTACTGAAGTGTAGCATTTTATGCAAAGTGTCAGTTTTTCCACATCATGTTAAACTGCCTGGATGTTAAGTTAATTGTCTAAGTTGATATGATTAGGACAAGGCATTTCAAAAAAAGATGAGCTCCGTGGAACATATCCTTTTTCAGATCAAGTCATAACCATGCAACTTATACTATACAAATGCCCCATTTCTAGCAAAGGTCAGACAGAGAACTTCAAACTTTCTGAAGTATGTCAGTGTGTAGAAAATTCTGGCTGTTCAATTATTTTTAATGGTCACAGAGCAGCAAGTCTACCACATGGACATGACAGCAAGAGTCAAATGACTTTTGCAGGTCATCCCAAATCACTGCCAAAAAAATTTATTCCACCATCCCATCATGTTGTCTGTATATGCTGCATATTTTACAGTTAAAAAAGGAATGTTTTAGAGGATTTTAATAATTTTGTAGGAATATATTTATACCCCTCCACCTGTAAAGTCATGCTGCTTTACTATTAAGGGTCCAACTGGGCAGGACTGAGAGAGAGAGGAAATTATAGAACAATCCATTTAATAGCATTATTTTTACATCATTTAATCAAGATCAGGGCCCATTTGTATATGCTAGGCACTGTACAAACACATAAGAGAGTCCCTGCCCCAAGAGCTTAGAAGCTAAATTGACAAGAAAGGCAAAGGGTGGAGGAAAAGGAATATTATCTTGACTTTACAGATGGGGACCTGAAGCACAGAGAGAGTAAGTTATTTGCCTAAACTAAGGTCACACAGGAAGTCTGCGGCAGAGCCAGGAATTAAACCCAGATCTCCTAAGCCCCCACCCATGGACTTAAACACAAGAATATCTCTCCCCTCCAGATGTGTTCTTCGTTTCTCAGGTGAACGAATTCATTGCCTTGACACATAATGTAGTTATTAAAATAGCTTCTAATTATTTTTGCCAGAAGGGTTTTCATTGAAGAAATTGTGTTAATACTTTTTACAATATTTTAATACTTATATACAGCTGTATATACACTAGCATATAAATGTGTTTTCCTTGACAGTTTGACAGCCTGCTGGTCAAGTCAAATAAAATCCACATAATTAAAGCAAAGCAATTTTAGACATTTACAGAGATCATCTCCAATCAGAAACAGCTTTAAAAGCTTCAGAGCGTGTGCTATGGTAAGCCTTTCCCAAACAGTATGTCAATATGTAATGTTAGATCCCCTTAGTATATTATACCACCAAAGTGACCATTAACTGAGAACAGAACCTTTAGTCACTTTACAGCTTCCCCTGGCTCAGCCCTAGAAAAAGACATAGCAATTGTCTTACCAGAATTGGGCAACGGTGTAACTAGTCCCATATCTTACCTTCCAGCAATCAATGTTACATAATGCTGCAGGGGACTGTAAAAAGGCATAACACACCAGTGCTATAGTACAATGACAAACCAAATGGTAGAACATTAATTTTTACTGTGATTGAGCCACAGGGCCTGATCCTGAGCAATAAGCACCTGCAGTTTAAACTACTTCAATGCGAGTGACAGATGCTCAACACCTCTCAGCACCAACAACTTCAGTTAATGAGAAGGCATAATTAATAAATGTCATACTACTTTCTTATCCCAAGAGGATGAATTAACTACAAGCTAGGATTTTAACATAAAGATATGCAAAATTACTGTCTGATTTTTGGAGATACTAGCTTTATAAAAAAAATTATTTACCAGTATTCACTTTTGAAGTTATATGCGTTACATCGATTTTCTTGGACTTGACCAAAGTAGATCGTGTGGAAGGACTTCTGACAAAATTCTTCTTGTGATCTGAAGCCTTACTTATTTTAGAAAGAGGTGCAAAGATACCTAGAGAATTAAAAAAAAAAGACATGCATCTCTTTCTGTATGCAGTATGTAAACCAAGAGAAGCAGTAGTGCAAAAAAAAAAAAAAAATCTAGCTATTCTCTCTTAGATTACTCTGTTTAACATAGTACCTCAGTGCCTCAATCATTAATGGATTGTTATACTCACACCTGGTGAGGTAGGGAAGTACTATTCCTATTTTATAGATGGGAAAATCATTTGCTCTATCCTGTACCTCAGTGCTCTGCCCAGCATCACACAGAATGCTTGTGGCTGATCTGGAAACTGAGACAGATCATCCCTCAGCACAAGCTCCTGCATCATCCCACAGGTGGAAATGAAATGCCAAGCAAATTTACAACACACACACACCTCAATTTGACAAAGAAAAGAGACTACATCACATTCCTTTGAGGGTTATGCTGGAGAGAAATTTTAAGAAGGGCATATCTGTATGAATGCTCAAACAAATCTCTTTCAAAGTGGAAAGCCAGGTAAGCTATGAGAGAAAATGTCAAATAGAAACGAAACAATTACAATATGGCTGTGAGAAAAGCAAATAACCAATGAAGATGGCAAAACTGGAAAGATACTACATTGCAGTTTCAAGGAAGTAATCAGAAGTGACTTCTTTTGCAACACTTAGAACTGATAAAGTTAGGACCAATTAAAGGAATTTACAAAATAGAAAAATCTGGGACAAATAATTTGTATTTTTCGACCCAAAGATGCCTCATCTAATCAAACCAATGTTTTTCTTTTTTTTTAATTAAGGTTTCAAAGTATCTCTAAAACATCTAGAAAATAAAGTTATACCACATCTTGGTGCACACTTGAAGTACTGGACTTTTCCAACACTTCCGTCATTCTTTCCTTCTGGTTCATCCAGTTCTACACCAGCCCATTGCCCGCTGGCAAATTCTGTTGTGCCACAAAACCTTAATGTACCAACCTAAAGAAAAGAATTAACACAGAATGACTTTGTGAATAATAAATAAATACCATTTCCATTAGATACTATGTAAGATAGTAAGTCATCTCCAGATCCATTATCACTATACACACTGACTGATTTAGTTGGGGATTGGTCCTGCTTTGAGCAGGGGGTTGGACTAGATGACCTCCTGAGGTCCCTTCCAATCCTGATATTCTATGATTGCCACTTTCACATTCCTTTGCGTTCCTTGAGGGCAGAGATCCTTTTCCTTCAAGAATGCCAGCCAGTGAGTGTTGTAAGATATAAGAGACAGGACTAAGTCACCTCAGATTGAACAAAAGCAGTATTTATTGGCAGTTATCACAACAGAAATGAGTCACAGACAACATGTACCATTAGACAATGACATCACTTCAGCAAAATACTGCAGTGCACGTCTTACTAAGCAGGGTTCATTCATTTTGACTTCAAAGGGTAACCCACCTGCTTAAAGTTAGGCACATGCTTAAGTATCCTGAAGAATACAGAACTCTACCGAATGAGGGAGGGAGATTATAAAATAAAACAAAACACCACATTCAGACTACCCCTAAAATTTAAAGATAAGCTGCAAAGGAATTTATTTTCAAAGAGTCCATGACCTTTATTCCTTCTTGCTGATGCAAAAAAAAAAAAAAAAAAAAAAAGCCTAAAAAATTGTTTTGGTTTTGGTTTTGAATCTAGATCCTGCTTTTTTAAAAAAAGGATCAGGAGCATTGAGACCGTCTTCTTTGATTTTGCCAGTGGACTTCTTCTGGTCTCAGCAGATGTGTATTACAAGCTCACAAGCCTTAATTTAAGGGGCAGGGTGCTGAATCATTAACAAAGATGTCCTTTCTCCCAACAGTTTTAGATGGTGGATTTAAATCAGTTTTAAAACTTACGGTTTTTTAATTAGTCTTACTAAAAATAAAAAAATCTCCCTCTTTCAATTACTCAGCTTTCAATCTTTTGTGTTGCTAGTTTATCACTATCATTTCAAGGGCAGATAAGGCATTGGGGTGGAGGGGAAGGGAGTGTTAACATTAGAAATTCAGCAAACAGAAGCCTCCCCACTCCCCCTTTTAAAAAATGTATTTAAACAGAACTGTTCAGACTAACCTTCTTTATATATCAGAAAGCAGCAAGAAAGGGGGAGAGCCTCCTTCCTCTCTCCCCCCATTTTACCTGTCCCCTTTAAGTTTGACTATTATAGGATTACTTAATCCAGAGGTCCCCAAACTGTGGGGCATGCTCCCCAAGAGGGATGTGGAGGAACGCTTGGGGGAGCGTGACTGAGGCCCAGGCCCACCCTCACGGGGAGGCGGGGAGGGAGCGACACACAGCAGCTGCCCCCCCTCCACACCTGCCCCCAGCTGTGGCCCCAGCCCCCTTACTCTTGTCCATGTCCCCCTCTCCCGGAGCCACAACCCCGCTCCCGGCCCCGGCTGCAAGCCTGACAGGGGCAAATGGGGGGTGTCATAAATATAAAGGGAAGGGTAAACCCCTTTAAAATCCCTCCTGGCCAGAGGAAAAATCCTCTCACCTGTAAAGGGTTAAGAAGCTAAAGGTAACCTTGCTGGCACCTGACCAAAATGACCAATGAGGAGACAAGATACTTACTTTCAAAAGCTGAGAGGAGGGAGAGAAACAAGGGGTCTGTGTCTGTCCGTATGCTGCTTTTGCCAGGGACAGAACAGGAATGGAGTCTTAGAACTTTTAGTAAGTAATCTAGCTAGGTATGTGTTAGATTATGATTTCTTTAAATGGCTCAGAAAAGAACTGTGCTGAATAGAATTTAACTGGGAATTGGTCCTGCTTTGAGCAGGGGGTTGGACTAGATGACCTTCTGGGGTCCCTTCCAACCCTTATATTCTATGATTCTATGAATGACTATTCCTGTCTGTGTGTCTTTTTTGTAATTTAAGGTTTTGTCTAGAGGGGATTCTCTATGTTTTGAATCTAATTACCCTGTAAGGTATTTACCATCCTGATTTTACAGAGGTGATTCTTTTTTACTTCTATTAAAAGTCTTCTTGTAAGGAAACTGAATGCTTTTTCATTGTTCTAAGATCTAAGGGTTTGGGTCTGTGGTCACCTATGCAAATTGGTGAGGATTTTTACCAAACCTTCCCCAGGAAGTGGGGTGCAAGAGTTGGGAGGATTTTGGGGGGAAAGACATGTCCAAACTACGTTTCCCAGTAAACCCAGTTAAAGTTTGGTGGTGGCAGTGGAAATTCCAAGGGCAAAGGGTAAAATTAATTTGTACCTTGGGAAAGTTTTAACCTAAGCTGGTAAAAGTAAGCTTAGGAGGTTTTCATGCAGGTCCCCACATCTGTACCCTAGAGTTAAGAGTGGGGAAGGAACCTTGACAGGGGGTGTGAGGTAGAAAGTTTGGGGACCACTGACAATCTATATCCACAAACTCTGGCCTCTGACAGCCTATTGGAGGTGCAGCACTTTAGTCGCATCTTTTCAGACTAAAGGGCTCCAAGTCTAGAAAACTCCATCCATATAGACAGTGAAAGTGTTACAGTTTACAGAACCATTGAATATCAGGGTTGGAAGGGACCTCAGGAGGTCATCTCTAGTCCAACCCCCTGCTCAAAGCAGGACCAATCCCCAACTAAATCATCCCAGACAGGGCTTTGTCAAGCCTGACCTTAAAAACTTCTAAGGAAGGAGATTCCACCCCCTCCCTAGGTAACGCATTCCAGTGTTTCACCACCCTCCTAGTGAAAAAGTTTTTCCTAATATCCAACCTAAACCTCCCCCACTGCAACTTGAGACCATTACTCCTTGTTCTGTCATCTGCTACCACTGAGAACAGTCTAGAGCCATCCTCTTTGGAACCCCCTTTCAGACAGTTGAAAGCAGCTATCAAATCCCCCCTCATTCTTCTCTTCTGCAGACTAAACAATCCCAGCTCCCTCAGCCTCTCCTCATAAGTCATGTGTTCCAGTCCCCTAATCATTTTTGTTGCCCTCCGCTGGACGTTTTCCAATTTTTCCACATCCTTCTTCTAGTGTGGGGCCCAAAACTGGACACAGTACTCCAGATGAGGCCTCACCAGTGTCGAATAGAGGGGAACGATCACGTCCCTCGATCTGCTGGCAATGCCCCTACTTATACATCCCAAAATGCCATTGGCCTTCTTGGCAACAACAGCACACCATTGACTCATATCCAGCTTCTCATGCATTGTAACCCCTAGGTCCTGTTCTGCAGAAGATGTTCAGTGCTCTGGTGCAATGTCAAAATAAAAACTAGCATTCTATGTATGTAACTGAAATAAGTACAAACTTCTTTCTTCTTGTTCTGAAGCTTTTACTGACTTGCAGCTCGAGCATTTTTGGTGGCTGTTATTTTCTTCTTCGCTTTCATTGTGTAATAGTTTCTGGCTAAACAACTTTCATATGTTAATTCTCTTGTCAGAACAAGCAGTTTCTTGTATATATTTCAGTTACCATACCTTTTGTATAGCTAATGATTGTGTCACCTTTCCTGACCCAATTTCAGTAACATGTCAAATGCAAATTCAAAATGGAAGCTGCTTCATACATTGCGAGGGAAAGATTTTGAATTTAAAAGAACAAATTATAAATCTAAAGTTAATATCAGAAAAATCAAATATGCAAGTACTGTTGTCACAGGTGCATGAAAACCCAAATGCTGAATTCTGCTCTTATAAATAGATGTTTCAGCAAACTTTGCATGTGTGCTTATGGCAATCTTTAAAAACATCCTATTGCTTTTAAATCATTTCTAAGTCCTTGCTACCTACAAGAAGAGGAAAAAGTATATGACTTCATATATACCAATATAGCTACCAGTAGAACAACAAGTTTCCAAACTTATCTAGTTTAAAGCAATTAAAATTTGAGCTGCAGTTATTTAACTAAAGTACTACTCATTGCTCCTTAGATTATATTCCTACCTCTATAACACGGCAGTGTTTCATCAAAGGAGATGTTAGCTGCATTGCACCAATGAAATTAAACAACTAACCTGCTAAGCAGAATTAAATGTACCTTTTACCAGTTTCTGGAAATGGAAACTAGATTAATTCTAAGCAATATAAATTCCTGTCACAAGATCAGGATGGTATTTGTGAGCCCTGGCAACATTTTGGATCCATACCCCATAAAGACTAAGACCCACTTATTTATTATGATGGACTGTTAAGGAAGGGTTTGCAGGTAAAAAAAAAAAAAGATTTTGCCTGCCAAAACCTGCTTTTCACAACAGTGAAAAAGTTTCACTACTACATAAGCTTTCAGCTTCTCATGAGGGGATTTTCCTTTCCACCTATTTTCCAGCAATGGAAATATTTTCGCATCTCTACTGTCATCCACATCTCATACCTTCCAGAAGTTATTTTACATTTACAAATAAGAAATCAGTTTCAAACATACGACAAATGCCCCATTCACAGGAGATTACTTGTGCAGTTTCAAATTTGCTCACGTACCTTTTGTCCTGCAATAACAACACGATCTCCTAGTTTCAAGCCAAGTGACATAAGCATGGCCTTGCCAGTGACATGATCATAGTTTGGAAGCATGGCCTTTGAGATGTCACATGACAGAGGCACTGCATCCAACAGCATCTGCTTGATTTCTTTTGCACTTGCTGCAGCATCTGCCATCTCCAATGGCATGTCTACCGGATCAGGAACCACGTCTGCTGGAATCTGTCCTTTATCATTCTATATAAACAAGGTAGAATAATTAAAAGACTTAACATAAAGACAGGCCAAAACTTGGCTGTGCAGAAGTAGAGTCCACGTATAAGATTTAAAATCCCCTTGCTACCATTTTTGTTGTTGTTGTTAGTAACCAGCAGGTAAAATTTTCAAACATGCATATATAAAAATATTAAATAGGCATTTGACTGAGACAAAATACAGCATTTTAAAGTGCATGTTATGAAGGACTAAGAAAATAGACTGCAATGATGTTCTGAAAGTTTCCACACCATCGCTGGCACACGAACTAAGGATTCTCCAGGTGGCCTTAATACAATTGATATTTGCTCGTTAAAAAAGTAGTATATCGTATACAGTCCCTGGAACTAGTTGACCAAAAGCAGCCCACTAAAAAGCTACTAGCTGGCAATGGCTTTCCATCATTACCAACTTGCACCAAATCTGACATGGTGAGCCAAACCATGGTCTATGCTACAATGTTTGACGAGGTTTTTAACTAGGTTGTGATATGCTTGGCTCGAACATGGCTTGTGTCTCCTCACAACATCGGATGCCTAGTATTTGGTTCGTAACTAAGGAGGTAACAAGGCTTCATTCTCAGTGGTTAAGTTGCCCACATAGTTGTAGCCCAGTTACCTGGTCCTCCTGTCTCTCAGTTATGTGCTGGTGCATCCCAAAGCACACTGTCCACGTGCTGCATGCATGCAGCCTGGAAACTTTATTTCAAAGCAATATGAAAAGGCTACCTAGACTTTGTTTGGTAGCTACAGCAGACACCAACAAGGTAGCCATGGCTGTATGTGAAAACAGTTGCCCCATGGACAATTTAGCTATGCTTGTTGTAATCCAGGTCAGATTATTATTTAGCATTTATATTATGAGAGCATCTAAAGGATACCAGGTTGAGATCCAGGTTGAGACTCACTGTAAAAAACATGATAAATGACAGTCCCTGCCCCAAAGTGCAAATGAGAGCATCATGAACTGGCTTCAAATACATGGCTGTACTTTAGTATTGACAGGCCTTAGAATACAGACGTTCTATGCATGGAAAAACATTGATGCTCTTAGTCTAGTTCCAAATGGACAATGAAATCTAAGGGCTGGGCTACATTTGTAGCTGTAGAGCGCTTTGAGTTAAACCAGCCTTTGGAGAGCGCAGTAAGGAAAGCGCTGCCGTCTGTCCACACTGACAGCTACAAGTGCACTGCCGTGGCCACATTCGTGGCACTTGCAGCAGCATTAGGAGCGGTGCATGATGGGCAGCTATCCCACAGAGCACCTCTTCCCATTCTGGCGCTGTGGCTTGTGGGAAGGGGGTGGGGGTGCGGGGCATTCTGGATCCTGCCCCAACGCCCCGTGATGCATCGCTTCGCATCCCAACAATCCCTGTGTTTCCGTCCACATTTGGCGCCATCTTTCAACGGTTTCTGTGCGCTGCACTCTGTCTTCCCTTTCGGTCTGTGGGAATGGAGCCCGAACTGCTGAGGAGGATGCTGACGAGTCTCACCAGCACGTCACGTTTGGCAGTCGAGTTATTCCTTATGATCCAAAGTGACAGTGAGGAGTCGGACGAGGATACTGAGTCGTGTAACGCATATGACATAAAATTGCTTGTCTCATTCACGGACATGCTCTCCACCGTGGAACGCCGCTTTTGGGCTTGGGAAACAAGCACTGAGTGGTGGGATCACATCGTTCTGCAAGTCTGGGATGATGAGCAGTGGCTGCAGAACTTTCGGATGAGAAAAGCCACTTTCATGGGACTGTGTGATGAGCTCGCCCCCACCCTGCAGCGCAAGGACACAAGATTGAGAGCTGCCCTGACGGTGGAGAAGTGGGTGGCTATTGCAATCTGGAAGCTGGCAACTCCAGACAGCTACCGATTGGTCACTAACCATTTTGGAGTGGGAAAGTCAACCGCTGGAATTGTGTTGATGCAAGTTTGCAGGGCCATTAATCTCATCCTGCTCAGAAGAACCGTGACTCCGGGTAACGTGCATGACCTTGTGGCTGGCTTTCAACAAATGGGTTTCCCTAACTGCGGAGGGGCGATAGATGGGACGCATGTTCCTATTCTGGCACCAGACCACCTAGCCTCCGAGTAGGTTAATTGGAAGGGGTATTTCTCCATGGTTCTCCAGGAGCTTGTGGATCACCCTAGGCGTTTCACTGACATTAACGCAGGCTGGCCCGGAAAGGTGCATGACACACGCATCTTTCGGAACACTGGACTGTTCAGGAAGCTGCAAGCCGGGACTTTTTTCCCAGACCAGAGGATCACCATAGGGGAAGTCGAAATGCCCACTGTGATCCTTGGAGACCCCGCTTACCCCTTAATGCCGTGGCTCATGAAACCCTACACAGGGATCCTGGTCAGCAGCCAGGAAAGGTTCAACTACAGGCTCAGCCAGTGCCGAATGACTGTCGAGCACGCTTCTGGCCGTTTGAAGGGCCACTGGCGCTCTCTTTATGGAAAGCTGGACTTGGCCAAAGGTAGCATCCCCACGGTTATATCCACGTGCTGTACCTTCCAAAATATTTGTGAAGGGAAGGGTGAAAGCTTCACTCAGGCATGGGCCTCGGAGGTTCAACACCTGGAGGCTGAATTTGTACAGCCAGAGAGCAGGGCTATTAGAGGGGCCCAGCGTGGGGCTGCAAAAATTAGGGATGCCTTGAGGGAGCAATTTGAGGCTGAAAGCCACCAGTTATGTCTGTTGCTCTGCACGGGAGTTAAGTGCAGTGGCTGTGTTTGGTACACTGAATTGTAGTGCTTTTTGCTTTCCTGGGCTAAGGTATATTTTGCTTTATGCACTAATAAAGTATGTTTTCAAAGTGAAAAACTCCATTTATTGCAAAGAAAATTCATTTCTTGAAATAAAAACAAAGTAACACAGCAATACCACAATGGCAAGGGGGTAGGGTGGGGACCGGTTCACCCACAGACTTGAGTATGTCCTGATTTCATACTCTGGAATCCTGTCTGGAGTGCTGTGCACCGAGTGCTGCACTTCAGGATGGCTATAAGGCATGTTGAGGGGGGTTGAGTGCGGTGGATAAGGGTCGTAGTTTTCATGGGTGGATGGTGAAGCTAGGGGTGTAGGAGGCAGCTGGGAGCAGTAAGAACCCAGATGTGGGGCAAAGTGGGTTGGAGGGGATATGGGGGCACAAGGGAAAGAGTTTTGGGACAAGGGCTGCAGGGGGTGGCGAGCATAGTTGTGCTCTGCCTGCATGGCGACGAGCACTTGGATAGAGTCCGCTCGGCGCTCCATTATGCTGATCAGCCAATCTGTGCTTTGCTGCCGGAGCACCGTGTTTTGCTGCTGGCAATCCTCATTCTTCTGGCGGATCCTCCTTTCACTCTCCCTCCACTTCTGTGCCTTTCGATTCTCTTCCACAGACTGCTGCATCACTTCCTGCAGCATGTCTTCTTTGCTTTTACGGGGCCTCTTCCTGAGTGCTCTCAGTCTGTCGGCCAGTGATAACACCAGTGGCTGAGATCTCAAGGTTGCACCTACACAGGCAAAATGCAACACTTAACAGAGGAAGCATTGTACACACCAGACAGAGCAATGATTCCCCTGCACTTATGGAGGGCAATCACAGTCCATACAAAACCATACTTTGCCTGTCCCAAAGCGAGCGTACAGTGTGGCACAATAGCCTGACTGGGACAGGAACCAAGCTGGCTCTCCCAATAAACCTGTGCAGGTGCATTGCCCACGTTCTGTCTGAGACTTTTGAAGAGATCACTGATGCCGATTACCGTGATGTGACAGACCACATCAATGCGCTATTCTGCATCTAGGCATGCATACATCCCAAACCCTCCTCGCCCAAAGAGCTTCCTTCCCAGAAAAAAAAGCCGCTTACCAGGAACCTCCTCTGGTGTTTGTCCTTCCCCAAGCACCGGCCGCCGTGATTGGCTGCCTTCCTCCTGGCTCGAGAAGAGCTCCTGGCTGCATGCATCTAGGGATTCCGGGGTGTGTCTCCCCGCCTCAGCACCCTTACTAGCATTTCCCTCATCCTCCTCCTCCTCCTCCTCCACCTCCTCCTCCCCCCCCCCTTGCTGTGCTGGGCTCGGAAGTGTCCATGGTGGTCATTGGAGTAGAGGTGGGGTCGCCCCCAAGTATCGCGTCCAGCTCTTTGTCGAAACGGCAGGTCGCGGGGGCAGCACCGGAGCAGCCGTTTGCCTCATGGGCTTTGCGGTAGGCATTCCACAGCTCCTTCACTTTAACCCTGCACTGCACTGCGTCCCGGTCATGGCCCCTTTCCATCAGGGCCCTTGATATCTGCCCAAAGGTATCGTAATTCCTATGGCTGGAGCGCAGCTGGGACTGCACAGCTTCCTCCCCCCCAAACACTGATGAGGTCCAGCACCTCGCCATTGCTCCATACTGGGGATCGCCTGATGCGTGGAGGCATGGTTGCCTGGAAGGACGCGATGAGAGCACTCCACGCCTGGCTGAGAAAACAGGAAGGGGATTTTCAAAATTCCCAGGAAATGTAAAGGGCAGGTCTGACAGTTGCTCACCTGAGGACAGGGCAGCAGAGTTCAAAAGTGATGACCAGAGTGGCTAGAACAGGCATTGTGGGACACTTCCGGAGGCCAATCAGAGCGCATTAGGAGTCCACGCTGGCGCCGTTGCGCTCCAGCAAGAGCGCAACAAACGTTATTCCTCCTGGGGAGGTGGAGTACCAGGAGCGCTCCAGCCGCGGAGTCAGAGCACTCTACGTGCCTTGCCAGCGTGGACGGGTCGGAAGGTGGAGAGCTCTTGGCAGCTTTATTGCGCTATAACGCTCAAGCTTAGCCAAGGCTTAAGTATACACACTATCAACTGACGGGGTATGAAGATTGACCCACTATGCAATTCTTAAGATGAGCAAATCAAAGAGCTTATGGAATTATTTTAAAATAATACAGCAGCTCTTTCATTTTCTCTCTTTAGTAACGTGGTCCAGGCACACCCATAATTTGCCACAGACCTATTGTTTTTAGCAGAACAGCTGTAGAAGGAAAACACGCAAGAGCTTGTGGTAGACCATTAACTATGATAGGTGTGGCCAAAATCTCTCCTTTTTTCCAGGGATCACGAGTTGAGGAGGTACCCATTAAACTGTTTTAAAGCCATACAATTGGAAGTATAAGGGCAAACAAGGCACTATTCTTAATGTACACCTTGATAAATATATCAAATATACCAAAATCCCACACTAATATTTCCATAACTCTAAATCTTTTCTTTCTTAGGAGCCGCTGTAGCAGAAGCCACTCTGGTTTCCTTCAGGACAAAGTCAGAGTTACTAATCTGCAATATGGGAGATTCAGGTTCAGCAGCCACCACAAGACTCTTTCCCCATACACGAGCGGCATTCAGATCTGTCAGAGAGACTGTGTTTGGGCTCATGTGATTAGGGCAAGACGATTAATACACAGCATTTGTGATGATCTTAGGTTGCATTCCTGTGTTTCTGAACAGAGGTACAGCTGTGTGATAATGGCTACTTTAGGGGACAAAGGAGCACTAAACAATAAAAAGACAGGCATACATACAGTAATGGGAAAATCTGAGGAATGTGACTAAACTGACCTTTAGACAGAACTGGATCTTGACAGAAATCTAAGGTTGGATACATAACAGATCACAGCTGCCCAAAAAGGAAAATCTTCCAAAATTAATTACCAACGATTTTCAGGCAGTACCACTCAATATAATACATTTTCAACTGACCAAAATCCAGGACTGGTTGTTACTTTTGTGTGTGTGTGTTTGGCTATTTTTCTTAAGTGTAACGAGACAAGGTAGGTCTGCTGGTGAGAGAGACAAACTTTTGAGCTTACACAGAGCTCTTCTTCAGGTCTGGTAAATGTATTCAGTGGGTATGTCTATGCTGCAATTACAAACCAATGGCTGGCCCGTGTCAGTTGACTCAGGCTCATGGGGCGCAGGCTAAGGGACTGTTCAATTATGGTGTAGTGTAGACATTGGGGCTCACAGTTACTCAAGCCCTGCAAGCCGAGTCAGGTGATACAGGCCAGCCATGGGTTTTTAATTGCTGTGTAGGCATATGCAGAGTGTCACCTTGTATTTAGCTGTGAAAGAGATTATTTAGCATAAGTAGTTATACACATCTCACAAATGACAGAGTAGCAGCCGTGTTAGTCTGTATCCGCAAAAAGAACAGGAGTACTTGTGGCACCTTTTTCCATCCCACCATCAACCTCAGCCTAGACCAGTCCACACAAGCAGTCCATTTCCTGGACACTACTGTGCTAATACGTGATGGTCACATAAACACCACCCTATACCGGAAACCTACTGACCACTATACTTACCTACATGCCTCCAGCTTTCATCCAGATCACACCACACGATCCATTGTCTACAGCCAAACTCTAAGATACAACCGCATTTGCTCCAACCCCTCAGACAGAGACAAACACCTACAAGATCTCTATCAAGCATTCTTAAAACTGCAATACCCACCTGATGAAGTGAAAAAACAGATTGACAGAGCCAGAACAGTACCCAGAAGTCACCTACTAGATGATCATAATGGTCCCTTCTGACCTAAATATCTATGAATCTATGAATCTACTACAGGACAGGCCCAACAAAGAAAATAACAGAACACCACTAGCCGTCACCTTCAGCCCCCAACTAAAACCTCTTCAGATCTACAACCTATCCTGAAAGATGATCCCTCACTCTCACAGATCTTGGGAGACAGACCAGTCCTCGCTTACAGACAGCCCCTGCAACCTGAAGCAAATACTCTCCAGCAACCACACAACAAAAACACTAACCCAGGAACCTATCCTTCAAACAAAGCCCGATGCCAACTCTGTCCACATATCTATTCAAGTGACACCATCGTAGTACCTAATCACATCAGCCACGACATCAGGGGCTCGTTCACCTTCACATCTACCAATGTGATATATGCCATCATGTGCCAGCAATGCCTCTCTGCCATGTACATTGGCCAAACCGGACAGTCTCTACGCAAAAGAATAAATGGACACAAATCTGACATCAGGAATCATAACATTTAAAAACCAGTAGGAGAACACTTCAGCCTCTCTGGTCACTCAGTAAAAGACTTAAAGGTGGCAATTTTGCAACAGAAAAGCTTCAAAAACAGACTCCAATGAGAAACTGCTGAACTGAAATTAATTTGCAAACTAGATACCATTAACTTGGGCTTGAATAGAGACTGGGAGTGGCTGGGTCATTACACAAATTGAATCTATTTCCCCATGTTAAGTATCCTCACACATTCAACTATCTGAAATGGGCTAACCTGATTATCACTACAGAAGTTTTTTTTCCCCTGCTGATAATAGATCATCTTAATTAATTAGCCTCTTAGAGATGGTATGGCAACTTCCACCTTTTCATGTTCTCTGTATGTATATATATATCTTCTTACTATATATGTTCCATTCTGTGCATCTGATGAAGTGGGCTGTAGCACACGAAAGCTTATGCTCAAATAAATTTGTTAGTCTCTAAGGTGCCACATTTCAGAGTAACAGCCGTGTTAGTCTGTATTCGCAAAAAGAAAAGGAGTACTTGTGGCACCTTAGAGACTAACCAATTTATTTGAGCATGAGCTTTCGTGAGCTACAGTACACAAGTACTCCTGTACTTTTTACATCTTACAAAGAACCTTTCAAGGGACCATTCAAGGTGAAGTGACCAGCTAACACCTCTCAAATCGTAGTGGGAAAGGAAGAAAAAGAAAAGCTGGGAGGAGAGGAGGTCATTATAGATTGTTGTAAAAAGCCATGAATTCAATGTATGTGTTTAGTTCATGATTTTTAGTATCTAGCAAAATTACAAATGTAAGCTCCCAGACTCATCCTTTGAAGGTGTTATGCAGGTTTCCAATGAGGACAGAGAATTCAGATAACCACACTCTCCAGCTTCCTCCCCCCCTTTGTTTCCTCCCTATGACTGGAGAGGTGTTAACTGGACACTTCACCTTGAATGGTCCCTTGAAATATGTGTTAACTACTTATGCTAAACAATCTGTTCAGCCTTGTATTGAGAGTGTCATGCTAAATACACTTCCCAGACCTGAAGGAGAGCTCTGTGTAAGCTTGTCTCTCTCACCAACCACCTTGTCTTTCTTACATTCTGGGACCAACACGGCTACAACACCACTGCATACAAGTTTTCTTAAATGACAATCAAATTAATCACTACACTCTCGAATGAACTCACACAGGAAAATCATAAAAGACAAAAAATCCCTAACACCTATGGACCACTTTTCACAAGCGATCACTGCATATCTGATCTTTCAGCACTATATCCTTGAAGAAAACTTGACAAATTTGCACCTTCAAAAGGCAAGCCAGGAAACTTAAATTCGTAACACTGCTAGGCACTAAAACCAAGGACATGGCTAATTACAACAACCTAACACACACCAGCCTGCTAACCCTCAATGGCCCACATCAAACCCCTTTTGCATAAACAATCTATCCCTTATTGCCCACTTTATTTCAAGGGACCTCCTAAAGTTACCCATTATGCTTAACTGTGTCCCAATTTGTATTTAGCACAGAAACGCTGATTTCTTTCCCCAGACATGAAGAACTCTGGGTAGTTTGAAAGCTTGAACCTATCACCAACAGAAGTTGGTCCAATAAAAGATACCCCACCTACTTTGTCTCTCATATCCTGAGACCAACCTGGCTACAGCAACATTAAACAGTCAAAATAATTACTTTTCATCCTTTTGGTTCATCTGAAATCTTACACCTTACCCTAAAGGCAGGATTCGCTCCATGTTCCAGTAAACACTTCACTGCTGCAGTACACAAGTTAAACGCAGCAATATGCAAAGCTGTTCCAAAATCGAAGTCACTGCAGGTGGCATCCACATCTGCAATTAAACATCACGAGTGAGAATGGAAGAGGTGTTACTTGAAACATTTCAACATATAAATAAGCACTATTTTCTGTAACCCAGATGCTGATGCATGGTGATTTTATGTAGCACTCCTCCTTAACCATATATATACACACACACATATATATATATTCTTTACAAACTACCGTCTTCTAACTTAGTTAACTCCTGTCATTGCATAACGCTAACTGCTAATAGCTAAATAGCAGATAGCACATAAGACTGAGCATTCTGGGTAAGTAAAAAAATGCTTGTACATTTATATTTCTATTCATTGTTTAAACAGGTAGAAACTTGGAAAAAGCTGTATTTTCCAGCCAACTGTGTTCTTTTTTATTGGACAAACACTGATTGCACCCCCACTTCCCTTATTTACTTCATAAAAAGCAAATGAATTAGTGATAGTAAAGGGTCTTAGATTGACAGATTACAGAATGAAATGTTATAATCCAATCAAGAACAGGTACAGTATAATACAAATTCCCCTAGATTACCCCAATGTGCCTCAACCTCCTTTTGGAGCAATTACTTTTAGCTAATAGAAAAGAGTTCAGTCTCAATATCCAATCTATCTTTGGCATCAACACTGAGGCTAACAAAATGGGTGCCAGTTCAGGATGTGGACATTTGTCCACAACTCCAATTCATTTCACATATGGTACCAAGCAACCTTCATATGACTTTCAGATATTACTAATCTAGTTCAAATTTGAATCAGTAGCCATGAAAATGGACACAGAACCTTTCAACTCTGAGCTATCTAACTTCAAAAAGGTTGTGTACATGGCACACCAAAGCACACCAGTGCTCTAATGTGTTGCAGTCTAACTGTCCCATGTAGACCCTGCTGACATACTTTAAAAGGTATCTATTTTGCATTAACATAGTCCTGTTTGAAATGGGACTACACCAATGTGAACTAGGTACCTTTATATATAAGCTTGAAATTATCAGTAAAATATCTAAGATAATCCATCTATAAGACCAGGCAAATTTGCATGCCTAGTTAGGCTATCAACCAGACATTTCCATGTCCATATATGGCCTGATTTTCAGAGTTGCTGAATACCGATATCACCAACTAAAGTCAATGAGACCTACAGGTGTTCAGCACCTCTGAAAATCCAGTCTTTTTTTTTTTTTTTTTTAAATGAAAGCCTTCAAATATATCTAGCAGACCACCATCATGTCCTCGAAACTTAGTGACACACGTTGAGGTTATTAGCATTACCCCTTTATTGCATTTTACACTGACTAAATTATAATATTCAAAAACCTGTCAGAGAACACTTCAATCTCTTTGGTCACTCGATTACAGACCTAAAAGTGGCAATTCTTCAACAAAAAAATTTCAGAAACAGACTCCAATGAGAGACTGCTGAATTGGAATTAATTTGCAAACTGGATGCAATTAACTTAGGCTTGAATAAAGACTGGGAGTGGATGTGTCATTACACAAAATAAAACTATTTTTCCATGTTTATCCCCCCACCCTCCTACCGTTCCTCACACGTTCTTGTCAACTGCTGGAAATGGCCCACCTTGATTATCACTACAAAAGGTTCCTCTGACCCCCGCCCCGCTCTCCTGCTGGTAATAGCTCGCCTTACCTGATCACTCTTGTTCTATCAACTTCATGAAAATCTCATACAGATACAGACAGACATAATCTTCCTTTCCAAATGCAAACAGATGGACATCATACCAAAAGGACTGAAGGTAAAAAATCCATTACAATCTACATACCACACAGACTATGCTGACAGCTTGTGCCACACACTCTCAAAGAAACTGTGGAAACACCTGATCAACATCCTCTACAGCAAACAGGGAAAGATTAAGACTGAGCTCTCAAAACTGGATACTCTCATAAACAACCAACCTTCCACACAAACTTCCTCGTGGCTGGACTTTACAAAAACTAGACAAGCCATTTACAACACACACTTTGCTTCTCTACAAAAGAAAAAGGACACTAAACTATCTAAACTACTACATGCCACAAGGGGCCACAACAGTAGGTCCCTTAACCCACCCAGCAATATTGTTAATCTATTCAACTATACTCTAAGACCAGCAGAAGAATCTGTCCTATCTCGGGGCCTCTCCTTCTGCCCCTCCACTCCCACGAACATGGTACAGTTCTGTGGTGACCTAGAATCCTATTTTCGACATCTCTGACTCAAGGAGTATTTCCAACACACCTCTGAACAACATACTAACTCACAGAGACCTTCCTACCAACACTACAAAAAGAAGGATTCTGGGTGGATTCCTCCTGAAGGTCGAAACAACAGACTGGACTTCTACATAGAGTGCTTCCGCTGATGTGCACAGGCTGAAATTGTGGAAAAGCAGCATCACTTGCCCCATAACCTCAGCCGTGCAGAACACAATGCCATCCGCTGCCTCAGAAACAACTCTCACATCATAATCAAAAAGGCTGACAAAGGAGGTGCTGTCGTCATCATGAATAGGTCAGAATATGAACAAGAAGCTGCTAGGCAGTTCTCCAACACCACTTTCTACAAGCCATTACCCTCTGATCCCACTGAGGGTTTCCAAAAGAAACTACACCATCTGCTCAAGAAACTCCCTGAAAAAGCACAAGAACAAATCCGCACAGACACACCACTAGAACCCCGACCAGCGGTTTTCTATCTGCTACCCAAGATCCATAAACCTGGAAATCCTGGACTCCCCATCATCTCAGGCATTGGCACCCTGACAGCAGAATTGTCTGGCTATATAGACTCCCTCCTCAGGCCCTACGTTACCAGCACTCCCAGCTATCTTCGAGACACCACTGACTTCCTGAGGAAACTACAATCCATCGGTGATCTTCCTGAAAACACCATCCTAGCCACTATGAATGTAGAAGCCCTCTACACCAACATTCCACACAAAGATGGACTACAAGCCGTCAGGAACAGTATCCCCAGTAATGTCATGGCAAACCTGGTGCCTGAACTTTGTGACTTTGTCCTCACCCATAACTATTTCACATTTGGGGACAATGTATACCTTCAAGTCAGCGGCACTGCTATGGGTACCCGCACGGCCCCACAGTATGCCAACGTTTTTATGGCTGACTTAGAACAACGCTTCCTCAGCTCTCGTCCCCTAATGCCCCTACTCTACTTGCACTACATTGATGACATCTTCATCATCTGGACCCGTGGAAAAGAAGCCCTTAAGGAATTCCACCAGGATTTCAACAATTTTCCACCATCAACCTCAGCCTGGACCAGTCCACACAAGAGATCCACTTCCTGGACACTACGGCGCTAATAAGCAATGGCCACATAAACACCACCTTATACTGGAAACCTACTGACCGCTATGCTTACCTACATGCCTCCAGCTTTCATCCAGACCACACCACACGACCCATTGCCTACAGCCAAGCTCTAAAATACAACCGCATTTGCTCCAACCCCTCAGACAGAGACAAACACCTACAAGATCTCTATGAAGCGTTCTTACAACTACAATATCCACCTGCTGAAGTGAAAAAACAGACTGACAGAACCAGAAGAGTACCCAGAAGTCATCTACTACAGGACAGGCCCAACAAAGAAAATAACAGAACGCCACTAGCCATCACCTTCAGCCCCCAACTAAAACCTCTCCAATGCATCATCAAGGATCTACAACCTATTCTGAAGGACGATCCCTCACTCTCACAGATCTTGGGAGACAAACCAGTCCTTGTTTACAGACAGCCCCCCAACCTGAAGCAAATACTCACCAGCAACCACACACCACACAACAAAAACACTAACCCAGGAACCTATCCTTCAAACAAAGCCCGTTGCCAACTGTGTCCACATATCTATTCAGGGGACACCATCATAGGGCCTAATCACATCAGCCACACGATCAGAGGCTCGTTCACCTGCACATCTACCAATGTGATATATACCATCATGTGCCAGCAATGCTCCTCTGCCATGTACATTGGCCAAACCGGACAGTCTCTACGTAAAAGAATAAATGGACACAAATCAGACGTCAAGAATAGTAACATTCAAAAACCAGTCGGAGAACACTTCAACCTCCCTGGTCACTTAAGTACAGACCTAAAAGTCGCAATTCTTCAAAAAAAAAAAAAACTTCAAAAAGAGACTCCAAAGAGAGACTGATGAATTGGAATTAATTTGCAAACTGGATACAATGAACTTAGGCTTGAATAGAGACTGGGAGTGGATGGGTCATTACACAAAGTAAAACTATTCGCCACCCCCACCCCCATTCCTCAGACGTTCTTGTCAACTTCTGGAAATGGCCCACCTTGATTATCACTACAAAAGTTTTTCCCGCCCCCTCCTCCCCGCTCTCCTACTGGTAATAGCTCACCTTACCTGATCACTCTTGTTACAGTGTGTATGTAACACCCATTGTTTCATGTTCTCTGTGTATATAAAATCTCCCCATTGTATTTTCTACTACATGCATCCAATGATGTGAGCTGTAGCTCAAGAAAGCTTATGCTCAAATAACTTTGTTAGTCTCTAAGGTGCCACGCGTACTCCTTTTCTTTTTGCGGATACAGACTAACAAGGCTGCTACTCTGAAACCTGTCACAACATATATGAAAACAAAAGTACATAGACAAAACCTGAAGGCATGTTTAAACACATTTCCAGCTTAACTGGGTGCCCTGTATCATTACTTGGGAACTATCTGAAGGGAAAGAAATATGTAGCAATACAGTTTGTTGTGAATGACGTATATGGGATTATATACCAGAAGCATGACACATAAAAACATTATTTCATTCCCAAGGAATGAAACAGTTCTCATATCTGAATACGTTTGTCAATTTGAGGATAAACCAGTTCTCTATATAGGTTCACTCTAAAATTCTTAGAATTGAGAATGTTATATGGAGGCATGCAGGGCATTTTACTGCTGCAGTAAATCAAGCTCATGTGGTAACTGGCTCTTCTTTGGAAGAGTGTCTCTAAATTCATGCCATACTCATTACACCTTTTGCTTGAAAGGTTACATATATCTTGTGACTTTTTTTTCCAGAACAGGTAAAGTAGGGACCCCTCCAAGGTACACTTGGGTCCCTCCATACAGCTCACGGCAAACCAAAAAAAAAAAAATGTTTTGTTTGTACATTTACACTTTTTTCTCTGCAAGATCTGAAATGAAAGAGCAACCACATTCTTATGGAACAGTCTGCCCAATTAAGTCTTGTTCCCAAAATGTTAAGAGTATCTCTTACACTAATCCAAACCTCCTGACACATCACGTCAACTAATATAAACTGTATCAGACAGGTTGTTTTATAAACATCTTAGGGCAATCACATTATTCTTAGGTTGTGGGTGTTACGCATGTGGGAGCTGATGAGGTGCAAGTTATTTATTTGTTTATATGTTTTCTTTATTTGGACAAAACCCTGACCTTCCTTGGAACCGCTGTGCAGGAGAACTGAACAAGTATGAGGCCAGGTGTTTGGCACAAGAGCCATTCTGATGCTGCAGGTCATGAAGAGACAGGGGGAGGGTGGCTGTTGCAACATGATGCTGACTGCTCTTCTGAACATGAGCAATAGTGGTTTGTCTCTTGTTGCTGGCTACAGTTTGTGGCCCTTACACTCTCAGGAGATATGGCACATTAGAAGGGAGACCTCTGGCTAGTGTTCGAGCACTGTGGAAAGATCCAGGCTTTCCTCAAGCAGCAACAGGGATTCAGCGAGAAAGGAGCTCCCTACACCAACAGAAGTCAGGATTTTGCCTTTTAATTGCACCCCTAGATATGAGTGCCTGCCCACCCTCCATTTGTTTTTGAGAGATGCTAAAGCAGTCACTAGCAGCTATGCTTATGGATTAATACTCTGACAATTCCTTATACAAGATCGGGTAAACAAACCCTGTGTGTCTACATGATGTTTTAAGAGATGAAATGGGGTACTGAGTCGTCAATATTTATAAAAGGATACCTTTTCAGTGTTTAAAATGAAGTCTTTTTAATTACAGCTAGTTAAAAAGAGGCATCTGACAATTCCACAAGACAGCACAACCAGAAGGATGTTTATTTAGTACAATGCGCAAACTGTTTATTGGTGTAGATACTCACGCAGATTAGGAACACAGTAATATTGGCTTCTGCTTCAGAAACCAGTGTCAGTTACCTTTTGCATTAATATAATGGGTTAGACTTTAATTATTAATTTATACTATTATTTGCAGAACTTTAAATGCATTTATAACTACCAGTGGGGTCTCCCATCCCAATCTGTACCCACTCTACTATCTCAGATATGACACTTTAGTTGCTTCGTTTTTAAATGGGCAGTAGAGGTGAGACATATGAACACGTCAATAGCGGCTCCAATTGCTAGCAGCATGCATCTTTTTCACCTTCTGTTATGTTCGCCAGAACTGATCTACCCCATAGCCTGCTTCTTCCTTTCTGAATCTTGATCACAAGGGCACCTCAGAAAGCCTCAGATTTCACAAATAGAACAGTTGTGCTCGTTTCTCCACATCTGCTCTTTCACTCTGCCAGCAAATGTTTAGAGGTGAGTAAACTGACGCTCTATTACCCTTTCTCCGCCTCCGCCCCCGCCCCCCCCCGGCCATTCCCTCACTTCCCATTCACTATTTACGAAGTCTGATCCCATCATACTCTCTCTTCTTTAAAAACAACCTGGCCTATGCACTACAGCATAAACTCAGTTCAGAGAAAATGGACCGAAAAAGCAAACTAAAGAGAATGAGAAATAACTTTAAAAAAAAAATTATGGGAAAGTGCAGCTTTCATCTATGCCTACACAACCCCATTTACTGGATGGATCAGTGGGGTTAACGGAAGGACAGAATGGCATATTATCTAAGAAAACTGATACTTGATAATACCTACCTTTGGGCTTTGCATTTTTCAAAATAACTCTAATAAGTTCTGGAACATCAAAGTAGGCAGCATAATGCAAAGCATTCATATTTGTCCAGCGACTACGCAAACTAGTATCTGCACCCAGATCAATAAGGTGAGAGGCGAATTTGGCAGCAGTCTCAACATCACCTGCAAAGCAGCTTTTTTTAAAAGTTGTTTTAAATGTTAGGTAAGAGTTTAATAGTGTGGTATAAATATACCAGCCTAGATATCACATATAATGCATTAGAAAACATTTGTATTCCAAATTATGGCTACACAGAGCAAAGCCTAGAGAAAGACATTTTGCTACAAAAAGGCTCTCTTGCGGATTAGGCAAGAAAGGAATCATGGGCATCAGAGGCAGGCCAGGGAGGTGGTGGAGTGAGGCTCCACAATGCCTAATTTTCAAACCTTCTGCCAGCAAAGTTAAAGCTCCATCAGCCACCCCACACCCTTTTGCTGGAGCAGAGTGGAGAACTGGGTTCAGTATCAGTGTAAAAAGGTACTTTGATAGAAGCCAATAGGAGTCATCAAGAAAGAGAGGGCTAAAGGCACTCTTATTTCCTATAAACATGCATGAAATGCAACCGAAGATTCCTTTTCTCTCCCAAGGAGCCTGAGATTTCAATATTACCAAGGGAGAAACCTCTCAGTTATGTTTAGGTTTTTTAATTGGTATTAATACATACAATAATTACTGCATCATCCCTTCTAATAGCCATTAAGGCACTATACAAATAAAATGTTTACAAAAGTTAAGGCCAAGCACTAGCAAATTTACTATAAGGAACAATTTTGAAACGGAAGAGGGGTAGACTCTGATTTATCGAGGCAAACAGTTCCATTTCTAATTTCTGTTTTTCTTTACTCACCAATACCATGAGCCCCTGACTTGCAGGTGTAATGTAAGAGAGTCATATCAGTCAGTCCATCTCTATCATTCACACTGCAGCCTCTATTAATGATCTGCAGAAAAACAGCACGACTGGTGTAATTATTGAATAAATTCTGCTTTCACACATGGACTTATGCATTTGTTGTGTGGAGACAAGCAAAGCAGTTTGCTAAAGTGGACTACCAGTGCAATGTACAGTAGAACCTCAGAGTAACAAACACCAGAGTTACAAATTGACCAGTCAACCACACATCTCATTTGGAACAGCAAGTACACAATCAGGCAGCAGAGACCCACCCCACCCACTCCCCCCAAAAAGTGCAAATACTATACAGCACAGTACTATGTTAAATGTAAACTACTAAAAAAAAATACAAGGAAAGTTTAAAAAAGATTTAACAAGGTAAGGAAAGTGTTTCTGTGATTGTTTGATTTAAATTAAGATGGTTAAAAGCAGCATTTTTCTTCTGCATAGTAAAGTTTCAAAGTTCTACTAAGTCAATGTTCAGTTGTAAACTTTTGAAAGAACAACCATGACGTTTTGTTCAAAGTTACAAACAACCTCCATTCCCAAGGTGTTTGTAACTCTGAGGTTCTACTGTGGCTATACATAACTCAGCAAAATGGATAGAAACAAATGACTAAATATCATTATTAACCTTTAGTGCTTACAAGTTTTAAATAATTTTTCCATCATTAGCACCAGCTTGGCTTTAATGTGTTGAAGAGTTAACTTTTCCAGTTCAGATGCAATGCAGCCCAGGAAAACTAAATCTATTTAAAACACTAATTTCACTTCCTCGCCCACACTTTAATCCTTTGGTCCCCCAGTACCCTGGTAAAACCTGTAGTTATAATGTTGTAAGAAGAATGCAGTCGGGAATATTTGGAAAAGCCTACAAAACCTGATGAAATAAGAAAAAAGGCTTCAGCTTCCAAGTGACTTAGATGCTTTTGGAAGTCCCACCTTTAACTTCTGACTTCGTTTTAATTTAGTTTGTCAGAATTTTAAAAGTTACTGGAAACAGAAAAGTGGAAGATGGGAAATCCCAATCATTTTAGTTCCAAAAAGAACTTCTCTATTTGTTTCTTCAACCCACCCTTGCTTCCTTCTCACAATTTTCTTGAATAGTTATATACTGATCTTCCTTCTCTTTTGCAAAGATAGCTGAACGTCGCCTCTACTGTGATTGGTGCCTGTATCACTGGTATGCTGATCAGTAGCTACGTGCTATAAGGCAAAAACAATCTCTTGAACCTATTATTTCGGCTGTTGAATAAGATCAGTTCTGAACATTATCAACACTATACCATTTTTCTTTAACCCTGAAACTGTTCAGGAATCCTCCTTCATTCCTCACCTCATTTCCAATTATATCAATGTTCTGCTGGACCTGTGGGACCCATTGCCGTAAGATGGCGAACAATTCAGAAACTGATGTTTTAGGGTTGAAAAGAATTTCTTGGCATGCTGCATCATTAGGATCGAAGAAGGAGAACTCTGTTTTTTAAGAAAAGATATGAAGTATTATATGCACATTTGGGTATTAAAATGCTTCAACAATGCATCTACTTTTCAAAACTTTTTTGAGGCAAGAAGTAGGGAGGAGATGCGCAGATTTGAAATTCAGAATCACAAGCAAATTCAGCCTCTTCCCTTAACTTTTTATCTTTTCTTCTCATGGAGGCCTTGTCTACACTTTGTGAAAGCCACGATTCAGCAATCAGTATAGCTGTGTTGGTGCTCTGGGGCCGAGTTTTAAGTTTAGACAAGGACATGCAAGTGTTTGCAACAATTATGCTAACAAAAATTTACCCATGCTTCAGGCTGGTCACAGACTGCTGAATCAAAGCTATTTTTGGGTGCAGACAAGCCCTTAGTAGAGTCAACTACAGTGATGGAACTTGCACCTGCTTATTCAATGTTATGAATCTTCCCCGCCCCTCCCTCTTCCTCCTCAAAAAAAAATAAATCACAGAAAAACCATGCATACATATACATGACATCCAGGAGCACAGAAATAAAGAATAATCAGGATAATAAGGGAAAGGCATTCATTACATGATGTTCAGAAATTCTACTGAAATCAATGGGGGCTGCAGGTACCCAGAACCTTTGAAAAATCTGGCCATCAACCACCAACTTCAGAAAGAATTCTCTTTTGTAAACTTGAAACTCACTTATAATACAACCCAAAATGCAGGCATCAAAGATACAGCCTTCCAGATTAAAAACCTATGCATGGTAGTGTATGTCCTCCACGCACACAAGGTAGTAATATGCTGTGTATTAGGGAAAAATTTTAAACCCTGAAAAGAAGAATTTGGATAGCTATGATTATTTGCAGGAGGAATGGAAGCGAGATGTGTCTTACTCAGCCAGTGATTGGAAACTGGAAATCACTGAACTTTTATCACCCCAAAGGCTACTATGGTGCTGCCTTCTAAAAGGTTTATAATGAAAGCACCAAATGTCAACTTGTCTTCCATCAGTTGCAGATATAGGGCTAGCTGGACATAGATATTACTCCTAGTAAATATAGGTCTCACACTTCTGAGACAGGGCTGACAGCGTGACACTGGAGGAGTTGAAATGGTATAAACTACCTCTGGATGCATTGCCACAACTTTTCCCCACAAAACGAGAATCACAACTTCAATTGGGTCAAGAGATCAAGCAAATGAGGCGCGCACACATCAATATTCTAAAGCTTCTTTCATCACATGTCCCCTTGACTCCAAAGGGAAGAAAATAGAGTAGAGCTTCAAAGCTGTTTATCACTTAGGAATTCTAATTCAAACCCAAATTCTGTCAAAAATCTCAACTCTCAGCACCACTCAAGCCTTGCTTCTTAACACAAGCCACCCTGCACCAACAAATCAGATAGCTTTGGGAATAAATAGAATGTACGCATTATATTTATCCTCTTTCTAGGCCCAAGAAAATCTCATGCTGAAAGCTACCACAGCAAGTCACAAGCAGGAAGTGGGTTAGCCATGATTATCTCCCATGCATCTCCTCCAGATCTCTAAACTGCAAGAAAGCAAATACTCACCAGCAACCACACACCACACAACAAAAACACTAACCCAGGAACCTATCCTTCAAACAAAGCCCGTTGCCAACTGTGTCCACATATCTATTCAGGGGACACATCATAGGGCCTAATCACATCAGCCACACGATCAGAGGCTCGTTCACCTGCACATCTACCAATGTGATATATGCCATCATGTGCCAGCAATGCCCCTCTGCCGTGTACATTGGCCAAACCGGACAATCTCTACGTAAAAGAATAAATGGACACAAATCAGACGTCAAGAATAGTAACATTCAAAAACCAGTCGGAGAACACTTCAACCTCCCTGGTCACTCAAGTACAGACCTAAAAGTCTCAATTCTTCAACAAAAAAACTTCAAAAACAGACTCCAACGAGAGACTGTTGAATTGGAATTAATTTGCAAACTGGACACCATTAAATTAGGCTTGAATAAAGACTGGGAGTGGATGTGTCGTTACACAAAGTAAAACTATTTCCCCATGTTTATTCCCCCCCCCCTCCCCAGACTGTTCCTCACACGTTCTTGTCACCTTCTGGAAATGGCCCATCTTGATTATCACTACAAAAGGTTTGTTTTTTTTTCCCCTCCTGCTGGTAATAGCTCACCTTAACTGATCACTCTCGTTATAGTGTGTATGATAACACCCATTGTTTCATGTTCTCTGTGTACATATGTATCTTTCTTCCGTATTTTCCACTGCATGCATCCGGTGAAGTGGGTTTTTGCCCACAAAAGCTTATGCTCAAATAAATGTGTTAGTCTCTAAGGTGCCACAAGTACTCCTGTTCTTTTTGCGGATACAGACTAACACGGCTGCTACTCTGAAACCTGCTAGGAAGTTGTTTCTCTATTATGTACTGGAAGGCAACTTTTTAATATAACGTAATAACCATTTGGGTAAAAAAAAGCTATAGTATTCTAAACAAATACTGAGGAGAGAAACTAATAAAAAGCGTATACCAGTTCACCAACTATGATATCCATGCCAGTAAACAGTAAAAGGTTTTATAATCCTGACAGATAAACAGCACAACCACCACCATATTCAGGAAGAAAGGATCTGATAGGAGGCTAAAAAAGCAAATCCAATACCCTTGGTTCTTACCCAATACCTGCTCTCTCAAGGCACACACACATTGCTGAAGCTAAGATCTAGATACCATAAAGAGGTAATCAGAGAGAGTACCCAAGCTGAGCAGCAATAACTACCATTTTGGTATGGTTATGGTTAAACAGGTGACTGTAAAATGGTATCATTGTACTCATCACAGAGGCTACATAATCTAATGGCTAAAGCATGGGACTGCAAGTCAACAGGGCTGGGTTTTTACTACTAATGCCCTGTGAGACTTTTTGAAAGTCTCTTCACATTCAATGAAAAGAGGATAATGCCCTTCATCGTCCCCTGCCTCAGTTTCCCCAAAATCTAAAATGAAAATACCACATGCCACACTTAAATCTCCAATAGAATTGAGGAATAAATAAATATTTGTTAAATGCTTTGAGATCCTCTGACAGAAGAAGTTATAACTATATTATTGACAGTTCTGCTCACTGGTCCTGATTCTCTTCATTACAGTTTTATAATAGGTTAAAAACAGTGTTTCAGAGTGAAGCTGGAATAAAGGTGGTACGGTAGAGTTCAGACTCACTGTGTGTATTCAAATCTGTTTATTATTTTGATACAAATAAAAGTTATTACTTTTTATTCCTGATAGCTTCATACAGCTCTGGAAGTACGATGAAATTGTTATCTGAATGGAGAAGCATTAGAGTTAAATAATGTACAAACCAGAAAGGGTACAAGTTAAACTTTCAGATCCCAGACTGAGTTTGTGGTGCTGGTAGTAAAAAGAAATTATCTTTTTGACCGGTAAACTGAGCAACTTGTCTATGGAAAGTTAGAGAACAAACATGAACCCCACGACTCAATTTTTACAGAGTCCTTTCAGCATGTAACTGCACTTTAAATAACAAAAAAACAAAACTTTGAACACCAAGTCGTATATAGGGATCTATAAATAACAGAGCAAACCTCCATATTGTTTACATTAGGGAATTGCCTAGAACCCCAAACATGGATCCAGCCTCATTGTGCAAAGTAACAAAGAAGACAGTTCCTGACCCAGAGAGCTCACAATTTGGGTTTGACAGACAGACTTCAACAGGTGGACACAACAGAAACAAGGTGGTATGGGAGATCAGATGAGGTTACATTTAAACAAAGTTCAGCAGAACAACAGAAGTCCCGCTTCTGACCACTTGCCTAACTAGTGCCAGATGGTGGTGACTTGTGTCCCTTCCCTGCTCTGCCTGCCTCCATATCACAAGAAGATTCTAAGGAAAGATGTAGGATAGGGTGGTGCCTGCCTTTACATATTCAGATGGGAAGTTTTTCCCCCCACATACCGGGTGCAGAATGGGAGAGACCAGGGAGGTACTTGAGGGAGAAGTGGAAAAACAGGCAATCTAGGCCAGCATCACTCGCACAAATGATTGGCTCATTGAGTAAGTAAATCTATCAAAAAGGGTGGGACTAAGTAGTGAAAGATACATATTCACATATTAAAATACAGCACGTTCAATCCTTCAAACCTTAAATCCCAGATCCTCACACCAGCAACAGAGGTTGGTCTCAAGAACATTAATTCTCCTGAACATAGAATACTACAGTGTTCAGCAGCATGGAAGTAAAATAAAGATGTTAAATGGAATCAATGTCTGGGGAAACCAGAATTGAAAGATAGCTTTTTACACCTCCCAAGCACCCTTGATATCTGAAGGGAGGGTAGAGATTTTCTTAAATATTTCCAATTAATCACTAAATCAAATGGGATGATATTTATTTAACCTGTTTCAAATATATAACTCTATTTTCAAAGGATGAATATAAAGACAATTTAATAGTGGAATTTGCCTTTTTGAGATACTATCTTGATGTAAGTGATACTGTTCTCCTTAGTAATGAGCACAATATTTCCAACGGAAGTTTTCTTTCCCCCAAAGTCCCACTGTGTGTTTCGAAAATGGAGTACTTATGGGGCCTCATTCACTAGAAAACTGGTCAATTCTTAAAAGTGATTTTAAGATATTTTCAGGCACTGCACCCGAGTCAACCTGCCAATTTTTGTGGATTTACAGCACTTTTTTTTTAAATTTTGACAACTTTCACTTCCGTGTTGAAGGGTGAGGAGCCTACAAAAACCAGGGGTAGGTCACGCTGACTGAATGTACAGAAGAAATAGCAAAACCAACTGAAAACAAAGTGCTTTGAAATGCACAAACTAGAAAATAATTTTTTCCACTAATTTAACTTGTAGAAATTTCAGGTATTACTTGTAATAAACTGTAGATACATTTTCAAAGAGAAGTATAATTTTTAAATTGATAGGTTTCAGAGTAACAGCCGTGTTAGTCTGTATTCGCAAAAAGAAAAAGGAGTACTTGTGGCACCTTAGAGACTAACCAATTTATTTGAGCATGAGCTTTCGTGAAAATTGGTTAGTCTCTAAGGTGCCACAAGTACTCCTTTTCTTTTTTAAATTGATGGTATTCTTTTTATCTCACTTCCCTCTCTTAAACTCAGGCACTGCACATGATCTCAAAGTAGTTCCACAAACTCTTGCCTTCTATAAATATACATACCACAGTCCGAAGGCATTGGTGCTGCTGCAACTGAAAAAGTAACTGATGTTTCAGAGCCTGGGAATAAAAACTGATATCTTTCAATCAATGAATCTCCTTCTTGGGAAGGTTCTGGGAGATCCTCTATGGTCATCTTCTAGAAAGCCACCTTAAACAAGGAGAAAAAACCCACTCCAAATACTGTAGGCTACATTCTATTACAATACACAACTATAAACAGTGATTTACACTGAAGTTCATCTCTTTCCTTTTTGAAACATGCAAAAGATTGTAATTATTAAAGTTTTGTGATAATAAGTACGAACTAGTAGCTTGAGCATGCTCCTGGGAACACCACACCCAAGTTGTAATCCTGTCTGTCATGGATTGGCTTTATTGTTTTAGGGAAGTCATTTAAAATCCTTGTCTCAGTTTCTCCATCTGTGAAATGGTCAAAGAGATACTGCCATAGTTCACAGGCATGCTGTAATGTGTAATGTCTGTACACCCTTATGAAAATGTGAAGAGCTAATTATTACTCATCTTCAGCATTCTCATCTCAAGCTTCACCTCCCTTTCCTGCCCCCACAAACAAGAAACCAGTCAATCTACCTGCTCCCTTTCCCAAATATGGGAAGTGTTCTCACCATGTTAATCTTCCCACGGACAGCGCCAACTCTCATGGACTGATTCATTCCTGAGCCTTGCCTAAATTTCCCTGTGCCCCTCCCTGCCCTGCCTGCCTCCATATCAGTTCCCTTCCCAACTTGCCTGCCCCAAATTTTAAAACAGTGTACTTACCGTGCTGTAACCTCCAGTACTTCCAGCCAACTTTCTAAGCCCAGAATAACCTAGTAAAAATAATAATTAAAATCAAATGGCCATACAGAAATAGTCAACAGCATGATTAATTACATTTTCTATTAGCCAGGCTGCAATCTAGTCCAATCTTATAAACTGAACAGGATCAAATGAGACTTGGTCAGTAAATGTAGAAGAGAATACCCACCTTAGCAAGCACCATAGGAGCTGGCACTAATTCTCCGAACTGAGTCAAAACAACCATCATTCTGCTAGGGTAACTGTGCTACTGGAAATACTATCTTTTGGATGAGAAACTGAAAACCTAGGTCCTGGGCACTCACACTTAAAGGTACCATAACACTTTTTACAAGAATTCAGGTGCCATAATACAAGGGTTACTACTTTCTGCTTCCCTAAACTTCTTATGCAAATGAAATGGTTTCCAATCATGTTTACTTCCTGAAAAGTTAGATATATTACTAAAATACCACAATTTCAAAGTGTTTTCTCCAAAAACAAAAAAACCCACAGAGACATCCCATCCCTATGGATCACTACACTTACTTCTGGCTATTGAGTAAAAACATCTAGCTAGTGACTCTGTAAACTTCTATTCACAGAAAGAGTAACATAATCATCAGTTATATAGTTCTGTCACATATACCAATCAAAAGAACACTAAGACCTAAATAGTTAGGTGTGAAGTTTAAACAGGGTAGAGTCTACATAAAGTTAGTAGATCACAATCACAGAATCATAGAATTGTAAGACTGGAAGGGACCTTGAGAGGTCTTCTAGTCTAGTCCCCTGCACTCATGGCAAGACTAAGTATTATCTAGACCATCCCTGACAGGTGTTTGTCCAACCTCCTCTTTAAAATCTCCAATAATGAAGATTCCAAAACTTCCCTAGGCAACTTATTCTAGTGCTTAATCACCCTGACAGTTAGGACGTTTTTCCTAATGTCCAACCTAAACCGCCCTTGCTGCAATTTAAGCTCACTGCTTCTTGTCCTATGCTCAGAGGTTAAGGAGAACAATTTTTCATCCTCCTCCTTGTAACAAACTTTTATGTACTTGAAAACTATCACGTCCAGTGGTGAGCTGGAGCCGGTTCGCACCGGTTCACTGGAACTGGGTGTTAAATTTAGAAGCCCTTTTAGAATCGGTTGTCCCGCGAGGGTTCTAAAAGGGCTTCTAAATTTAACAACCGGCCAAAAGTGGCGCCTTAGGCGCCAGCTCCATGGGTGCTCCGGGGCTGGAGCACCCACGGGGAAAATTTGGTGGGTGTAGAGCACCCAGCGGCAGCTCCCCGCCCAGCCCCAGCTCACCTCACCTCTGCTCCACCTCCTCCTCTGAACGCACTGCCCCGCTCTGCTTCTCCGCGCCCCCTCCCAGGTTTCCTGCGAATCAGCTGTTTGCGCAGGCAGCCTGGGAGGGCTGAGAAGCAGGCGGCGGCTTAGTGCTCAGGCCCAGGGAGGCGGACAGGAGGTGAGCTGGGGCGGGGGGAGGGGGGAGGCGCGAGGTGGGCCGCTCGCACCGCAGCAGGTAACTCGGGGGGCACGCAGGGGAACCGCTCCCCGCCCCAGCTTGCCTCCGCCTCCCTGGGCCTGAGCGCGAAGCCACTGCTTGCTTCTCAGCCTTCCCCAGCTTCCCACGAGAACAGCTAATTCGCGGGAAGCCAGGAAGGGTGGAGAAGCAGAGTGGGGCAGCGCGTTCAGGGGAGGAGGCAGAGGTGAGCTGGGGCGAGGAGCTGCTGGTGGGTGCTCTGCACCCACCAAATTTTCCCTGTGGGGACTCCAGCCCCGGAGCACCCAGCAAGTCGGTGCCTAAGGCACCACTTTTGATGTGATCAATGGGGTAGTGGCCGCTCCCCCCACTCCCCCGCAGCTATGCTACCCGGCCTCTAGGAGCAAGAGGGACCTGCCGGATGCTTCCTGGGAGCCGCCTCAGGTAAGCACTGCCAGGGCTCCCCACCTCGCCTCCCCGCAGGTCCCTCTGGCTCTTTAGAGGCGGGGCGTGGTGGGCACCCACTACGGTGGCCCACGAGACCCTTCTGCCCAGTTCTGGGGGCAGTCAGGGGACAGGGGAGGGAGGTGGATGGAACAGGAGTCCCGGGGAGGGGGGAGCGTCAAGGAATGCAGGGGGTTGGATGGGGCAGGAGTCCCGGGGGGGCGGGAGTGGGCAACGACCCCCTCGTGGGGAGAGGAGGGAACCAGTTGTTAAGATTTTGGCAGCTCCTCACTGATTATGTCCCTTCTCAATCTTCTCTTCTCCAGATTAAACAAACCCAATTTTTTTAATCTTCCGTCATAGCTCATGTCTTCTAGACCTTTAATCATTTTTGTTGCTCTTCTCTGGACTTTCTCCAATTTGTCTATATCTTTCCTGACATGTGGTGCCTGGAACTGGGCACAATACTCCAGTTGAGATTGTATCAGTGCACAGTAGAGTGGAAGAATTACTTCTCATGTATTCGCAAAAAGAAAAGGAGTACTTGTGGCACCTTAGAGACTAACCAATTTATTTGACCATAAGCTTTCGTGAGCTACAGCTCACTTCATCGGATGCATACCGTGGAAACTGCAGAAGACATTATATACACACAGAGACCATGAAACAATACCTCCTCCCACCCCACTGTCCTGCTGGTAATAGCTTATCTAAAGTGATCATCAAGTTGGGCCATTTCCAGCACAAATCCAGGTTTTTTCACCCTCCACCCCCCACACACAAATTCACTCTCCTGCTGGTAATAGCCCATCCAAAGTGACCACTCTCTTCACAATGTGTATGATAATCAAGGTGGGCCGTTTCCTGCACAAATCCAGGTTCTCTCACCCCCCTCCAAAAACCACACACACAAACTCACTCTCCTGCTGGTAATAGCTTATCCAAAGTTACCACTCTCCCTACAATGTGCATGATAATCAAGGTGGGCCATTTCCAGCACAAATCCAGGTTTTCTCACCCCCCCACCCCCATACACACACACACACACAAACTCACTCTCCTGCTGGCAATAGCTCATCCAAACTGACCACTCTCCAAGTTTAAATCCAAGTTTAACCAGAACGTCGGGGGGGGGGGGGGGTTAGGAAAAAACAAGGGGAAATAGGCTACCTTGCAAAATGACTTAGCCACTCCCAGTCTCTATTTAAGCCTAAATTAATAGTATCCAATTTGCAAATGAATTCCAATTCAGCAGTTTCTCGCTGGAGTCTGGATTTGAAGTTTTTTTGTTGTAAGATAGCGACCTTCACGTCTGTGATTGCGTGACCAGAGAGATTGAAGTGTTCTCCAACTGGTTTATGAATGTTATAATTCTTGACATCTGATTTGTGTCCATTTATTCTTTTACGTAGAGACTGTCCAGTTTGACCAATGTAAATGGCAGAGGGGCATTGCTGGCACATTATGGCATATATCACATTGGTGGATGTGCAGGTGAACGAGCCTCTGATAGTGTGGCTGATGTTATTAGGCCCTGTGATGGTGTCCCCTGAATAGATATGTGGACACAGTTGGCAACGGGCTTTGTTGCAAGGATAGGTTCCTGGGTTAGTGGTTCTGTTGTGTGGTATGTGATTGTTGGTGAGTATTTGCTTCAGGTTGCGGGGCTGTCTGTAGGCAAGGACTGGCCTGTCTCCCAAGATTTGTGAGAGTGTTGGGTCATCCTTCAGGATAGGTTGTAGATCCTTAATAATGCGCTGGAGGGGTTTTAGTTGGGGGCTGAAGGTGACGGCTAGTGGCGTTCTGTTATTTTGTTAGGCCTGTCCTGTAGTAGGTGACTTCTGGGAACTCTTCTGGCTCTATCAATCTGTTTCTTCACTTCCGCAGGTGAAGAGAGTGTTCACTTTGGATGGGCTATTACCAGCAGGAGAGTGAGTTTGTGGGGGGGGGGGGGCGGAGGGTGAGAAAACCTGGATTTGTGCTGGAAATGGCCCAACTTGATGATCACTTTAGATAAGCTATTACCAGCAGGAGAGTGAGTTTGTGTGTGTATGGGGGTGGGGGGGTGAGAAAACCTGGATTTGTGCTGGAAATGGCCCACCTTGATTATCATGCACATTGTAGGGAGAGTGGTCACTTTGGATGGGCTATTACCAGCAGGAGAGTGAGTTTGGGGGGGGGGGGGGGGCCGAGGGTGAGAAAACCTGGATTTGTGCTGGAAATGGCCCAACTTGATGATCACTTTAGATAAGCTATTACCAGCAGGACAGTGGGGTGGGAGGAGGTATTGTTTCATGGTCTCTGTGTGTATATAATGTCTTCTGCAATTTCCACGGTATGCATCCGATGAAGTGAGCTGTAGCTCAAAAAAGCTCATGCTCAAATAAATTGGTTAGTCTCTAAGGTGCCACAAGTATTCCTTTTCTTTTTGCGAATACAGACTAACACGGCTGTTACTCTGAAACTTCTCATGTCTTGCTTACAAAACTGCAAATACATCCCAGAATGACGTTTGCTTTTTTTGCAACAGTGTTACACTATTCACTCATATTTAGCTTGTGATCCACTATGACCCCTAGATCCCTTTCTCCAGCACTCCTTCATAGGCAGTCATTTCCCATTTTGTGTGTGTGCGCGCAACTGACTGTTCCTTCCGAAGTGGAGTAGTTTGCATTTGTCCTTACTGAATTGCATCCTATTTACTTCAAACCATTTATCCAATTTGTCCAGATCATTTTGACTTTTAATCCTATCCGCCAAAGCACTTGCAACCCCTCCCAGCTTGGTATCATCCGCAAACTTTATAAGTGTTCTCTCTATGATATTATCTAAATCACTGATGAAAATCTGAACAGAACTGGACCCAGAACTGAGCCCGGTGGGACCCCACTTTATATGCCCTTCCAGCTTGACTGTGAACCACTGATAACTACTCTCTGCGAACTGTTTTCCAACGAGTTATGCACCCCCTTATAGTAGCTCCATCTAAGTTGTATTTCCCTAGTTTGTTTATGAGGTCATGCGAGACAGCATCAAAAGCTTTACTAAAGTCAAGATATACCACATCTACTGCTTCCCCCGCATCCACAAGGCTT